CTCCAAGTGCCGCTCGAGCAGCACACGATGCCGTCTCTGTGCAAGCAAAGGGAAAAGCTCACCTACTACGGAGTATACCTACCATGTTTTGCTTTATTACCATGGTACAGATACCCAAGCAGCAGTCAATCCCTAGTAGAAAGTACAATGATCCTTCTTCTTCCCGGTTCTCGCTCACACAGTAGGCTACCGTCTCAGCTGTTGTTCCTCCTGCAGCCTCAACTGTACCATCGCCAAAACCTGCCGTTCTTGCGGCCATGGGCTGGGGGGGCCGCCTCGCCGGCCTCTGCATGGCGACAGGCTTTTCCCAGTGTGACCCTGCGACCCTTGGAATGGCGTTGATAGCATTGCCGCATGCCCGTCTACTACTAGGCAGTACTACGTGTAAGTGCCTTGTTCTAGTGCTCGATGCAGGTGGATTTCACAAAACATGGTTTCGCTTCAGCACAAGTATACAAGACATATGTATTAAACTACCTACTTTATGTACATGCATGGACTCCGAGTTACATATCCATCACACAAACGATTTGTTTACATTGCCAAATGCTGCAAATCGGCTCGTACAAGCCGGCCAACCGCAGAGATATACTGCAATACGATTCTGCGTGGAGTGGCTTTGACGAGTATTCTGATCACAGGAGATATACTCCGGATCTCCTCCGACTAGGTAGAGACAGGCACCAGGCTTACACCAGCTTGCAGTGTGCATTAATTACGGAAATTCCGTTGTTACATGCAACCTTGCGAATCCCACGCGCATACTCGATCCCACGACTCAAAAACACTTACAGGATACCCGTGCCTGCTTGTACGCACAGATACCTTACGTGTCGACCCCTAGTCAAGGATCTGATTCCACATCTGCGTACGACATTATCTCTCTCTCTCTCTCTCTCTCGCTCTCTTTTTCCCACTTTCGAGCTGTAGATCTGTCTTTTCTTCTCCTCGTATACCGGTCCGGCCCGCCTACCTACCTAGGACCTAGCATACTCGTGGGTAAAGCTCCTTCGAGATCCCTACCTTGCTCCCTCCCGAATAGTATACCAGTAGTAGTAATAACCCCGGTTTCTTTCAATGCCCATGTCATCTGCTAGTCTAGTGTCTGGGCTACACAGCACCGCATCATCTTCATCACCATCTTCATCATCGGCGGCTGGCCTCCCCCCCACCTGAGCTTTCCCCCCCGTGCCACTACGACTACCTTGGCACGAGTAATATCAGATGCTTTGACGCTTCTTCAGCTCCTGCACATACCCATCCGCGATACTACCACCCCCTGTAAAGGCAAACAATGGATCCCGCAGTTGGAACCCCCACTGTCCGAGCTGTGTCGATGCGTCTGTGGCAATCAACAGAGGGCATTTGCCGGTGCTACCGTTGATTTGATGACTTGGACTGTGTAAAGCCAGTCGCACAACCAGGACCGAAAACACGCACGCACGCTCCCGTCCGCGTGGCATTCTTCTTCTTTCTGTATATCCATCCATCTGCGTCATGTATCTTGCAAAGTGCGTGCAGACAGACGGGCTCGTATGTGCGTCAGGTGAGGGCAACCCGAACCCTTTCTCCATCACATCACCACCCACCCACCCACTCAGACGAACAGAAACTCGCCCTTTTTTCAGCTGTCAACTTGTAGAATGCTCAATTCCAATCACCGCGCCAAGCTGCGCTCACGCACACGCACAGAGACAGCCTCTCCCTACATATGTGTCCTCGTATAGATACCTACAGAGATACACCAGACACATGCATGCATGCATTCACCACATACAGACACACGGAGGCAGTGCTACTACAAGGACTACAAGCACGACTCCTACAGCCATGGCCTGAGAATTGTTCCGTCAGCACCGAGGCCTGGGGTCTGCCATCACACGCCAAAAGTCCGGACGCGTCTCGGGTCCAATTACACATACCCGTACAATAGATGCTTGATACCACCCCTTCACAACACAAGTACGAGTAGCAGAAACAGTAAGAGCCCCGTCGAGTAACGCGCACACAAAGAAAAAGGAAAAAGAAAGAAAAGAAAAAGAAAAACAAGGCATTGAACTGGCATCCCACTCCCCCAGCGGACCGAAATAACGTGCTGCAGCTTCTCTCTCCCTCTCTCAGGGGGTCTGGATGGACTGGGGGACTTACATGCAACCGCTGTCCTTCTCCACCCCTCGTTTGTTCTCGTCACGATGCCTGGTTATACACGGCCCTTGTGCTACCCGCGTGTGCGTGCTTGTACAGTACAGTACAGTACGGCATGAAGCATGTTTCCGCCTTGGTTTGGTTTGCTTTTGCTTTTGCTTTTGCTTTTGCTTCTTGCTTCAAGCAAAATCCCTGCGCGGGGTCATCGAGACGAGATCCCCATCATGGAAGTTGAAGCACACATCCGGCGTCTTCTTCCAGCCCCCAAGATGGGCTTTCCAGCGGCGTCCCCCCTGGTCCACAGAGAGGCATCGAATCATCTCCATCAGACTCCCCTCTGAGACATGCAGATTGCTGGAAGGCAGATACTGTAGTATGAGCATACACAGCCAGCAAAATGACACAAAGCAAAAACAGCGGGAAAGCTGTCAGGTGGTCCAGATATATTGCATCTACTAGTTTAGTTCTTTGCCATGGAACTTACCACCCCCCCCCCCCCCCCCCCCCCTTCCGCCCTTTTTTCATACATACATACGGACAAACAGAAACTCTCGCGGGCCCCGCGGCGAATCATTCGGCTCCGCTCGGGTTTCACACAGATGCTGTGTTGCATCGTCTTGCCCTTCTTCCTTTTTCTTTTTTCCTTTTTTCTAAACTAAGCCAGAATCTCTTCAGCGCCGTCCCCCGGACCCGGAGGTGGTGTGTGCGTGCGTGCGTGCGTGCGTGTGTGCAGTCTCACAGAAATCAAGACGACGACGGACATGGGCTCCCAATAGGGAGTACAGGTGGTGAGAGGTGCAGGGCAACACACAGCACTTACAGGGACGAGCACACAATCGAAGCGTATGAGTAGGTACTACATGTATGTACTGTAAGCTGCAAGTGCCGGGAATATCCCTCAGGCGGCGGCTCTCGCTCTCACTACTCTCTCCCGTCGATCGATCACTGCGGGAGAGAGTGGGAGACACACAGACAGAAGAATAAGAGAGAACGCCTAGCTTCGAGAGCCTTTTTTGCCCTTGGCAGTGTGACGGCCCGCGGGATGTGGGTTATGTTATTGTTTCGACTTGATCGCAGCACGATTACATCACAACAGCCGTGCTCGTACATGATTCGTTTATACAAACTCCTCCATGTTCCGTACATCTCCGGCCTTCGGAGCGGGTGTCACTGCGTCAATCGCCGTTGAACGTCTTTGATTCCAGTTACCCTACATGATGTGTACGTGTATACTCAATACAGCTGCATTCCGTCTTCACGGTGCTACTCCACGTTGGTCAAACACAAACCTACAAACAAGGATCACGATGATGACTTGTCCATGCACATAGCCGCCTCACATGAAGCAGAGCAAACAAAGTCCATGTCCATGTCCTTGTCCTTGTCCATGTCCACCACGTAGAAAACAAGAAAACAAGAAAACCCGCGTTGCTTCAGAACCACGCCTTACAAAAGACCTTCGGCCCTCCTTTTCCCGCCCGCCCCCTGCGCAAATCTCCATTTATATGTCAGATGGCGAATTCGTTGTTGGATGTACATACCTACACATACTGTACATGCAAGCCTCTTCCCACCCCGGGTGGGCATCGCATCGCGTGAAAAACGAGGTCCTCCGCGACCCTTGTCTTAGGACCCAGCAGCGCGGTGTAACACTCCCAACCTTTTTTTATTTCTATTTCATTTTTATTCTCTCTCCTTGTTTCCTTGACTTCATTCGTCCATGTAGGTTGAATTCTTGGTCGCTTGCTCCATTTCCCGATTTCTCTTGCGCGGCGTTTATATGCATTGGCTCGGTCTTTGTTTGTCCCGGCCTGTTGCATTGGGCTCGTGGGCCGACTACGGACTAATACGACGTTATCTGGATCATCCGGAGGCTTATATGCCGAGTCTGACGAGGGACGGAATCTCGTAGGCTTGGCTGGATGGAATCCACTCGCTGGTCTGGGCGATTCCCATCACCTGATGGTAGGAGCAATCTCCGTGCCCAGTCGAGATATCAAACAGATGCCGCTGGGTAGTTAGTAGATATTAGGGGGGTAGATGTCTGGCGTTTACTGAGCACCCAGCTTGGTGATGCTCACACGTGCACGTACAACATGCCAGATGACTGGGCAAGAGTATAATTTGATGTCCATCTTGTGATGCTTGTATGTAGGTATGTATGTGAGTCTCGTCTCCTCCAAAGCCATGACTAAGGACATTATGCAAAAGGCTGGAGAAGACTCACCTAAGCGACATTGTACGGTGTCTCCCGGGCCTATAATTGTAGACCGAATGTATGTAAGAGTGCTTTGATAATATGAGTCTTCGACGACACAGTCGCAGCATCGATGGAAACCTCGCGTAGTTGCTTGCAACATCCGACATCACCGTTGGGCCACTCGGATGCCATCCCAGATCCTGGATGTTTCCGTGTCAAAAGTGCTTCGTATGCACATCGTCTCAGTTCGTCTATAGAGTGCTACTAAGGTACTAAGGGTACATGTAGTCATGTATGTAAGAGGGCCTTCTTTTCGTCTCAGCACGACAAGTGTAATCCCGAGTCTCACTCTATCCCCATGATCCCAGCCTGCCGCTGCCGTCTCCTCATCGCAACGTGGCATCCCCGCCAAGAGCAGGCATACAGCTCCTCTTCGTCTTCCATGTATAACCGTATTGGCAATCTTGCCGTGGAGCCTGTATCAGTATGTCGGCAAGATATCGTCGTCCCGTAGGAAAATGTCCGGGCCTAGAAACCTTGTCCCCACGGGGGGTATGGATTTATGTAACTCCGTGCCTATGATTTTTTAAAAACAATTGGAAGCTATTATTACCTTTGCTACCTAAAACATGGTGGGGGAAAAGGCGACAGGTCATCACAAAGGCGTCGTTAATGAGGATTTGCCCCTACCAGTCCTGTGAAGTTGACGTTGCCCCTGTCGCGCCCCAGACTTGACAAGGTTGGTGAGGCTTTGGACGTCGAGTCCGGCTGCAGCATCCTCAAAGGCCGAGTGTTCGTTTCTATAGCCCTCACCCTCTCTGAAGACGGCTCCGAATAACTCATGGATCGACGTTGTCAGCACATCGAGCGCTTTGGTTCTGGCAATGTCGGCATCCGAGGCTATTTCTAAAGTGCCTGCCTGCTGATTGACCGATCCTTTAATCTTGCCATCGATAATGAGGAAGCTGAGAATGTCCTGCACCTCGGGCTCTGATATTCTCAGCTGGTTGGCGATCCATGAGAGCTTCATCCGCGTGTATGGGGCAATCAGCTTGAGAACGCCCTTTGTCCTCATATTACGGGTGACCTCGTCAATGTTCTCGGCGATGAACGGATCGGCGAGAATGTCTTGGTTGTTGCGTAGCGCCTTTTCATATGCGTGGACATCGTCCCGCTGGTAGGCGTCCACAAGCTCGGTCATGGCAGAGATGCGAGGATCCGTCTTATAGGGCTTCGTCTCCTGCGAGTCAAACGGGTTGATGTTGGACTTCATCAGCATGGTGGTGAGAAGGAGATACTTGAGAACTTGGATCCGTTGCAGCGATCCGGCCTCGTCGTAGTTGCGGAACGATTCGAAAAAGTCGCTCTGGGCCTCCTTCCAATTCTCCTCGCTCATGTGCATCTTGCCGCCGCACTCACGGATGATGCCCATGATGCGGGGATGCGGTACGGCAGACTTGACCTTGAGCGCCCGGTTGTAGAGCGTCTTGAGCTGCTTGTTATTTCGAGTCTCTGCCAGCATCTGAATCTCCAGCGCGTAAATCTCCAGCGAGTATGTTCCCTTGCCGGGGTCGTCGGTGCCGTCGTCTCGCTGACAGGCCCGGTGTAGCTCCCTGAGTTTCTTAGAGACGGCAGAGTACTCCTTGCGGTCCAGCAAGAGCTTGGCCAGCTTGATGTTTGTCTTTAGCCACAGCCGCTCGTTGTTCGTGCTCTGGAAGCTCTGAAGGGTCAGAGAGTAGAATTTCTCCATGCTCTGGACGGCCGCCGACACGTCGGCCCCCTTTTCAATGTAGTCGAGCATGTTGTTGATGGATTTTTCCGAGTAATTCCTCGTCACGGCCGACTTGACGTAGGTGAGCAGCTCGGCGAAGTGGTCGGCTGCCTGGGGTTTTGCGCACAAATTGTTAGAGAGCCCGGCTTAACAGCCTCGTTTGCCTTGACAACGGGAGTGCCGCATCCTACTCACATCGCCGTATTTCCCCAGCTTAAACTCCAGCTTGATGGCCTGCTTCAAGCCTTTGAACCCCCACTCGCCCTTCTCCGGCTCGAGAGGCGGGATCCCCAGAAACTCGGCGATGGCATCCTGGGGGTCGCTGAGCTTCAGCTGCTTTGCGTTGTAGTACTTGTTCTCGATGTCGACATCGCCCGCCTCCTCCTCGTCGTCTTCTTCGTACTCAAAGTCATATCTGCCAGGCGTCAGCGCAGCCGCGAATCCATCTCCTCCAGCACCGGCACTGACTGTTCCTCATCGGACTCTTGCATGAAGTCCTCGTCGTCGGACATTGCGGCTCGGTGATGTGACGACGCGCTGGAGGGAATGGATGAAGATGTTGATGAGCAAAAGAGGTGCTAAAAGAGATGGAGATGCCGATGAAGTCGTCACGTTGATTTGATTCGTTTGCTTGTATGTATGTTGAATCGAAGCTCCAGTGGAGTTTCACCACCTAGAGTAGGTGACAATCCGCGGGGCTTATCGATAGGGATGCGCTAGCATTATTCCGCTCCGCTCATCAATTCGACCAAGGCACTGAACAATTGGCTGATATAAAGAATACTGTCAAGAAATTGTAGACTTTAAGGACTGCGATTTCATAATTCGCATCAATTACTTGCCTTGATTAGTATTATACATGGAAAAATACATTAAAAAAAACGAATGTCAATCCATACGGAGCCACCAACGCCTCATTCTGCACCAACCCCAACCCAAAACTCCCTCACCTCGAGATTCATGTCCAACTTTCGCGTCCTGCGCTTGTTCCAATGCTTTCTATGGCCCTAGTTTATAGTTTATAGCCATAAATACTGTCTATCCTCTGGAGTCCTGAGCAAACCCAGATAGGATCCTGACGAGATAAAATGCCACCATGACGCCGACTGGTTGTGATATACCGTCTACCCCCTAGAGCCCTGGGCAAAACCAGACGGGATTCTGACCAGATAAATCGCCACCATGACACACACACCAAGCAGAGTCGTCGCGAGATAAGGCAACCCCATCCAAAAACCTCCCAACTCCATACCGCGGCTCAAGAGCCATCCCATGACTGGCGAGCCTAAAAAGCCCATCAGCGTTTCCATGGTGGCCATGGTGGTGTTGAGAGTGGCAATGGTATGCGGCTCAACCACTGCGTTGAGCAGCGCTCGGCTTAGGGTGGCCATGCCCTGGCCAAGGTTGGTAATGATCATGGAGCAGATGAAGAGCCACGGCACGTTGGCCACAGCGGTAAGCGTGCTGCCAATGATGAAAACGATGATGGAGATGCGGGCCAGAAGAAGATCTCGCCTGATGGCGTTGTAGTGGAAACGCGTGGTCAGGATATTGGACGCTACGGGCAGCACCACCAGCAAGGTGAAGACGGCCGTTAGGCTGCTGATTGTGTTTATGTAAGTTGCCTGTTATGCCGTCGTTAGTAATGGCGCCTTGAGTTGATACAGCACGAAGACGGGGGCCTTGGCTTACCGTTGACCACTCCCAGTTGAAGCGGCGGGTCATGTACTGCAAAATGTCCAGGACAAAGGCCAGCTTGATGAGGTAAAATGGCCCATAGGCCAAGAGGAGCAGCACGACACTCTTGGAGGCAAAGATGAAGTGCCATACGTGGGACACATCGTTCTTGGCGGAGAGCCACGCACGGCGAGCCAAGTCCTTTGCTGCGGGGATCTTTCTCGACGACGATTCTGCTTCATCTTGGACAGGAGGCGGGGTGTCTTGACCACGGCGCCTGTCATCAGCCGCCTGGCGAAGCTTCAGCGTCTCTGGGATGAGAGCGGATGACAGCATGCCGACGACCAGGATTCCGTTGCCGATCCACATCCCAAGCCAGGCATCCACGCTGAGGAGCCATCCAGCGAGAGGGTTGACGGCAACGGAGCTGATGAGTTTCATGGCGTACACTTTGTAAAAGACGCTGGTTCTCTCGGCAACGGGGATCACGTCGGCGATGATGGTGAAAACCATGGCGACAACCATTTGACCGCCGCCGCCAATCAAGTAGAAGATGCTGCCATAGAGCATGCTCCAGACGGAGAATGTATCAGGGAAGAGCACTGAGCACATGGTTAGCCATGGAGATGCAATGGGGGCTTCGTGGTATTGCGTACAAACAATCGTTACCCAAGCTTGCTGGAGAAGGGCGCCAAAGAGAGCGAGGAACATGACGAGACGACGGCCATACTTGTCAGCAACGACGCCAAACGAAATCTGGACAAAAAGGGCTATTCGACGCACACATCAACGGTTAGCACACACACGATACATGCGCATGTATGTATAGCTGAAAAGCACAGCACGGATATCGGGCACTTACGAAACAGCATCTCCCCAGACATGGACCAGGACCGCACCATGGCCAGCGTCTTTTGCACGTCCGTCTCCTTGCACCGGTTGTCGTGCACCGACAGAAGATGGTCCGGATGATAACGCCGGCAGATGACGTCCTCCATGATCTGCTCCATGGCCGGGATGAGGATGTACTGGCTGACCTCGATGATGAAGAGGAACAGCACGCACATGCCCAGCACGAAGCGGCGAAAGGACTTTGACGGCGCGATGTCGGCGGGCAGGTCAGCACCGTGCAGCAGCGCCGTGCCCTCGTCGGCCTCGGCTTCGTAGACAGACTCGGCGTCGTCTTGGGAGCGGCGACGCTGCGCACGGGGGTCGACACCGGAGCCCATGCCGGAGGGCTCGGCGTCGATCGCGTCGGAGCCGTAGAGTGTCATTGCTTCGGTGTATCGAGTATCTCTGTGCCAGCCAGAAGTAAAAGGTCTCCAGCGACGATGAGAAGAAGCCGAGAGTAGCTAATAAAGGATTGCCACTGGAGAATCCTGGGGTAAAGTGGAACGAGATTAGGGGAATATCAAGGCAACGAGGTTATGAGCATGGACCATGATCCCAGCCCAAACGTGAGATGACGACACCACATGCGAGGCACGTCGACGGCGTACGAGGCATCGCAAATGGCCGCCCAGCTCGAGGGATCAAGATAAGGTTCGCGCGAACCATTTCCCTTTATCCAAACTTCAAGGTCCCCGACGCCGACGATTGGCATGGCCGAGGAACTTTTTTCGGTGGGGTACGGTATCCGGAACGCGCAAGCATTTCGACTACCAAGTCAGCAATTCCATGTCGTATCCATCGTATTAGACGATAGATGACCCTCTGCGACGACGATTGCTTTGCTGTTCTGGCGATGGATTGGGGAGGGCCCTTTTGCAATGTTCCAGGTGGAATCGGTGCCTTGAAAATTCTTTGCGTCTCTCCGCCGTGCAACATGCCATCCTGAGTTGGGCTTCAGCGCTTTGTTGAATATCTTCAAAGTCAATTGCAAGCTCTGAGAGCCAGTGGCAATTGTACCCGTGCTGACGACAGGTCGACGTTGACTAGGACGAGTTCGGCCATGAAGACGCAATAGGAGCCGCGATCATGTCGTCACGGTGATTGAAGGAAGAGATGCAGCGGCTGCATCTTTGGGTGTTCTCATGACAGCTTGCGATCTGCGTGCATGTCAGTCATTGATATCGACAACTTGAACCCCATCAAATGGGACGAGCGATGCACCGTGTTCGATGTTGGAGGAGCATTTCTTCGAGGGCTCAGTCCAACTGAAGCTGGTACGGTCTTGATTCATGTTCCCATCAAATTCTTAGTGGCGCTGGCGGGTTCCTGACGGGCCTAAACTGGCTCGCTATAGCGCCCGCAAAACAGCCCTAGAGCCCTGGAAGCTTCAGACCCCCCCGCCATGGGTGCATCGCCCGTTTTTGCTCCTTCACAAGCCCAGCCCGCCTCCACGTCCGCCATCATGTCCTTTGCCGATGCAAAAGTCCTTTCGATAACGCCACTGGTACGTCTCAGCCGTCTGCAGGGCGCCAAACGCGCTGAACCAAGCAGTCGTCTCTTGTCTTGTTGCTGACAGAGGCCCGCCTAGTCCAACGACGAGTCGCGATGGGTGTCTCTCCATAGGTGTGTGACGACCTCATTTTGCATCCATACAATCCATACTGCCCCTTGGTTCATTCGTCCGTCCGTCTGACTTCCATGCGATTTCCTCCCACAGCATCACGTACAAGGACCCCAAAGGCACCGAGCGGACCTGGGAATCTGCCCAACGACGCACTCGTCCCGCCGGCGCAGACATTGACGGCGTGGGCATCGTCGCCATCCTGGACAAGCCCACGGGCAAGGAGATTATCCTGCAGAAGCAGTACCGCCCTCCCGTCGACAAGGTCGTCATCGAGGTCCCCGCCGGCCTCATCGACGCGGGCGAAACCCCCGAGCAAGCCGCCGTGCGCGAGCTCAAGGAAGAGACGGGCTACGTCGGCGCGGTGTCCGAGACGACGCCCATCATGTACAACGACCCGGGCTTTTGCAACACGAACCTGCGCATGGTGCACGTCACCATCGACATGTCATTGCCGGAGAACCAGGACCTGAAGCCGGAGCTGGAGGAGAACGAGTTCATCGACGTCTTTACCGTTCCGCTGGCGAGCCTATGGGAGGAGTGCAAGAAGCTGGAGGCCGAGGGCTATGCGATTGACGCGCGAGTCGGTACATTCGCCGAGGGCATCCTGCTGGCACAGAGATTAAAGCTATGATGATGGATGTTTTTCTTTTGTTTTGTTTTTATTAGACTTGGGGAGGCTATCAGAAGAGAAAGGGGGGCGGGAGGACAGCAATTGGGGGGGGGCTGCTCGACTACAGTTTCTTCTCCTGGCGTAGACCTTGCCACAACGCCAACGCCGCCAGGCACTTGGCATCCCGAGCCCCTTCTTTCCACAGATGCTGCATGGGAACCACTTTGAGCGTAATCCTCTCTCCGTCGGAGCGCTCACCCGTGAGGCGGCCCTCCCACTCGCTCAGCTGGCTCCTCGGGATGCGCTGCTCGTAGCTGTAGATGGTAATATGCTCGTCACACCCGCCCGCGCTCGGGAATATGGCCGCTGTCAGGTCTTCTCCCCGGTCCGCAGATGCCCCCCTTTCTGTGCATTCCTCTGCCAGCTCGCTGAGGCACGTCAACTCGTCTTCGCGAATCGTAATGCCCAGCTCCTCCTCAATCTCTTTGGCCGCCACTCCTTTGAAGTTGCCTGAGCCGTCCACCATGCCTGCCGGGAGCTCCACGAAGCTCAAGCTGCCGGCGGGGATGCGCGGCTGGACCGTCAAGACGACGTAGCGCTCGTCGGATTCCCGGGGCACGTCTTCCGGCACAAGCATGACGAGCATGGCGACGCTGGGGCCGCGCAGGAGAGCCGCTGCGGGGAGAGACTCCCCGGCAGAGTTGGAAACGGTCGCCGTCAGCTTGACGAAGCCGAGGCGGCCTGCTCCAAAGAAATCGTAGGATTGAACGGTGACATTGCGGAGGGCGTATGGATCCGAGTGGAACGGGTGAGACTTGTTTGCTTGCAGCGCGAGAGACTTGGTGAGTGTGTCGATCCAGCTCTATACGCATGATTTTTCTGTTAGCAGAGGCAGCAGAGCTTCGAAACAGTCGAATCAACTCACGGCAAAGGGCTTAAACGACGAGATCTGGTCTTCTGAGAGGCCCTCTGGCAGGCTCAGGGGGACGTTGTGGGCGGTTCTTGCGGACGTTGTGCTGGTGGCCATGGCGCGGAGATGCAGGCGAAAGGACACGGATGAGGCGTGTTTAGTCACTGGGCGAAACATGCGATGGAATTGAAAGTGGTGATGGTTGAGAATTAGGGGGAACGTGAAGTTTGCGTCTTAAAGAAAAATGCTGGTGCCTGCAATTAGGCACTCGTCTTAGCAATTGCCCTGTGACGTCAATAAGGCATTTTGGTGGGAGGTGATGATCGCCAACGTTGTTTTACAGCATAGCAGTGAACGTGTTTAATTCTTGCTGATATTATCATGCATAAGATAATAACACGGTAATTGTAGGGTGATTGGTTCTTGAAATCCCATTTTGGTTCATCAAGACTTGAATCATGTTTTTAATACATATAAGCAGGTATCCCAGCAACCACATAGAAGCCTCGTGTTCTCGCGCCTCTTTGTCAAAATTCACATGCGCAAGCTCCCAGACGCCCCAGTTCAAACACGCGCAAACAAAGAAAAGAAAAGAAAGGAAAGGAAAGGGAATCGCATCCGTAATCTTACACGGCCCAGTACACGTCGATCTGGACCGACTCGATGCGGTTCGCCCATCCGGGAAACCTGGCCTTGCCCCAGACCGTAATCACATCGCCCACCTGCAGCTGTCTTACAAACTTGCCATCGCCTGTGCCACGTCCTCTGCCTTGTGCCTCGAGATCTTTGCTACGGTCGGAATCAGCCGGGATGTCGTCTAGGTAGGACCACGTGATGACGTGGTCTTGCCACTTCCTGACAGCCGTCTGATTCCGCTGGATCTCCCACTCGGGTGAGTGTAGCAGCTCGTGGGTGTAGTTGTAGCCGACTGGATCGGAGGATGTCTGCCGGATGGGGGGTTGGATAGGTCGAAGTGAGTTGACCGAGAGTGCAGATCCATCGACTATAACCCGCCGTCAGCTTGTTTGTCCCCTAATGCACATGCTTGAAGGAAGAAGGGCATGTACTCACCTGCAGAGTCGGCGTCAAATCTCTCCAGCCCAACGTCAAACCACGTCCATGATCCAGAATAAGGGTGGTCACCCTCCTCGGGACTGCTCACGTATCCTTGGTCTTGGCTTCTGAACTTGAAGACAATCTTTCGCGCAGGGTGAACCAGCCGCGGGAGGGGGTATTTGACGGACTTGGCGAAGAAGCTGGCATCGAGAGTCTCGCCCAGAGGTCGAGGGGTGGGAAGAGTCGTGGCGTAGGGCTGGTCGTTTGCGTTTTGGCGAGCTCCGGAATTGAGCAGTCCGAGCGGATATGACCGCAGCTATTGCACAATGGATGGTTAGCTGTCAGGTGCACAAGCTACATGCTGTACTCTGCGGACGAAGATGCTTACCAGAAATCTGTTTTCTCTGGCCTCGGAGCCGCCCATGACGGCGATTCTTTCGTTTAGATGCGTGGTTGAGTGGATCCAGTACTCGGCCATGTCGAGTATGGCATCAATTAGATCCGGGGGCATCTTCTTGGCGCGGTACAGCATGGCCTTGACCACGGCGATGTCGACGATGCTGGGCTGGTAGGGCTTGTCGTCCTCGCTATGGCGTCGAACGGGGCTGTCTCTGGGGACCTCGGTGAGGCTGAGGGCTCTGAGAGCGGACCACACGATGCTGGGGACATTGGCGGCCATGATGTCGGTTTGAAATGTTGATCAAGTCTGCTTCAGATGGTGAATATCAATGGCGGGTGGTTCTGTAAGGAGTTGGAGAGTTGGAGACAGAAGTGATGATGGAAAGGAATTGATTCGTGTTATCTCTGTATGGATAAGAAGATGTAGTCGGTATGACTCGAGTTGTGTTTTGGTAGGATCATTGATGAGACGCTTCGTTTAGGGAAGAAGAAGAAGAACGCGCGTTGCAGTACGTTGGTCCGGTTATCATATCAGTGGTCTCGATAACATCACATCATTGTTCCACATCATCGAATCGGAAGCTTGAGCGTTGCGTGACGTCAGCGCGGCAAACAAGTTCTGGCGCTGTTAGTGGCTGATGCGCAGACAGTAGCGGCTCAGGTACATTTGCTCACCAAGACTGTGCGAAACTACATGTGCCTCTACGCGTGCCCCATCAAGCGCTCAACATAAAAGGTCCATCGATGAACAAGAGTCTATGCCGATGATTGTGTGATGATACTCTTTTTTATTCCTTCTTCCTTTGGTTCTGTTGCATCTTCTTCAAGCATTGCATTGGGTTCAATACATGATCCCAACCAATCTACTCAATCTGCTGTACGGAGTACCAAAAGCGCCAGCTCATGTAGCCCGCTGAAACATGATCAACGCTTCACTGCCTTGCAAGATGTATGTAGATCCTTCAGACCTTGGCCGTCCTTGAATACATCAAGACATGCTGGCGATTTATGCTTATAGCAGTGATGCTGTGTGTACTTCTCCATTTATACCCGTATCTTCGAGAATGCAAAACATCTCCATAGCTGTCAAGCTGCGATACTTATGAGCGTCCCTAACACGTGTACATATAGCGGCAATAGCAGATGCTAGAGAAATATAGCGATAATAGCATACAATAGATAGAAGTAGCGATAGGAGTGTATATTCAAGGAACTTGATATCTAGTTCAATAGTAGGAAAGAAAAGGCAGTTTCTCTGCATCTTGTTACAGAACGTAAAGCCCATGTAGTTGCTAAGCTACTATCGCCAACTTGTGCTGCTGAATAACCACTCCCTGAGGATATCTTTACATGTTCTCAAGACAATCTCAAAGTGGCATTCTTCCATAAGGCTAATCACGACATGACATGTGAGAGTGCATATACTTGGTTTGCGCGTATACTTGGCAGCCTCGCAACGAATCCTTCTTCTGCCAAGGTGCGATAACGACAACGAGCGAGGTTTATACAAATCCCAGGTTGTACTCGGCCAAACACATGGCCAATGAGCTACCCAGGATTACGCAGGCAATCCATATCAAGGAATACGCCGGCCGGTCCGTCAAGGTCGCATCCCGTGTTAGCAATCCTCACAGGTACATTACTTCTGGCGCGATGGCCTCTGTTTCGAATGTAATCCGTAATTCCGCCGTCACAACTGTCAAAAGCATTGCGACATTTTGATTGCAGTACAGATCCTGCAGCTGTCGCAAATGGTGCATAATCTTTCTCGGCATACGGGCCGTGGTATAATGCAGGGGTTGATGGCTTCAATGTTACTCTAGAGCTCCTGGAAGCCCCGATTTTACGAACAAGCCGGGCAGCGGAAATAGAGACGGTGAAAAGAGATGTTGCCACGGCATGAGCTACAAAAGAATAGATAAAGGGTTTAGAAATGCAAGGCAGAGAATCTCACGCTTTCCTTTGTCGTCGGATGATTTTTGCCCATTTCAGAATCCAAGGCTCGCTGGCTCATGGAGAAACCCACGAACGTCCAATCTCTTACATCCCCCTTTTGATCGCCCGATGTGTAGATATCCCGTCCCCTGCCTGGGTGGTGCTTGTTTTGGCAAGTCTAAAATTTTCTTTGCAACATTATGCCGCCTAGGTCTATGCGAAACAAGCCCGCAGAATAGCTACTGGACTTGGTGACTCGGTCTGGAAGCAATAGAACATTCGGAGGACTTCTCGGCGTACACCGACATCTGCTTACCTCGGTACACTCCGAATACCCTACCATTATCCAGTATACTGCTACCTACTTATACTATCAATGCTCTCCATACTTTCCATTTCCGGATAATCCTTTACATGAGCCCTTGTAATCTCAAGATTATATTTATCCAACTCTTCCCTCCGGCTATCAGTCATTATAAACTCGTAAGAAGCAGCTGCCATGGAATACCAAGGCCTTCGGATCCGAGTGACGGTTCCGCGGCGATTCTAAGCCATGTTTCGTGCAAGTAGAACATGGGAGCTCCTATTTTATTCAAGGATGGCATAACATCGTCAGCACTTTACAGTCTTTTTCTGAGGGAGGATCCTTCGATCCCTGATATCTCCACAGGATCAATGGCACACTCGATATGTTCCCATCTCGGATACCCGGCCTCTCTGCAGTCAGACAATTACACCGATGGTAGGTAGATTAACCCAATGCGTTTCGTAAAACCCCGTATATGTCAACTTGAATGCTTCTCTCTGCCGCATGCCCTGAAGCTTGTTCGTTTTGAGAAGGTACAAAACATTGAATGGCAGGCATCAGTAAATGCCACCGGCATGAGAGCCGAAAGGTCCAGGCGTTTTGTAAATACCTATTTACCGATCGAATTCGGTGTTCCGTACTCCGTATGCAGATGTCGCATCCTCACCTTGTACCTTGCATGGAAAGACGGCATGTACCCATGGAAAGACCGAGTTGCATCGAAAGGTGAAGAGAAGTGGAACTTTCTGTAAAAGGGCTTGTCAAGAAATGCTTCAGATTGTTTAAAATGCTCCATGGTTTCCTAGGGAAGAAGAAAGGAAAGCATACTTCTTTATAGCCACACGCTTTTTACTTCGTCAGTGCGCTTAGTTGTTAGTTGTTAACGAGAGGTGGTTTGTCCCTTTTACTGTTGAAGATGAAGAACCTTTTGGCTTTTTCTTCAGCCCTGGCTTTGGCTGGATATGCCGACGCAGTCCCAGCAGCTTCAAACACTACTTGCGTAAGTCTCAAAGACGTTCCAACAAGATACACACGGTTCCATCTCACTAACTTCGTGTCATCTCTTGTAGTGTCGGGAGCTTTCCCAAGCCCTCCCATCCCTCTTCTTCTCCCCCTCCACATCACAGTACAACAGTCTCATCAACGCTCGATGGTCGGGTACCTCAGTCCTTCATCCAGGCTGCGTCGTGACTCCCAAGTCTGCTCTCGACGTGTCCAAGGCCGTCAAAATCATTGTCAAGAACCAATGCCACTTTGCCGTCAGAGGCGGTGGACACAACGCCAACCCGGGCTTCAATAGCATCAACGACGGTGTCTCCATTGATCTCAGCTCCCTAAATTCCGCCTCGCTGGCAGAAGATCGCTCATACGTCAGCATCGGCGCTGGTATCACTTGGGGCGAAGCCTACGACGCCTTCAACAGCAGCAACATTGGCTTCACGGGCGGAATCTGCGAGGACGTCAGCGCCGGCGGCGTCAGTCTCGGAGGCGGCCAGTCTCTCTTCCAGCCCAAGCGGGGATGGGCCGTTGACAACATCCTCAACTACGAGATTGTGCTCGCTTCTGGCGAGATCGTGAACGCCAATGCCACGAGCTACCCGGATCTCTTCAAGGCCCTCAAGGGAGGCAATACCAACTTTGGTATCGTGACGCACCTCAAGATTGCCTCCTTTGACTTTGATGGGCTTTGGGGAGGAGAGGTCTTTGTTAGTTTGAACGGACCGCAGGCTACCTACCCGGAGGTGCAAGATAAGATGAGCCAGGCTCTGGTTGACTTTACGGCGAACAACCATCTTGATACCAACACGGCTGTGCAGCTCATGACTGTGTACTTGGCCAACAACCAAGGTCAAATCGTCAACGCTGCCTTTGGAAACACCATTGGCGAGGAGAATCCCGCTTCTCTGCAAGAGTTCCTAAACATGCCGAATCAAGTCAAGAACGAAGTTGGCCACATCAAGCTTGCCGACTTTGTGCACCAAGTCAGCGAATTTCAGGCCAAGGGATATCGGTATGTTTCTTCATTGTCTACCCATTTGAGAGTAAACCCCTCCTGACTTTGACTTTATAGTCAAGTCACTTCTAGCATGACCTTTTCCAACGACTGTGCCACGGTTCGGGACATCTGGAATGTGACTGATGAGATCTACAACGGACTCGAGCACAGAGATCAGGTCGACTGGATGGTTTCGTTTATCCCCCAGCCCAAGGTCCAGCAGTCATACGCAGCTCGCAGTGGCGGTAACAGTCTCGGCCTCCAGAGTGTTACAGATGACCAGATCGGTAAGCCTTCTCCTTTGTGCACCTAGACGCATTACGATATATGAGAATATAACTAACATGCCATTCTCATAGTGGTGTGGTTGACTTCTCGGTGGACCGACCCCAGCCTCGACAGCATGATGTACGCCGCGCGAGACGACTTCATTGTCGCGACGGAGACTGTTGCAAAGAAATACGGCACATACAGCCCTTTTCTCTACATAAACTACGCTTCTCCTTCGCAAAATCCGCTCTGTGGATACGGAGTTGACAACTTCAATTTCTTAAAGACAACAGCGGCCAAGTATGATCCTCATGGCGTCTTCCAGAAGCTGATGCCAGGCGGTTTCAAGGTCAGCAAGACGACTTGCTCATAAAGCATGGAGGAATGGACAGTGGTTTTGATGGACAATATATAATATATAATTAATGATAATGAGTTAACGAGTATTGGGATATTTAAATAACAAAAAAAGTACAGGACATGCACATGGCTTCATTCAACACTCATTATATCACAACGTAACCGGAAGCTCAATGATGATGTTGTAGTTGAAATATGTTCATTCCCCACGACCAAGCTGAATTATATGCGAGATTTTTTTTGGTTGAAAAAAGGGGCGCAAGGGCGCAAATGTGTGGTCAAAAAATAGTAGTAGTAAAATAAAATGTGTCCATAAATGCCATACATCCCCTTTCTAGCTCAACACCTAAACGCCATCCAAAGGTCTGGAGGCAAAAAAAAGTCAAACACGAAAGAACAAAGTCATTGAGACCCCTTTTGGAAAAGATTAAAGACGCAAAAAAGAGTTCATCCACGCGCTGTATGGGCCCCCCCAGATGTCCCTCTGAGTAACAAACAAAAACAAAAGAGTCAAAATCACCGCTTTCTTTTCTATTTCATGACGTTTTTGTCCCCTTTAGACTTCTCCGCCGGGGATTCCCTGGTAGCCCGAGTGGCTAGCACTAAAGGTTCGGATGGGAGCCGTGCCGGAGCCTCGCCCAGGGCCGGGATGCGACGGGGCGGGAGATCCGGGGCTTCCGGGAGCATCACCGATTTCCTTGTTGAGGAACGGGGCGGGCGACTGCATGGGCGATTCTATGTTGACGGCTGACCAGCCCTTGCTGTCCAGGGGGCTGACGTTTGCTGGGGGCGCATCAGAGGTGACGACGCCTTCTTTCCTCATACTGCGAGAATCGTAGTCAGTATACGCGTCCGGATCAACGCCTTCGCGCTTCAGCTTGTCGAGTTCCATACGGTCCATCTTTTCCATTTCGGTGGCCAGGCGGGCCTCGCGGGCGCCCGATTGGCGCTGCTTGATGCAGTACCAGAGCAGGGCTCCGATCAGGACGGCGGCGACGACACCGGCTGCCACGTAGACGGCGATTCGGGCGCCGGCAGGCAGGTTGTCCCACTTCTGGCTGATGGACAGCTTGGGTGTTTGCGCTTCATGGATTGCCTTGTAGGCCGTGGAGTTTCCGCTGGTGACCTTGGTCAGTACGGGGACGCGGGATATGCAAGTTTCATGTAGGATGTAGAAAAACACTTACGCGGTAACCTTGATGCTCTCCCATGAACCGGACGTGTCGCCGTAGGCGTACTCGGAACCACCGCCGTAGTCGGTGATGTGGGCACTCTTGACGTACATGGTGAAGGGACCCTTGGAGTAGTCGGTGTTACCACCGGCCCATTCACGGGTGCCCTGCGGCAGAGAGGGGTCACCACCGGCCCAGATACCGAGAGAGAGCCTCATGGGGGTCTGGGGGTAGTTTCGAGTCTTGTTGGCGGCATCGGGAGTGAGGTTGCGGACGTGCTGGCCGTCAATGTACCAGTCAATGCCCTCCTTGGTCCAGACGGTGGTGTAGTTGAGGAAGTCGGCCTGGTTGTCACGGGTGGTGTACACACCGGCATTGTGGTAGTCCTGAAGACCCTTTCCGAAGTAGTTTGTGGAGGCGGCGGTGTTGTTGACACCGAGGAACTCCCAGTCGACCTCGTCGAGGTCATCACTCAGCCACATGGCAGAGCTGATGATGCCGACGCCCGGGGCGACCTTGAGGAGGAGCTCGACACGGCCGAAGAAGAAGTAGAAGAGGGTCCGGATGGTGGGCGAGTCGCCCTGCTTGTTGATGGTGAAGCCGGCGCCATTCTCGCTGTCATACGTGACGGATCCAGCAGTGGTCTCCCATAGCTCATACGACGGCGTGGTGTTGAAGTTGAAGAGGTACTCGGTGTTGAAGCCAGGATCGGTAGGACAATCGGTTGCGTTCAACGGATTGCAGGTTGTGGAAACCTGGGCAGAGACGAGGCCCAGCAAGGGGGCGGCGGCAAGGAGACCGCTCAAGTACCGCATTGTGGAAGCTGTAGTCGAGAATGAAGGGGGTATATAGGACGATACGGCGTGGGTATGAAAAAGCTGCAAGGCTTTTCGATGCGCCGAAGAACAGGATTGAGATCAGATACAGCGACAAGGAGTGTATCAGCTGTATATGATGTGTGAGTGAGAGAGAGAGAGAGAGTAAGGCTTCCTCTGACCCTGCAGAGAAAACAAGTTGATTTGCGCTGTTGCGTAGAGAGTGTGTATGGGTTGTTGCTTTTCGAGGCAGCAAGGTGAAGCAAACTGTCACCGCAGAGAGAGTGAGCGGCGATCAAAGCCAAAGCGTCGAGTTTCGACAATGAGAGGACGAGACAAGTCTCCAACAATCAACAAGCACCGAGACGGCAGGGCCCCTGAGCGATTGTCGAGAGTCTCTGATTTCTTGCAGAAGTTTCAAAGAAGGACGAAAGGTGAAGAGTTAAGGACGGGAGAAGGGAAAAGAAGGAAAAAAGAGATTGGGATTAGGGGCTCCAAGGTTGATTTGATGCATCCATTCCATAATTGCATTGAGACGGGGAAGAAGCCCCGAGGGGTCCGCAGCGGGTGTAAGGGGTACGAAGCCTTGCCCGGCCGGGGGGGCAGCAGAGGAGGTACCCGATACATGGAACTCGGACGGCGGGTCTACGGGCAGCCAGCCAGCCAGACAGACTGGCTCATGTCTTCCATGGATGTTCTCCAGTACAAGTAAGTGGTAATTTCAGCGGCCTGCAGCGCCTGACACGCCCAGAGACGGGCCCTGGCGCTGGGAACGGCTGGGAATTGAATGGCTGGGGGGGTTGATTCCAGGGCGTCTTACAGTAAGTACTAATGGATGGGGATGGGGGATGGGGATTAGAGGTCATCATCAACCGTGGGCCTGAGCACGGGCAAAAGACATCAAACGAGAGCACGTTGACGGTTGACGCAGATGGGAATACGAACAAGACAGACGCAACAGCAGCCACTCACACGGAACGAATCAGCTCCTTGGAGAGCACTTCACCTACTGTAACATGATGCACGGCGGGAGCGCCAATGGCACGTCTTGGCGGGCGTTTTACTGCTGCAGACACAGAAACCCGATTCATGTGCGTACTGGTACAGTATTAATAGCATCGAGCACTACCTAATGAAAGCTCCAGTGCTTGGCTTGGCTTGGCTTGGCCCAAGGAGGCAAAAATGCTCAAGAAGCTCGACGGAAGAGAAACCTCAAGTCTGGACAAAGGAACAGAGAAGAGAAAAAAGGAACAGACAGAGAAGCACAAAGAGAGGAGAGCCAAGAGTCGCGCCAGGGACCGATCCGGCACAGCGCGCCGAGCCCGCTAAACCGACGCGGGCATAGGTGCTGGGGGCTTATTTCCCCTGAAAGATGGAGACGCGCGGTATTGGGTACTCGCTGCGGCGATGGCGGCAGCGCGGAGTGGCCAGGTAGAAGGTACGCGGAAATCCCAGGAACCGCGATGTGTCGAGCTAGCAGCAGCTTTGATCCCCGGCATCAAATCATCTTAATTGCTTTGTACCTGCTGTACCTAGGTACTGTAACTGCATACGGCAACACTACCAGTTACTATCATAGAATCAATTCCCCCGGTCAACGAGGTATCGAGTACAAAGGCCAGTGGGCACGCAAGATCCAGCAGTTTGAAACGGGTCAGTTGACGCTGTTCAATGATAGGGAGCTCTGTCCGCTGCGAACCCACCAAAGAGACCCTTTAACCGATCCATTCTTTGAGCCATGCCGGGTTATCCATTTCCGCAATCAAACCAGCATCAACTGCGCCTCCGCAACTGAATCCAAGCCCAAGAGAGCAGCTGTCAACGGTTGAGTCGGCAGCCGAATTCACGACTTGAGTTGCTTTCGGCAATGCCATTTGTTCATCCACGCTGAGGTGGTGACATCAGCACGGCATGGAGGGCCTGGTAGTACCTAGTAGGAAGTACAGGGCCACGGGTCGCAGGCAACGCAGGTAGCAGGTACAAGCACGAGGACAGGAATCAACCCATCCAATCCCAATGCTGGGCCCCCTGAGCCGAAATATCCCATAATAGACACAATCGTCCTTTGATGCCATTGTAGGCACATGTATCCAGTACCGCTTTGCGCAGCGCGGATGTACTCGGGTGCAAGGCACACTGGCTACTAGAATAAACCAGCAACAAACGAACATACTCAACACGGCACTCTGCGATCCGGATCGGCATTGGGAAAGACGACGAGTGAAAAATGGGAATCCTGAGAGAATTCGGCATCATTCTTCAAGACCAGCGCAAGGCACCGCGACGAGCCGATGCACGTGTGGATCAAGTAACTCGTTCCATCGTAGTCGAAATTACAAACTTGGACAAGAAATGTCGGCAATTCGCCGGCTAAACGCCGCAAGCTTGGCATCATCAAGCTTTGGCCCCGAGATTTCAATATCGCCAAACATCGCCCATCGCCAAACCATTTCCCACAGACAGCCCGGCCAAAAGACACCCGCCAGTCTCAGCCCAACATGTCCATGTTCCGGGCCAAGAAGCTCGACCTGGGCTGCTTCGTCAAGGCCCGCACAATCCGCGACCACACCAAGCGCAAGGTCTTTGAGGAACACGAGGCCGAGAGGTAACTTCAACCAACTCCATGTCTTGATCCAAAAACCCCCCCTCTCGGCCAAACAAAAGCCGGCGAACCCTTGGTCGTGCACAAGTGCTAATCATTGCCTCTTTTTTCCCTCTTCTTCTATTTATAGACAAGCCCTTCGATACGTGATCCGCAATACGACTTTGCCGCCCCGAACCCGAGCCACGGCCCAGCTGCAGCTGTCGCAGATGCACTGCTACACCCGGCCCACGCAGATTCGCAACCGCTGTATAATGGGAGGCCAGGGGCGTGGTGTGCTGAGAGCGTTCAAGATGACCAGAGTGCGTCCTCGTCGGGTTGAGTTGATTCGTCTAGTGGTCGATCCCATAAGCTGACATTTGTTTCCTTTCCCTTGCAGTTCAATTTCCGTATGGAGGCCATGGCGGGAAATCTTCCCGGGGTGAAGAGGGCGAGCTGGTAGATGGTGGGAGTTTTTTACGACGCAAAATCATGATTTTATGTGACGGAACTGTATAAATCTGTGTACGATATCGCGGGGTCTCTGGTAGACGCAGCTTTTGGGCGACAGAGCTGAGGGGATATAAAACAAGTACAAAAGAAATCTTTCATCAACCAACGCCAAGGAACCATCTCGGTTTGACTGTGATTCTGCTGTGTCCTTTTTGGGCCTCGAAAGGCAAGATGCGCAAGGGCTCTTCCCAAGCGGTATCAATCGCATCTGCAAATTATCTGCAGTACGGCCATTATTTGACTTGAACATCTTTCTCGGACAGCTTCTCTAGATATTGTTCATTGGCGGCCAATGGCTATTTGGCTATCAATTGCTGTCGAGTTGACTCGCCGGAGAACATACAATGCTTTTAAACAGAGCTGTCGCATGGCTACCCTGGATATACATACAAGGCACCTCTAGTTCACAAAAATGCCACTTGTCAAATACAAGCCGGCCATGAATGGAATCAAAAATAATAGATTAATGATTTTTCTTTGCACTCTAGGATATAATTACGCTTTCAAGATGTTGTCAGCAAATCCTGCTGGAATCCTGCTGAAGAGCACCAAGACTACCTATAATAGTACATACCTAAGGTATACACGGCCGAAGAGCAAGTAAAGTCAAACCAACTGAGGCTGCGAATATTGCATGTGGCGTTCCCCACTTCGCCCCCCAAGGCTGCAGTCATTCTATCCTTTGATTTTCGTTTGTTTTATTCATTCTCACCCTGCCCTTTCCATCGCATCAACCGAAGCCATTTGCAATCGAACGACCGTCACTCAGCCATTAGGACCCTAGTTGTTTGCTCAATAAGCAGTCGCAATCATGGGTGGCGGAGATTTAAACTTGAAAAAGTCGTTCCATCCCGGTCTGCGGCGGAACCAGCAGGCCGTCTACGAAGAAGAACAAAAAGCCCTCGCCGAGCGCAAACGCACCCAGCAGCGCGTCAATGAGATCAAGGAGGAGCGCGCAAAGGAGGAGATCCAGAGGCAGCTGGAGGCTGCGGGAGGCACCAAGAGGGTCGATCGCGTCGACTGGATGTACCAAGGCCCTACCGATGGCCAGGCTGGTACGACCGAGGAAACAGAGGCCTATCTGCTGGGCAAGAGGAGGATCGACAACCTCATCAAGGGCACCGACCACAAGAAGCTCGAAAAGGCCGCTGGGCAGGAGAGCTTCATCGCGCTGCAAAACGCCAACAGCGCGCGAGACACAGCCGCCAAGATCCGCGACGATCCTCTGCTAGCCATCAAGCGCCAGGAACAAGCCGCGTACGAGGCCATGATGAACGACCCCATCAGACGCCGCCAGCTCCTCTCATCCATGGGCGTCGACGAGGGCAAGAAGAAGGATCGGGACGGAGACGGCCATGGACGGAAGCATCGCAGACATCGGAGCAGAGATGGTGACGACGACCGACATTCGCGACGCCGCCGCCGCCAAGATTCCAGATCTCGCAGCCCGCGGAGACGTCATCACCATCGAGACGACGATTCAGAATCTGGAGAACGCCGCCACAGCTACCGAGAAAGACGACGTCATCACTCAAAAGACAGAGATTCCGCGCCCAGTCGCAAAAGAGATGCATCGCAAGAGCGCGAGACGAGACCGCATGGAAACGATTCATACCGAAATCGCGATGGCAGTCGTGACCGCCGATACCGACATTCCGATTCCAACGGCAGAGGAGACCGTCCGCGTAGGCGCTCGCCGGCAAACACACGCCCCTACAAGGAGCACGATGACCCTGGGCAAGAGGGGCAACGAGCGGAAGAACAGGCACGGAAGCTGGCTGCCATGCAGTCGGCTGCATCAGAGCTTGACCAGGATCGAGAGACGCGACTGGCAGCTCTAGAGGAGCGAGAACGTGCCGCCAGAGAGTCTGACGACAGAGCTCGGGAGCGGGGAGGAGATCGAGGCTTCGCCAACGGCCTGCATCGGAAAGCAATAAACATGGATAACCGAAGCAGACGCGGACATGTACGGGATAGAGATTAGCGAGGTAAAATGATGATATTGGCGCATGGGCATATGGACGACATGATTCTAATACGGAGAGAGGCTGCATTGCATTGTACTCACCAACGATTGGATGGGGATATCATTTGGCGTTTTGGGTCGGCAAAGTGGAATACAAATGGCGAGTCATGACTACTGAATCCTTTTTTCTCGTTGGAGCTTCACATCACAAGCATGGTCTTTGTGTTTATTGGCAGCAAACATGATGTCTTGATTGGCGGTTGCGGCTAGCTGCCCTTTTCTTGTCCAATTTCCCTCTCGATCGAGGATGTAACCTTTATAACCAACCGAATCCTTCAAATAACTGTAAACGAGTGGAAGTGCTGTGTTGCTGTAAATGAGTGGAGATGTTCATTCTCAATCTCGGCCATGCCTAACAAAGCCCTCCGTAACCCCTGGGATCCGAAAAGCATCATGAGATGTTATTTTTTACATCTCCTTGAAGGTAAACTGCTGGTTCGCGCCTCCGTGATACGTGTAGACGAGGATGGGAGTCAAGTCCGCCTGGTTGCTGCCAGACACGTCGAGGACCTTGTTCGGATACGCCACGTTGTGGATGCTATATGAACTGTAAGAATGGACTGACACACAGCCAACCAGGAACAAAACGCAGGATGAATGCCGGACTTACAAATAGGCGTCGCCTTTGGCCTTGACAACCTTCCAGCGGGCAACGCTGTTGCACTCAGGGGCCAGCTTGGAGCCTCTGGCGGTCATATCAGAGCCATCTAAGGTTGGAGACGAAACAAAGTCAGTGAGTTTTGCTCGAAGCAGTCTTTGGGGCCATTCAGCTTCTGATTTCTGGTGCTGAATGAATGACCTACTGGGAGCCGTGATGTAAGTGCTGGTAGCAACGCTTTGGATGCTGAATTCCTCGTGGGTGATGCGGGTGAGACGCCACTGTTGGTTTTTGCCGCCGTGGGTTTGGCTATAGAGAGGTGAGTTCCTGAGTTGGCTATGTGTTGAAGGCCCCCCCCCCCCCCCTTTTTTTTTGGTGATTAGGGAGATGGAAACTAACTATTCGATGATGCGGCCCATGGGCTCGGATGCCTCGATGTCGATGGCCTTGTGGCCGCTGATATTGGTGGAGATGTAGTAAGTTCCCTCGTTGAAAGACATTTTGATGGAGGCGGTGATGTGGAATATTCTTGATGAGAGGCTGTTTTGTTTGCTGTGATTGGGCTGGTGAGTGCGATGGTGATTGTGATGATGATGAGGGAGAGGAATATCTCCCTTCTTTATACTATTTCTTCGCTTTGCTTAGACTCCATGTTTGCCTTGCTTGTCTGTTGGGGTTTACGTTAAAGATTCTCTCATCGTGTTCCGAACATGACACATTGTACGCCGCTCAGTTCTCGCCCAGGCTCGTTGCCATTGGATGCCATTGGCAGGCGAGACGATATGATGTTTGAGTCCCTCTTGGCCGACCATCCGTGATATCATCCGGCCAGCCACTTTGTCCACAGACGGTGATGTGGTGTTGAGGAGAATGCGGGGATGAAGCATGCGGTGACCAGGACCATCAAGGGACTCGAGTTGATGTTTCGCAAATTAGCAAAGAGGAATTGCGCGTCTGAAACAGACTATTGTTTGAGAGCTTTGGTTGATACGAGTTGATGTGGGTTGGTTCACTCTGCAAGGTGTATTACACAAGGTTGCTGCTTTACGACCCGAGACTTGACCTTTCCTACGGTGGTCCATAAGATCTGTTTCTTATGATTGTAAACATGGGCAACTCAACGAGCTTACGTGCTATTACAGTTATTGTTCTTCTTCGGATCATTATCCAATTCATTCACTACAACACGTAGGATGGAGGCGGGGAACTCAGTAATGGACTGCGGGAGGCTCCTCTTTGGGTGACCACAAGTGCTTAAAATGCCCGTCTTTGGCCACAGAGTGTGCTGGTCTAAACCCACAGCCGACATCCGACCATAACATCACGTTTGTGACCTGAATTTCCCCTCATTTTTAAGACTCGTGGGTTACACTTTACAAGCCACAGATGCAGGGCAAAAGTAATATTTATGCATAATTTAAGTAGCTTGCATTAGCTACGTGGCCGAGCAAGTTGCGTTATTACTCAGCCCGGTAGGAGCGCCGTTACACTTGTGTCATGTTGATCGATACGGTTTTCGCCATGCATATGTATGCCTTGGATGATGTACAAGCCTCTTTCATGACCTGGACCATGGCTTCTCAGAATACATGTGATTGGTTATTCCCAACTGGCCTACGTTGTGAAAGATTCCTTCGGTCTCCAGGAGTCCATTCAATAATTATACGGGATCTATATCAACTTCAGAGTTACCCGACTGTGCTGTTGAGACCTGCCATATTTGCTTTGCCCGATCCTGTACTGCGGCGAATTTGTGTACCAGGCTGCTTGTGGATAGCGGGAGTAATATGCAGGACACTAATGACCGGCATGAGAGCATGATTGGCAAGGCAAAGCCCGGTAATATTTTGTCTGTGTTGAAAGTGAATTGCGTACCTCGGTGACACGGCGTCTGAGTGCGGAGGCTCTCCACGGCTGGGTGTAAGCGTCGCCGTATACATTACCCAATTAAGTGAATTTGTCTCTTTGGGAAGGTTGATGTGTTCTTATTTCGCGCCACCTCTTATTAGGTAGGTCCTTATGAGTCGTTGAAGGGGTGCATGGCAGTAGAAAACCGTGTTCTAATGTCGACGAGTGTCAGAGCTCAAGAGACAAGAGAGTGGTGTCTCTAGTTCATGCACAATAATTTGTGACCTTTTGGTTGTCAAAATGACTAACAATAGGTAAGCAAAGAAAATTGGCTACAAAAAATAACTTTACAGAATAGACTTGCCTTTGTGTCGGTGCATCAAGCTGGTAGTTTAGTCAGTCGAGTTTACGTGAGTGTTACCTCGCCTCACCAGGAATGTTTACGTGGGACAGATGCAAAACTAGGAACGTTTAAGTGGCATCGGATACATACGTGCTCCGACTGCTCCCAACCGGGAAGCACATATCGTCTGCCCCATGAGCTAATATGTGCTTGATTACAAAGTGGTCAGCTTTTTCACCTGGACTTGCTGGTCACCATGCCTTTAGACAATTCGACCAGCTGCTCCCTTCATCGGTTGGCCTTACAACCGCTCCTTCGGATTATAGCTATCCTCTCAAACAGTCCGTCGGACGAATGCTTCCCCGCCATGGAGAATACACTTGGAATCACCGCTCTCGAGATCTATGACGAGAAAGTTGGAGGTGGATACTCTGAGCTCCGCCAACAGCCTGCGATTTCGGGGTTTCCCGGGTTTGCTTCTCTCAATCAGGCAATTTGGGTGTCACACGCAGGGAGAGCTGCAGTAGCTATGTCTAGTCATTGTTTGTTGGGCGCTCTGGGGTGGGCGTTGATGCTGATGTTTGAGTATACATATATAGTTTCGCTCAATAGTATGATGGGCTGTTGTGCTATTTGCCTTACTGACTACTGGGAATAAGAGGTGGGGATATGAGCATTTACGACACCGTTTCGGGTGACCTCTTAATAATACTATTGCCGAATAGGTAACTGGTAGAAATAATTTGTCTTCAGCCCCATGATCAGGAAGAAACTTCCCAATTGCTGTGAAACCAAGCCAAAGGGTTCTCTGCACTGTCAATTGTCGTTTGGGGGCATGAATTGACTCCGTATCAAGAGTCAAACCGTAATTGCAGACAACAGACCACGGAGAAGTTGACCTTGGAAGAACGAGCTTTGAGCACTCGGTACTCCGTAGATGACCTACAAGTACGAGGACACTAATGATTCGCTAAAATTCCCCATATACCTAGGTTGGCAATTCGGGACCCGAGGTATCATTGCCCCTACTAATTTTAGGCATACTGCCATGTTGTCGCCCCCTTTCGGACGCCCTTAGGTTACTTGGCGACTTGGTACATAGGTTATACGGAGTAGTTACCTGCTCAATGAGGGCAACTGATCAACCCGAAGTGGAGAACACCATGAAGATTTAAAGTCCGGCCCTGGCCTGGCAACTCATGAGTCGGGTTAGCTGGCTTGGCACGCGACAACAGGGGCCATTAGGCTTCCAGAAAGCTTTTGCCTAACTAGAGAGTATACCCCTCCTAATGTTTGGAGTTGATAGTACTCTTCAGTGAGCAGTTACGGTGTAGATCGAAGGACAGGCGGTGGAGCCATGTTAGGATCGTTCTTCTCCGCATGAACTTAGCTCCCTTTGCAGAATATTGCTCCGCCGTGTCCGAAGGAGGATTTTGATTGAATAGAGGCAAGGATCATGATGGGAGCCGCAAAGCCCTACGGGGAATGTACTAGTAAAAGTTGAATTCTCCTTGTCCCGACAGAAGAGTAAAATATAAATGTTCAATCATTATGACGAGAGGAACAGGAGTTTTAGTTTTACCCCTTGATGTGATGGCTGGATAAAGACCAAGCTCGATATAAGCGTATATTGTTATTTTACACCGATAGGCGCGCTAAAGCAGCTCCAAGTGACGGTTGATTATCCTTTCGGAGTAACCTAGCTGAGTTAATTCCAACTCCGAGGGTGGGTTATGCCACCTTTCCTAGGCGGAATAGTATGTTGGCCACCGACCCTGCTGCCGACATTGCGTGTCTGATGATGCTTGATATACTCGTATACAATGAAAATAGAACATTTATTGAGTGACATATTCAAAATGGGTCCTACATGCAGCCTTACATGGGCCGGACAGAGAATAAGATGGGTCTTGTTTGTGAGAGGCTTTATGTGAGGCGACAATGGCCCAGTGACGTTTGTTTCTTCCAGGGGGCCCCCTTTAGCCTTTGATTTGATCCGGGGATTATACCTGTATACGAATCCACCTATGTTCCTTACGGTAAGTACGGAACTACGTCGGCGATGCCAAGCAAACAACGTCAGCAACAATGCGGCTGATCTCGGAGGCGTTCCCTCGTACCGCACCCATATCACAGGAATGGTTTCAAGGATCTGATAATGTGACTGACTATACGGGGCACCAAGAGGCTCTTTGGTGTTGGGCTGGAAAGGATATAGAAGCGTTCCATATATAGTATGACCCATAGCAATCCCCACTGATGAATAGTATAAATATCTAGTCATTTCATCTGGTTTCGACTCGAGTTTCTCAAGGAGTGTGCTCAAGCAACACAATTGGTTATCTTTCATAGCCCATCATGTTGTTTTCTTCCGTCCAAGCCGTTGTGGCTGTTGCCGGCCTCATTGGCTCTGTCCAAGGTGCCGCCATTGGCGTCGAGAAGCGTGCTTCAGCGGGATGCTCGACGACTCACGACTGGGCTGGCCAAACGCACCAGTATAGCTTTGAAAGCAGTGGCGGAACTCGATCCTACCTGATCCATCTTCCTGCAAACTACAAGCCAGGCTCCGCTAAGCCCCTGATCATCGCCTACCACGGCTCGGGTGACAACATGGCAAACTTTGAGAAGACGACCCGATTCTCTGATCCATCCGTCAACTCCGACATGATTGTTGTGTACCCGCAAGGCATCAACGTTAGTCTACGATATCTTGGATTCGATAATCACGGGATTGTTCTAACGAGACTGTAGGGAAACTGGCAAGGACCGACCTACGCGACCCCCGGCGTCAGTGACAAGGTGTTCACCACCGATCTCGTGAACCGAATCAAGGACAACTACTGCGTTGACGAGACCCGCGTGTACGCCACTGGCCACTCCAACGGCGGTGGCTTTGTCAACACTCTTGCTTGCAGCCCTGACCACGGCGGCCAGTTTGCAGCCTTTGCTCCCGTCTCAGGCGCCTTTTACACCGATGTCACCGGAAACGACAACTGCCACCCGGCTCGCTCGCCTCTGCCCATGTTTGAGACTCACGGAACTGGCGACGAGACGATTCCATACAACCCTACTGGTCCTGGACGTGGTGGGCCTCTCCCTTCTATTCCCGACTGGCTCTCGCGATGGGCTTCTCGCAACCAGTGCACCACTTCGGCTACTGCCGATCTCAATACTGGTGTCCACGATACTAGGTGGAAGTGTGCGGGCATTGACAGCTTGCTGCGACACATCAAGATTGATGGAGCGCCCCACGCATGGCCCGCGATTTCAAAGGTTGACGTCTCGAAAGAGGTTATTAATTTCTTTTCTGTCAACTTTAAGCCATAAGTTGCTGCTATATGTGGATAAATAATAGGCAGATTCAGGTGTACATCTTCAATGACCAAGATTAACTGTACATAGGTCAAGACTACTAGCTAGATAGTTGATGTATAATGAAATCAAGAAAGTGGAAGATTAAATCTCTTGTGCGAAAAGCCCTTTGTTTCTTCTCTTCTCTTCTTGATAACTGATGGCAATCTCTGTGGAATTCATTGGAATGATTGAGTTATTTAATGCATGTATTATATCGTCAAGTACCTATTTACCTATTTGCTGTTCGCCTGCAGCTGGTGATACGCAGCTTACATACTGTGAGCACATGTATGTTGCATCTTTCTCCTACCCTAAGCAAGTATTGTATGCTAGAATTGCTTCCCATTAAAAAGGATGTAGGTTGGCATCTTATTTGCATCTCTAAAGAATGCTCTCGTTGGCCGCCTATCAAATGTCGACAATACGCTTTAACAATTCAAAGAACAATTAAATGTATTTAGTAGTCTTGCTGAAGTTTTGGCTTATGGAGTTGAGATTCAAACTCATTTGGAATACACAAATTCGGTATCAGCACTGTACACGCCAAGTTCAAGAAAGCAACATTCCAGATAGTGTAAAACGACATCATCGTCCGCAACGCAAATTGCCTTCTACAGTATTTATATGCTATGTAATCTTGGCGCCGAGTGGGTTCTATGTGATTTTATTCACAGTAGTGGCAATGCAAAGATCTTCCTATAATCGATGGAAGCATCTGGAGAAATGGATTGAGTTCTGCGCTGGCTGGAGATGGTGGAGTCAGCTTCTTCCACACCAAGTCTTCATTCGTGGACAATCCATCGACCCACCACGGCAAGTGAGCTTTTGACATGTAGGGCGCAGATGGTCGAGATGGATGTCGTTTGATGGAGCAATCGTTGTCGACGCCACGAAGCCATTGGGAGCCATTGGGAGCAGCTATAATGCCCAACGGCCCCGAGTTTTGGAATTCCATCTTCTGTTATCAATTTCGTCAAATTATTCCATCTAACTGACCGCTAGAAACACCCGTAAACTGCCGCGTTTTATAAGTCACTGAGCGTATCTTGCTACGGGCCATGGCAGCAGAAGCGTCATCCATCGAACTAAAGAAAGCCCCGCCAAACACTCCATTCGCAAAGACGGCTCTTACCCCAGATCAAGGCCCTTCTGAGAGCAACTACAATTCAGACCGGGCAATTATCTCTGGAGATGACGAGAATCCCCCCAGTGGTGCGGCAGAGTTCTCGCTGCCGCCTGTTGACAGGGGAAAGGATGCATGGCTTTTCTTAGCGGCTTGCTTCGTCCTGGAAGCGTTGGTATGGGGTGAGCGAGAAATCGTCTGTTGACGTGCTTAAACGATTGTTGCTGAATGAAATCGATAGGCTTTCCATTTTCGTTTGGTGTTTTTCAGGACTATTATCGAACACATGAACCCTTTGCTGGGTCGTCTAAAACTGCCGTAATTGGCACAACTGCAATGGTAATTGTTTACTTATACGAGCGAACAATTAGCAAGGCAAATAGGCTAATGGTTATTTGTATCAAATAGGGTATCATGTATCTCGATATTCCAATCATCATGGCCGTCCAGCGTATATACCCAAAGCCAACTCGTTATGCGCCTGTCGCCGGTCTTTTATTCCTATGCCTTGCTCTCGCCATCTCTTCCTTTTCGCAAAATGTTACGCACCTCATCCTGACCCAGGGAGTCCTCTATGCCATCGGTGGTTCCATCTGCTACTGTCCCTGCATGCTATACATGGACGAGTGGTTCGTCAAGCGCAAGGGCTTCGCCTGTATGCATTCGCAACTCCTATAATTATTCAGCATTCCGCTAACTTCATTGTCGACGGCGTAATGTGGTCTGGAACGGGCCTTGGTGGTTTCACCATCCCTCTTCTCCTCGAGTTCTTCCTCAACAAGTACGGTTTCAGAACCACGTTGCGGATCTGGGCTCTCGCCATGTTTATTTTGTCCGCACCATTGGTTTGGTTCATTAAGCCGCGGCTACCCTTTTCTGCTACGGCTCACTACAGGCCGTTTAACCTCAAGTTTCTGGCGAACCGTTCTTTCGGCATGTACCAGCTCACAAACATTGTGCAAGGCGTTGGATACTTTCTTCCGGGCATCTATCTGCCGACATACGCGCGGGTGTACCTCGATGCTGGTGATTTCCCGTCGGCTTTGACACTCTTGGTCTTGAATGTCGGTTCTGTTATAGGATGTGTCGCCATGGGTATCTTTATTGATCGTCTACATGTGACGACGTGTCTTGGAATAGCGACTGTCGGCACCGCGATTGGTACCTTTTTCCTCTGGGGACTAGGCAGTACCATGACCTCCCTTTACGTATTTTGCTTCGTTTATGGCATGTTTGCGGGATGTTATACGTCTTCATGGCCTGGAATCATGTCGCATCTCATGTCAATAGGCAGCGGGTCAAGGGAAGAGAACAGCGGGAGACGTTCCACCTATGACCCTCTCATGGTGGTTGGTTGGCTGTCTGCTGGGCGTGGCATTGGTAATGTCGTCTCAGGGCCGTTAAGTGAGGCGCTGCTAAAGGGAATGCCATGGCAAGGTCAAGCTGCCGGCGGGTATGGCAGCGGATATGGGACGCTGATAGCATTTACTGGCGCAACGGCTGTTGTTGGAGGCAGCACTTTCTTATTTCGAAGGATTGGATGGCTGTAGATAAAAGTTCTTTGCTTCTAGTGGTGATTGGGGCGGAAGAAGAGTAAGTTGTATAGACTGCGTTATGAATAGAACATGGTTATGCGATTTCGAGCTTGGTGGATTACATTACGGATATTGTATCAGCAACGTTGACTATGACACTGAGGGAAATAGAAATCAAATAAAGGTATAAGATTGTCATGAATCATTTTTTAGTCTTCATAAGCACCAAAATAACCGAACCCTCGCAGCCGTTTGGATATATCCGCCGTCAATACAAAACTCCCATCACTATAATACGATAGCCCATTACCCATCACCTTTTTTTTTTCGTGTCCTGTTCAAGAATTTGTACTTTGTAAAGAATCTTTTACCACTTTGGCGATTCTATTCCCTGAGCAGGCCGGCGGCTTGGACCTGTCGGAAGACTTCATGCTCATTGACATTCGAGTTCTGGTTCGCACGCTTCTTTGCAGCCCATCCTCTAAGTCCCGGGACCTTGGACACGACACTCAAGAATTGGTTCTTCAAGGGCAATGATCCGGTCTTCTCCTCATAGATGAGAAGAGAGACAGTCAAGACCAGGAATGCCCAGTAGACGTTGTACGCGATGACGGAGCCATAAGTGGCGGTATTTTGCCAGCCAAGGATGGAGTTGAAGACATCCCAGCCGTTATCGGTTTCGGGATTGCAGCAGTTGACGTGCCAGACGGTTTCAGTAATGTCGTAGCTTCCTGGGCCCGATCCAACTTCGGCCACGTCTGAGCCTACACGCTGAGCGAACGTGTGGTATTGAAGACTCCAGATGGACTTGGAGAACATGCCAGCGGCAATCAGATACAGCACGCCGGTGGAAGCAATGAGGAAAATTTGAATCGACATGAGGTTACCGCCACGGTAGATGAAGAAGCCGACAGCGAGACCAGCGATGATACCACAGATAACAGGCAGAGGGAAAGCTGTTGCGGGCAAGCTAAGAGAGACGCCACCGATAAAGACAACAGCTTCCACACCCTCTCTCAGGGTTGTTATGAAAGGCAAGATGAACATGACATGTCTTCTTGACCAGTCACCGAGCCAAGAGGTTGGCTTGGCTGACTCGGCTGATTTCTCAGCCAAGGCCTGTGCGATCTTGACGCGCCACTTGTCCTTCATCTTGTTGATTCTCAAGAGCGCAAGTCCCATGAAGGAGATGATGATGGTGGCAATTAAATAAAAGATGCCCTCCCAAAGATCCTCAGATTTTGCCCAGATATCCTTGCCGAGGCCATAGAATGCTCCGATGAAGCCGCCGCCGATGATGAGACAGATGATGATACCTGCAAACGAGCCAAGCCATACTTGCTTGACTAGGCGTTTATAGATGGCTTGATCCTGGTCTGGTCCTCCGAGAGATTGCTTGAGGAAGGACAAGAGGACGGAGATGATGATGACTGCCTCCAGACACTCGCGGAACATACTTCGGCAGTTATTAGTATAAGGTTAAATATAAGGTGTTGATAAGTAAAAAATGAACTTACATAAAGAAAATTTGGACAGCAAACACGTTCTTCGCCATTGTGTCTACCAGATGGCACCCAAGGCCAAGAGAGAGAAACTAGGTGAGCTGAAAGATGGAAGGAAAAGAGACGAGCAGGCTCAATTGGTGCTATTTAGCCATTCATGGGCGCTCGTTGTACGAATTGGACTGGCTCAAGGTTGGGAAAAATTTGTTGCTCGTCTGTCCCCCAACCGAGCTGAGCCGGAACCGCAAGGGCACTTGTAATGGAAACTCGAATTGGCTCCCCCGACGGATCATTTCGACACCGATCGGAAGCAACCATTGAAACGGGGCTGAACATGGCTCAAGCCAAATCAGATGATCAGATAACAGAATCGTCCAGTCAGAAGCTGTTGATGCATCTCCAACTCCGGCGCTTCGGCTAAGACGGCACCGTGGCCCACCATCGCCAACCGCCTTTTTGGGACGTTTTGGGTTATCTGATCTCACAGAATCAATCTGATCAGGGAAAATGGCTCAACTACAGGGCCGAAACATAGTTATCTGATCACGCCAAACGGCAACTCGGCAGAGCTATTGAACGCCTCGAGGGGTTCGCTGCGAGTCTAAACGGGCCTTGATTCTTTTTCGGGTCGTGAGAACAAGGATCTGGTGCTGCGATGGTCGGCACACATGCTGTAGAATTTTTTCATCTAGCCTGCGGGGGTCATCTAGCTTTTTTTTTTCTTTTTCTTTTTCTCCGTCTCGTTGTCGTGGGAAGAGAGATTGATTATCTGATTGATGGCCAATTGACCTCGGAATGTGTTGGGGAGAAGAGAGCTGACCTTGGTTCCCTGGCGTCCTTGGGTCAGGTGCCGAAATAGATATCAACCTTGACCAGCCCACACTCACCTGAAGGTGGCAGAGGAGAAGCCAATTCAAGTTGTTGCGTTTAACATGAAGCGCTTTTTGGTTCTGGCTCTCGTGGCCCTTGGCTGCCAGGCCAAGACAGTCACATACGACTTCAACGTCACCTGGGTCACGGCCAACCCCGATGGATTGGCGGAGCGCAAAGTCGTTGGAATCAACGGCCAATGGCCGCTGCCTCTGATTGAGGTTGACAAGGGCGATCAGCTCGTCGTCAACATGCACAATGGCCTCGGAGACAGGCCGTGCTCAATTCACTGGCATGGCATGTTCCAAAACACCACAAACTACATGGACGGCGCTTCCATGGTTACCCAATGCCCTGTGCCTCCTGGACAGAGCATGACTTACAACTTTACCGTGAACCAGAACGGCACCTACTGGTATCACTGTCACACAGATTACTGCTATCCGGACGGCTACCGCCAGGCGCTCATCGTGCACGACGAGCATGCCCCGTTCAAGTTTGATGAAGAGTTTACGATTACCCTGTCTGACTGGTATCACGAGATGGTTGATGGCATTCTGTCGGCAGAGTTCATGTCTGTGTACAACCCTACTGGCGCAGAACCTATCCCGTCATCTTTCCTCTTCAACGATACCTTCAACAGCAGCCTCCCCGTCGAGCCGAACAAGACATATCTGATCCGACTCGTCAACATTGGCGCCTTTGTTGCGCAGTACTTTTACATCGAAGGCCACACCTTCAAGATTGTGGAAATCGACGGTGTATACACGGAGCCTAGCGAGGCTGACACTCTTTACATTGCTGTCGCCCAGAGATATGCGATCCTCCTGACCACCAAGAACGAGACGGACACGAACTATCCCATAGTCACCGTGGCGGACTCTGCCCTGCTTGATGGCATCCCCGACGATCTTCGACTGAACAACACCAACTGGCTCGAGTACAACAAGAATGCCGACCACCCGCAGGCCACAATCAATGTTACTGACGCCACGGAGCTCATTCCCTTTGACGACATAACGCTGGTGCCTACGGACGGGATGGAACTTCTCCCCGAGCCCGATTTGGAGGTCAATGTGACGGTCATCATGAACAATCTCAACACCGGATTCAGCTACGCGTTCCTCAACAACATCTCTTACACCAAGCCCAAGGTGCCATCTCTCTACACCGCAATGTCGGCCGGGGATTTGATAACCAACAACGAAATCTACGGCGAATTCACGCACCCCATGGTCCTCAACCACAACGACGTCGTGCAAATCGTGCTAAACAACGCCGACGGCGGCTCGCACCCGTTCCATCTCCACGGCCACAACTTCCAGGTCATTGACCGCGCTCCGGCATATGGCGCCAACTTTTACGACTACTTGAACGGAGACCCCGTCCCCTACGACCCAAGCAACCACACCGCGTTCCCCAAGATCCCGGCTCGCAGAGACGTGTTCGTGCTGCCGCCCCAAGGCTACTTTGTCATTCGTTTCGTTGCCGACAACCCCGGCGTCTGGATCTTCCACTGCCACATCGACTGGCATCTTGCTTCCGGCCTGGCCATGATTTTCATCGAGGCTCCGCAGCAGATGCAGGAGCGCATCAAGATCCCTCAAGACCACCTCGACGTTTGCAAGGCGGCTGGAATTCTCTCCCAAGGCAACGCCGCGGCCGATACGGCAAATTTCCTCGATCTCAAGAACCAGGCTGCGCAGCCGGGTTGGATTCCTGATGGATTCACGGCGCGAGGAATTGTTGCGCTTGTGTTTTCAGTTCTGTCCGCCATCATCGGTATCATCAGCATTGTGATTTACGGCCTGGCGGATGTGAAGAATAAGCAGGAGGATGAGACGGTGCCAGAGTCAGAAGTTGCGGTGGAGGAGACTGTGGAAAATCCTCCCAAGTCTTGAGGAAGAGGGACATGAATTTTCTGATGATTTGCCATGTGATGGCTCAAGTTAGGTTTGGTAAAATACCCCGTGTAATGGTGGGAAGGAAAATACAAAATGGAGTTTGATGTTTTTAATTGAGGCTCTTTTGCATAGTTTCAAATGTCAATGAATGCGCTTTGTTCAACATGGTGGGGAGTTGTCTTTGCCTTGTGTCATGTTATGATGTCCATGTTGACGCTCTTTGGACAATGCGAGGACAATTGATCGTTTGCAATCATGTTTTATTCGCCATCATATTCTATAAACGCATACCCTCATGAAGATGTGTGTTTCTCAATTGCATCACCGCGAATGTCTCAGCAATTGTCAGCAAAGATGCAAATAGTAGTGTCTAATAATTGCCCCCACGACGGCTGTCTTCGGATGCGGGGCCCGAACGCAAGATTCCATCTCGAGTCTATCGGATAGCATCCTTGGCTACTCTGGATTATTAATGCCCTAGCCTATAAGTAGCAAAGGACTGAGATCCCCTTCAGATTTGGAAGATACATCACGTCAACAGCATATCTGTTGTTTGAATTTGCTAAACTCAACATGGCCGTCGTACACGCAGGCCCCAATGACTCCTGGCACGGAGTCATCAAATCTGGTGGCGAGTTCCCCCCCGAAGCTGGCCGCTATCATCTTTACGTTGGGCTCTTTTGCCCATTCGCGCATCGCGCACTATTAGTGAGATGCCTCAAAGGATTGGAATCTCTCATCGATGTGTCGGTCGTGAAGCCGTATCCAAAGGGTGATGACAGGGGATGGCCGGGCTGGCGATTTCCTGCCTCAAACGATGAATACGCGGGAGCGACAGTGGACAAACTGTTCCAATCCGAGTATATGCATGACGTCTACTTCAAAGCAGATGCCGAATACAAAGGACGATACAGCGTCCCGGTCCTGTGGGATACGAAAACCGGGACCATTGTGAACAACGAAAGCGCCGAGTTGCTGCGCTGGCTTCCAAATGCGTTTAACGATATGCTGCCACAAGATGGGCAAGAGTCTCAGCTTGATCTCTATCCGACGCATCTGAGAAGCGAGATTGATGCAATCACCGAGTGGATGCAGAGGGATCTCAACACGGGAGTCTACAAGGCCGGATTTGCAGAGACCCAGGAAGCCTACAATGAGGGCGTGGTGACTGTGTTCGCGGCCTTGAATCACCTCGAAAGCCTGATCCATCGCAACGAAGGACCGTACATTCTAGGCAAATTCCTCACTGAACTCGACATCCGAGCGTATACCACCATCATCCGATTCGATGCTGTCTATGTCCAGCATTTCAAATGCAACCTTGGGACGATTCGCGCAAATTACCCCGTTATTCACGAATGGTTGAAGAATCTCTACTGGAACGTGAAGGGATTCAAAGAGACGACAGATTTTAAGCACATTAAAGAGAATGTGAGTAAAACTCCAGATAAGCCAAAATGGCCCGAAACTAACTTTGCAAACAGTACACAAAGAGTCATGCAAAGATTAATCCGCTAGCAATTACTCCCTTGGGGCCGTTTCCTGATGTAGAGGAAGGCATTGATCTGGATTTACCCATCTTAAGCCGGGATCTGTGGGGTATCCGATTGTGCTTGAAAGACAGGCCGAATTATACGATTAGATGGCATGTATAGAGAAGAGAGGATTTTTGGCATGATCAGCGGCTATAATACAATCCTGCTCTTTTCTATGTCTACGAGTACCGTAGTTTATCAACCAGGCTCTTGCTTTTCCATGCAAATATCAGATCACGGTCTTCCCATAGCACGCTCAATCTCTACCAGAGCTGCGAGGACCTTTTCGTCGTATTGTCGTCTTCCGACAATCTGCAGACTCACCGGTGCATTGACATACTTCTCCGGGCTGTACATCTCATACACAAACTTGTCCTTCTCGTTCTTCGGCACGTAATTGGGGTTCTTGACGTCCTTGACCTGATCGACAGTGGTAACGGGGAAGACAACGGCCGGGTAATCCAGGAGGTTCCATTGCGAAGTGTAGCCCCAGTACCGAGACTGCTCGTGGGGAGCCGCAGCACCGAAGGATGGAGCACACAGAATGACATCTACCTCTCCCTCGCCGTTCACCGCGGTGGCTGTCCAGGCCTTGGCATATCTTGCTCGGTAGGCATCTCGTCGGGCGCAAATCTTGGCACAAGAGTTAACCGCTATGATCTGAGTAATGAGGGAAGGGAAAGCACTTACATCCCAAAGTTCGGGTACGGTCATCTTCTTGACGCTTGGCTGCTCTCCGATGATGAATTTCGTCAACGGCAAGACGGGTTCCCCGGTTGAGTTCATCAGGTTCATGACCTCTTCGCCGCCATCAGGCCAGTAGAGCCCTGAAATAATGTCCCAGGCCTCATCGTGGCCGAGCGACTCGCAAGTCCAGTCAACCACCTTGTGGCCAGCGTTTCGGCAGGCGGCGGCAACTTCCTGTAACGCGCGCCTCATGGGAGGATGCAGCTGGACAACACCATCCCACCATTGGACGGCAATTTTGAGCGGCTTCGTGAAATGATACGGCGTCCACGGTTTGGCTGTAAGTGAAGGATCAATACGCCACGGCTCGGCAGCAATGGCAACCTTCATGAATAGCTCGATCGCGTCACGCTCTACTGTCATCGGTCCTGGGGTGGAGAGGATTGTCTCCTTGCCAGCCATGTTGGCCTTTTGTCCGAAGACGGAAATGCGCTTGGCAGTTGGCCTGGGAACTCGTTAACCACATGGAAAACGGTGACATGGTAGGGTTGCTTGACTTACTTGAAGCCATAGATGCCAACATGAGCTGATGGGCACCGAACACTGCCTCCGATATCGCCACCAACGCCCTGCGCGACTTGTTAGTCTCGTACTTGCAACGGCAAACTTCGTCTTTTGCATCACTCACAAGGATACTGCCACGAATACCAATCAGGGCAGATTCGCCACCAGAGCTACCGCCGGGTGTCAAATTCCGGTTGTATGGGTTAACCGTCCGTCCATAGACATTGCTCTCGGTCTCCAGGTGCATAATAGTTTGCGGCTGAGTCGTTCTGGCGTAAAAGACACACCCTTCGCTGTACAGAATGTCGTAAAGCAGGTTTGAGGCGTGCTCTGTCTCAACCCAAGCAGCGTATGAGGCAGAGGTCTTAATGTGTTGGCCAACCATGCCATGGTGCTCCTTGGTTGAAATGGGGAGGCCAAAGAAGGCACCCTTGGGTACCGGCAGGGAATCGAGTTGCTTTGCACGAGCGATGGCCTCATCCCACAACAGCTCAGTAAGGCAATTTGTCTAAAATCATTAGCCCGGTTACTTTTTCTGCGGTGGTTATGGAAGTAGTGCATGATGTGACGTGAGATATGTGAGATATATGAGAACATACAGCGGCTTGGGCCAGCGCCGCTCTGCGCAGAAAGGCCCGCGTCACCTCCTCGACGGTAATCTTCTTTTCTTTGAGGATCTTGAGCAACTCTGTGACGGAATAGTTTTCGGTGATTTCGAGTTCCCGCGCCGTCAGCACCAACTTTGGCAGATCTTGTGAACTCAGGGGCAGGACGTCCGGGATGCCCTCCAACTTGGGCTCGACCTTGGCCAGCCCAGCATCGCGCCGGGCTCTGGCCAACGAGGCTTTGTCTTGCCAGATTGTGAGCTGCTGAGCGTCACCCATGATGTGTTATGTAATATGGAACCCTTGTTCAACCGTGCAAGTGTAACTTGTAAATACAATACGCTGTGTGCCGTGTATCAATGCTCTGGTTAATGAAGAGAAAAAGATGGTCATCAGCTGTGGCGAAGGAACGTGGCCGGCTTATAACGGCCCCGGATCAAATCATTGGGAGACACCGGCCTCGCGACTCCGGGCATCGTCTTGCCCCAATTGGCAACCCAGACGCGCTGGGCTATTACCATATCTAATCGCTACCCCTCAGCCCAGGCAAAATGAGGGGTTGCGATGGGGAGGATGGAGAATGGCTGGGCCGGAGGTTGATAAGCTAGAGCGGCCACCACCGAGGCGTGTGCCGAGCTAGAGAAGAGAGGCCGTCTCACGTGCTGGGATTTGCGAGTTATTGCCTGGATCGAGCCATTGTTTTGCATTCTATGGAGTACATGATAGTGCGGGTAGAGGCGGGCGGGTGAGCGGGAAGCCATTCAATGTGTATTGTAATGCTCCGATATCGTATTTAGACGTGTAAGCTCAGCAATATGAATCACTGAATACACAGGTTGACTCGGTTGCTACAGAGATGTAGGTATTTTAAATAGACTTCATTTTGATTGTCAAAAAGAAAAAGAGAAACACTGTTTAAGTTTCGTCTACTACTCCAGTAGACGCCCAATTTACATCAAATATTACTACTCGTCTGCCAGGTTTACGTGCACTGCCTTGGACTGCGTATAAGCGTCCAGCGCATACTGACCCAGCTCTCTCCCAATGCCCGACGATTTATAACCTCCAAACGGAATGCCGAAATGCGAGTCGCCCGATGAATTGATGAACACCATGCCGGCTTGAATCTTGCGAGCAACTTTGTGTGCCTTTGTCACCTTTTGTGTAAACACCGCAGCCGCCAAGCCGTACGATGTGTCGTTGGCCTTTGCAATGACTTCCGCCTCGGTGCTGAACTTGGAAATTGCAACGACGGGGCCGAAGATCTCCTCCTTGACAATCTTCATATCTTCAGTGGTCTAGGGTTCAAAAAGATTAGTTGTGATCGGTGTTGGAAGGAGAGAGACGAGGTAGGGATACATACATCTGCAAAAACGGTGGGCTGGACAAAGTATCCTTTGTCGCCGTGCTTGGCACCGCCGTGGAGGACGCGAGCGCCAGACTTCTTGCCCTCATCGATGTAGCCCAAGACCTTTTCAAATTGTGCCTTGGAGACTTGGGGGCCCTGGTAGGTATCCTCATGGAAAGGGTCGCCAATCTTTGTTGCGGCATCCTTGGTCTTGGCCGTGAATTTGGCGAGAAACTCATCGTAAATGGTATCTTGTACATAGATTCGAGATGTCGATGTGCATACCTGAGTACAGCCGTTAGATCATGAAAGAAGACTTGAAGAAGTAAGGCGCATGTGAACAAAACTCATTGGAGGAACTTACTTGACCCATGTTGTCCATGATTCCACTGTGAGACCACTTCACAGCCTGGTCAAGGTCTGCGTCTTCAAACACAATGCTAGGGCTCTTGCCGCCGCATTCAAGAGTAATGTTCTTCAGGTTGCTGGCAGCAGACTTCATGATGGACCTTCCAGTAGCTGTGCTGCCGGTGAAGGCAATCTTGTCCACATCCATGTGACTCGCAAGAGCCTTGCCAGATATGTACCCAAGACCGGGAATAATGTTGACTACGCCAGGTGGGAAGCCGGCCTCGACAATAAGCTTACCAAAGTATAGAGCCGAGAGAGGAGTTTGCTCTGCGGGCTTCAAGACAATGGTGTTTCCGCAAGCCAGAGCTGGCGCGACCTTCCACGCAAGCATCATGAACGGATAATTCCTGGCGCTCAACTTAGTCGCTCCAATAAATCTATCAATTTTCGGAGAATCCCTCCAGGATGCAGAAAAGGTTCATACCAGGGAATAATTTGACCACAGACACCAAGAGGTTCCTGCAGGACATAAGCCAGCTTATTGGGCCCCGTCTCAATAGTTTTGCCACTGATCTTGTCTGCGGCACCGGCATAGTACCGAAAGACGTTGTAGCTCTCGAGCAAATCTCCTCCATATGCGTCGGAGAATGACTTGCCGTTATCGAACGAGTCGATACTTGCCAGGAGCTTCCGATCCCTGTCGATTAATTCGGCCAGCTTATATATCAAAGCGCCTCGCTCAACGGCCTCGAGTTCAGACCATTCTCCATCAAAAGCGCGGCGGGCAGCGGCGACGGCTTTGTCTACGTCTTCCTCTGAAGCGCCTTGTAAAGTGACAACCTCCTCATCCGTGCTGTTCATCTGGTAAGTAAACTCGCCCTGTTCACCTAGTCGTTTATGACGTAGAAATGCGGCCGGAGTGCCTTACGTAGGGTTATAGACGGTAAACTTTTCGCCATTGGCGGGGACGTATTCATTGTCAATGAAGAGCCCCGTGGGCTGATCGTAGTTGAGCCCATTGGGCAGAGACACCTTGAATGTAGAAGTCATTTTGTGTAGGGTATTGTGTTGTTGAGGGGAATGAAACGAAAACCGCGCCAACGAAGCAGAGGCCGCTTTATATACAACCGCCTCAATGGCTTGCAAGACAATTGATGTAATCTGACAGTCGTATTTCTGAGACATCCGCCCCTCAAGGTAAAATCGCCTCACGCGGGGAGCCGCACCCACAGTTTAATATTAGCTACACTATTTGTAGTTATTCGTGGATGTTACACGCATCTAACCAGGGTAAACCAACACTACTAGAAGAAAACTTTACTGGTAGTGATTACGTGTTATGTCCGGCGGTATTCCGTAACGATCTCGAGATCTTCCTCAGCCCTACCACATGAGCTCTTCTTATTTTCCAAAGATATGCCAGCCGTACGATCCAACGTATCAAAGTCAAAGTATCTAGAATGGCACAAGTATCTCACCACCCCGATACAACACATTTACAATGCCAAACTTAAATTATGGAACACAAAATTATAGATCGCTGATAAGAACCTTGACGGCTGTCTTGGAGCGGAGTGTGGAGTCTTCCCCTCACGGTAAGCCGAACGTGGCGGGGAAGATGTTTGTTCAGAGAGTCAAGATTTCTTCTCTCAGCTTACCAAAGGCAGTAAAGCCCTTATCGAGCTTGAGCCCCGTATGAACTTTAGCAGCCGTTCCGAGCTTAGCCTTCACCGCAGACAGGACAGATAACATCCGGTACATCTATCACGCTTCGTTCCGAGCCCATCAGTTTTCACGATGCCATATCGAGCAACCCCACTTGACAGCGTCAACAGCGTCAACAGCGGCGATTGCTTTGATTCGAGACAAGCACGGGGTGTTGCTTGATATCAGACGTAGAGCCGCAGCCCGTGAAATAGCATAAGGGTCATGGGTCCCTCCTCATTAATATGTTGCACTCCTACGTATGACTGACTATTCACAAATGACCGAGACATTAATACAATGTGCATTGCAAATTGATACACCACCCCCGTTATCGATATCAATCTTTGTTCCTAAGACATTAAGAATTTGACAAGCACTCTAAGCCTTCTCAGCCTCGACAGTCACAATCTCATCAGGATTGGACCGGTAAACCATGGCGGTAAGACCAATCTCGTTGTTAATCTCCTCCATGCGCTCAAAGTCTGCGCGTGCGGCACCTTCGCTGCCAAAGACAATGTCCTAATAAAAGTCAGCATAAAGCTCTTGTAACATTGTGTTTCATTAGGCTGTGCCCTTACCATTTCCTCCAGGGTAAGACGCTTGGTCTCGGGGACGAAGAAGTAGACGAAAGCGGCACCGAGATACGTAAGTATTCCGAATAGAATATAAGTACCGTAGGTGATGCCTTGCAACATGTCGGGAGTAACCTGTCCGATTCTGCGGAGACGAGACTGTTAGAAATTGTAATCATAAACCCGTAGTTTGTAATCGACTTACATAAAGTTGTTCATCCAGTTGCTGGATGCTCCCAAGGAAACACCATAAGGTCGAGAGCTCAATGGCCAAATTTCGGCCACAATAATCCAGGCACAAGGTCCCCAACTGTAACCAAAGTGGACAACAAAGAGCCAGACCATGGCAACGGCGGCCCAACCGGCGGCCTTGTGCTCGGGCCAGTTATCGGAGTTCTTGGCGAAGAGGATGGCAATGATGATGTGGCAAGTAGCCATACCGATAGCACCGACAATGAGGACTGGCTTGCGTCCAATTCGGTCAATCCACAGCACGGCGGGAGCAGTTGCGACAAACATGACGATGCCAACCACACCAGTTGCCAGCAGAGAAACGGTGTTGTCGGTCTGACCTAGCTGCTGGAAGATGGTAGGGGCGTAATAGAGCACAGCGTTGATTCCTGTCCACTGTTGAGGATGTTAGTTTTGTTGATGCCCAGTAAAAATCCTTGTTGCATACCAGGGACTGGGAAGCAGTGGCAACGTACCTGTTGGAAGAACATGGTAACACTGGCAACCATGCAGCGCTTCAACATGCTCTTCTTTGTGAAAAGAGACTTGATGGCAACGAACTGAAGCAGGAAGTTGTTCCAGACTGTCTGCTCGCGGAGGTGGGGGAACTGCTCGGCAATGCTTCGCTTTTCAAACAGAGACTGGGCCTTGATTTCCAAAAACTCCAGCTCAACGAGCTCGTGGTCGATGGGAAGGCCTCGGAGGGTAGACAGGATTCTCTTGGCTTCCTCTTCGCGGTCGTGGTGGATAAGCCAACGGGGCGAGAAGGGCATGAAGATCATGCCTCCGAGGAGGAGGAGACAGGGGAAGATCTGAAGGCAGACGGGCACAAGCCAGGCAGCCTCGCTCTGGTGGCCGAGAGTGGTGCCGCCGATGTAGTTGGTGCCACTGAAATGATGTTAGTATCGTTACAGATGAGATTTGTGTCGTTATTAAAAACATACTAGTCAATCCAGAAGGAGACCATGATACCGAAGCAAATGGCAAACTGCTGGAGGGCGACAAGAGCACCTCGAACCTCGCTATTTCATTGTTAGTTGTATTTCTCCACACATTTTTCATATCTCTCATCAGAGAATAGATTGAGACGTACGGAGGAGCCACTTCAGAGTTGTAGATTGGCACAATCATAGACAAGCTTCCAACACCAATACCGCTGTTATCAGAGTCAGTATCAAATGCTCGCTGGTGTTCTTTCTAAGAGTAAAAACATACGTGACGAATCGACCTCCAAGAATGGCACTGGGACCGGCATCGATGGCGCAGGCCTGGACAATAACACCGATAATGAAAATGCAGCAGGCAACAATGATTCCGTATTTACGAGAGATTGTCTCGGCGAGGAAACCGGAGAACAGGGTTCCAAACCAGGCACCAAGTTCGAGAATGGCCGTCAGCCAACCCTTCTTGGTCTGGCTGGCATTGGCGTCAAAAGGATCGTATTCTCCCATGTCTAAGCGCCGCAAGTCAGTCGCATGTTCTAGCATTTCCTCTCTTACATGCTATTCACTTACGCTGTTTGAATGATGGCATGGCAAGAACGCCAGAGAACATGCCCTGGTTGTAGCCATACAGAACACCACCGATGCAAGCAAAGGCAGCTAGACTGAAGACGCGAAAGTTTTTGAACAAAGCACGCGCTCCACTGGAGCCCATGAGGGCCTGGCGACGAGACAGCGCCGCATCATAGATGGCGGCACCAGAGTCGGCGTGGGCGCCCATTGTTAAGACGAGAGGCTGAGACTAATGGCCTGTCTTTTCTTACAATGTGCAAAGAAGATGTGGTAACACCGATCTGAGATGGGAGAAGTGAAGAAGGGAAGATGAGAGGAGGAGGAGGAAAAAAAAAACAATCAGAGTCTAAATCGAGCTCTGTCACATTTCCTGCAATACGACCCTGGGAAACAGAGGGTCGATTACTACTATATAAGTGATTTGTCTCCAGACACACTCCTTGCCTCGTTTCCATGTACCCGACGGCAAGGTCATCTCCAACAAGCTGCACTTGGATATTCATCCAAGAGTGCTGCCGGCGCTACGGCAAGGAGCGCTTCTGCCCATTTTAGCCTAAATAGCCGCCAGTCTTTAAATCTTCCGTAGCTTGCGAGTGGCTCACCCGAGCTTGGGGTACCGGCCAACTGACAGGGGCTCTGGTCCTAAAGGATCGAAGAAGTTGTGTGCAAGAGTTTGTTAACGGTCCGATTTTAGTGGCCGTTGCGACGTGAGTGGCGCAACTCCCCAGATTCCCCCCCAGGCTGGAGAGGGTTGTAGTTACATAGTCATGGCCGTGTCATCGGGACGAGGACGGGGATGGGGAGAACGATGAAGGCCCTGAAATGTCTTGATTACAGCAACTGTGAATGTTTGTTTCTCTCTCCACCAGACAAGGGGCGAGAACATCCATCTGGATCCTTGGTGGAGGTATGAGCTCCCCAAGACAAACTGACGGATATACGCGCATTGAAATCAAGGCTCGCAGCTCTTCTCCACGCCGACTGCTAGAACCACCACAAGCACGATTCGCACTTCTCCAGCAGTGGAGCTCGAGCTGTTCTGATGAGGCGAATAGAATGCTCCAACACGGGCAATATTACCCCACAAACCCACACTCCGCGAATGGGGAAGCCTTGTCTCTCCAGGGATCTCATTGCTCTTCACTCCAACTACCCACGAGGCGGCTATATTAACCGGCAGTATGGAGAAGGCCTGGAGTATCCAATACGGGATCAGCCGCTAAGACGTCCTCAGAGTCATCTGCTCCCGGCCTGGATATCCGGCCTGCCTCAAGTCGTCGTCCCCTGCTGTTTGTAAATATCCACGTTTTCACTGCATCCTCGGTGAAAGGCTCCGGCTAAATGCAAATCGCCCACCATCTGGCAAGGGTGGCATGATTCGTGGGCATATTCTACGGCACATTGGATCTGTTTAGCTTGCTTGAAAAGCTGGATCGCGGTGAAAGAGGTTTTTTTGGGGGGGATATTATCAGGCAATTCGGCACGAAAATAACTTTGGCTTCACTCACTTGGGGGCCAACTATTTCGTAAATGTGAGAGAGGCCGCGATTATTGGTAGAACAAAAGATCAATGGTCATGAGCCTAGCGCGATGCTATTTTGAAGAACTTTTCCCTTTTCCCTTTCGACTCCTTTTTTTTACTCGCCGAAACGATACACGCCGGGCCGTCTCGAAAAAAGAAAACAAGATTATTATCTCACATGCCAGTCAAGATAGGCGGAGCTGAAAACCACGGCTGGCCACCGCTTGTTAGGCCGTCTCCCCCAACAGCCATGCATCCATCTCCCACTCCATCTGTTGGTTCATAAAAGTCAAAGGTTCTAGAGCGAAAGATGGGTCAGTGGCTAATGCACCATCTCCGCCTAACAGTTCGTCAATGTCCAGAACCGAGTCATCCATATCGACTATAGCCTCAGCCTTGGGCTCCGGGAAGTTCATATCCCACGTATCCTGTGGCGGAGATGCTAGGAAAGGCTCTGCTGGCTGTGTGAAAGCTGGCTTGGATGCCTCTGCGTTTCCAGTTGGAGCGGGAGCATCGGATGCTGAGGGGGCCGTCTTGGTCCGGAGCAAGTCTTCTTTCAGTTCTACGAACTGCATTTTGTCTACCATTGTGGCGTTGCTTAGGTTCAGGTCCAGGTTCAGGAAGAGCCGCAGGTACTCGATCGGGTTGTGGTCAATGAGATCGATGCACTCTGTTATCTGAGATGCATTTCCGGACATGATACGAGCTTGGGCTTGATCAGTCAGCCGACGAACGGTCATGCACACCGCGTCGATTCCGTCAAGCCGCTGGTGACATTGCTTGATGAGGCTGATGAGGGAATGAAGCTGTTGGCGATGAATGGCAGCTCGCGGATTTGCAACGCCGCGAGACATGATCTTGGCATTGACGATTTGCACCATCAAGGGCATGGCCACGAATGCAACCCTTGATTTCCCAGAACAAGTTAGCAGTGAGCACAGATGCAACCAGACCAAAGGGGGGATTGAAATCTTACACGCTGACGGGCAGATATTGTGCCAACCCCAGCCGTACCGGATTCGTGAGGTATTTGACAATGTTATTGACGACATCTCGAACCTCGTCGCTTTTGCCCACCAACTTGAGGCACGACACATCTCCGTTTGCGTTTGCGTTTGCGTTTGCGTTTGCGTTTTCGTTCTCTGCGTCACGAGCCGCATAAAATATCTCTTGATTGACAAGTGCCAGTTTTGCGGCGCTATATGCATGATGCTGTCAGTGCTCGTACATCTTACACGGGGAATGCCAATGAATTTGATATCGGCACTCACAAGTAATACGTAAACATTAGGTTGGTCTGGATGATGAGGAAATGCGGCCGGATCCCTGGCTCGTCTGCATCGTCGGGGAACTGCCGTATGGCCTCGTCATACCACCCTTGCAGCTGAGCCGTGCAGTCTGCCATGGCCTTGTGATGATCGGCTATGCTCGTCTCGCTCTCGAGCCCATCCTCCGAGGTAGAGCATATTCGCAGCAGGTCCGTGACAACCACGCATAGCTTCGATATCTGTAAAAAGACGTCGAAGAAGCGCCTCTTCGACTCGACCTTGTAGACGCGGGAGCGGTGAATCTCGTTTTCGAAGTCTTCGAGGACCAGTGGTGGATATTTCTCTTGGATGCGCAGCGTTCTGCGGAGAGCCAGAGCAAGGACGCGATCGCGAATGCAGCAGCACCACCAGAGCCGCCGGAGAGATATTCTCGTCTGCGCTGGGATCACGGTGTGCTTGATTCGGCCGGCATTCGACGTCAGATGATGCGCTCGAAGTGATTTTGCGTGCCGGATGGCGATGCTGAGCCATGTGCTATTCGACTTTGTAGGCCCCGGCCTCAGTCCTGCTGGCCAAAACGTGAATAGTAACGCAGCCTGGCCGAGAGAGATGGGGTCTGATTCGATTTCGAAATCGTATAAAATCTGTTTCGTGCAAACATGGTGGTTTTGGTTTTAGTAATCTTTATTTGCTGGAAGAGTGGTATTGGTGTGTGGATGAGGTTGCGAACCTTTGCTTTTTTGTAGAATGCTGCCGTGGCTGATCGGGGGCAGTCATAGCCTGTTGCTTCCGCAATCGCTCCAGGAATGAACTATCGCGGCGGTGTTGGTTAGTTTGTCCTTGATAGAAGGGATAATTTGGAATCTGGGCTCACAGCACAGGCGGCAAAAATCATTGCTTGGAACACAAGAAGCGAAATCTTCTCTCCGTTGGCACACGAGAATGAGTCCCAAAAGTCTCCCTCCTCGATGAGTGGCACGATGGGGTGAACATGGAGAAAGTACATTCGGACAAACTCGTTGAGAATCGGCATAGGTGGAAGATCAAAGCATCCGTTAAGCTGCATGTACTTGATATCCAGGTCGGATAAGTGACCTAACTCGGGTCTTCTGATGAATGGCAAAGTATCGTGGCTGCTGGATCCTATTTTGTTGATGGACGGTGGAGTTTGCTGTGCGAAGGCATTATAAGTGTTGGCTCTATCCCTCGCCTGGCTGTTCTTGTGTAGATTTGAGATTGTGTTTGCTGTTTTGGGAGAAAATCCTTCGAGATTGATGCATGTGCTTTCATTTGTCCTAATGTCATCCTGAGGGCTGTCGAAGCCGTTGAGTGTTAAGCCCCTCAGGCTAGGTGGCACAATCCCACTCAATCGCCGGGCCCATTGATCTATACTGTCTATGCCAGATGGGTTATCATCTATCAGTCTCGCTGATACACCGTCAGACACCGACCCTGCCTCCTGGCGACCAGAGAGTTTGGAGTCCGACAATGAGCTTCGGTTGCTTCCAAGATTAGCCGACTTTTGCTTCCTTGTGGAAATTATCATGACTGCAGCTCGCATACCGTTTTGACTTGCGCTCCTGGACTGCGCACATCTGATGATCAAGTTGACAATTCAAGCAAGGAACTCCGCGAAGGGTCACGTCGCACCGGACTTTTCTCTGGCGACAGTGAAGGCAAGCCTTGCTTGCGCGTCGTCGCGGCATCGTGATGGTCGAACCGAATATGAATGTGAAGCAACAGGAGTATGTGTAGTTGAATTACAGAAAAAAACTAAGGAGTTGTTGATTATTGAAGAAAGATTTGAGCGTTGTGAACAGGAGAAATTGTTCGCCGCCACGTGGATCGTCACCCTTTTTTTCACTAGCTATTGTTCGTCATCACTGGGCTAGCGAGGGACCTTCACTTCCTATCCACTCTTCCCCAGAAAATGAAGCGAGTTTCTTTCCCTCCGGTCTCTCTCCCCGCAATACGCGGATCTCGGGACTTGCTTGGGCAAACTCCATTCTACTCCGCAACATCCCGCTGGCTCCGACTTAGCGCTCAAAGGCTGAGGATAGAGAGCCTACGAGAGCCAATATCAAGGTGAGCCAAAGTCTTGTTAAGCTGCCAGTTAAAATAACGGCTCGCCCAGCCAACACGAATCAGGATAAGGTTGCCTGTTTTGGCTCAAAACGCCGTTGGAAAGAAAAGAGTCCGGCATCGTTGCACGGTAAGCACGCATGGACTCTCCGCGGGGTCTCATCCTTAGCTCAGCTATAGCTCTGTCGAAGCCTCAAAAACTGACTCAGCTTGAAGCAAGGCTTGACGCTTAATAACGTTGATTGGCAGTCGCCGGGTCCTTTTGAGTTTATCCTGGCGTCTGGGGCCCCTCGTCAAGTCAACTTGCCTGGACAAGTCAACTTGGTCGAGAGGCATTGTACCGTTGAATTGCTGGGATACTACCTATTTGCTCACTCAGCGCTTCATCCCACTCGGCGGCATTTCTTCCGTCATAATGACTGACTGTAAGACAGCATCATGGTGCTTTACCACCGGTTCCCGCGGCCCCGATCATGCCGCATTGATGTTGTAGAAGCTGTGGATTGTATTATAATGCCCCTTGGGCTCCGAATGCTACGGGGGAACCGTCTCATTTTCGTGTCTCTATTCCTCAAGCAACCGTGTGGATACGCCTCGGCGCCACGCCAACCATCCCGCGGGAGCTCATTCGTAGCCATGTCACAGGGCACCGTGGACTTTGATAGTTTGTTTTTAGGTAAGTCTTCGGAGTAATGGTAAGCGGTTTGCGAAGCAACAGGGACTGCACAGTAAATACGCGCATACGCAAAGAGAATACATCCATTGCTCTGTTGTACAAGTTTGGCGCGGCGGGTTTGTGCAGATTGCCTGTCTCTGTATGCTGAACATTATTCCATTTTGTCTCTTTATACAAGTACACGCTACTTGAATAGCTTCGAGACCAAAGTCTGTGGGGATTCGCATTCGCCTATAAGTGTGGCCAGTTGTGGCAAAGCGAAAGCCTGGTCGCGTGAATGGTCTGCTGTCGGACACACTCCGTGGAATCTGACACTTTACTACTCCGTAATTAGCATGATGATGGAAGCTAAAGGGACTAAGACGGCTTTGCGGCCTTATCTTGCCGCGCTTATCGGCTATCCGAGAGAAATTGCCGGCTCACAAAAGTTGAACAACTCCACACATGTGCGTTTTCGAGAACAAAAGTCGGTATGAGGGTAGCATCGAAATAGTAACGAGTAGTAGTAACAGGAAAAGGAGATCCACAGCCACCAAGCTTCAATTTTATATTCCCTCAATCATAAGAACTTTATTACTCAAACCCCAGCTCTCCTTGCGCTATACGTAGATCGACAGGGTGAAGACGGCCCCACGGCTAACAACCTCACGGCTAACAACCTCAACGTTGCCTCGGCAAGGATCCACTCACGCTATACGGTTGCTTAGATGCTCTGGTGATGGATGCACGGTAAATCAAATTGCTCATCAGTTAGGATGATTAACACTGGTAATTGTCTAAATGACGCCTAGTTATGTATCTGATTCGAAGAGTCAATTTGCAACCATGAAAGCTAGAGTCATTGAGTTGTGGAGGATTCAGTACATCACTCTGTAGATTCATGAATACGAGTGCAAATAGGGGCTCCTTTGCACTAAACTGCTTTCTGGTACACAAGTTCCCATCAATAATACGGTTGTGGGACAATATTCTGGGGATGCTTGGAAAACTTTTGCTAAAGCTAACATAGTTTGGCTATTTAAAAAGGGAGTAACCACCCAGCACCCCTAGTTGGCTATCCGGCATCTCATCGACTTCGTGAGGTTCGAGTGTCAGAACAAGCTGTGAAGAGAAGCCTTTATTTATCTCATTATCTAGCAGGCAGTGGATGTTCGGCTGTTTGAGCACCTGCTGCATTCACTACTTTCTTCTACCGTCAATACTCTCTTCTACCATCGATACTTTCTTCTCGTATCTGCTGCTATGACCATATTCTTTTAGTTTAAGTTACCATCACGATTTATGTAACCTCAAAATTGAGACACGAGATACTGGATAATTACTCCTTTAATCAGCCCCGCAGCTTCACATATGCTGATTACTTCGTAAGTTCTTACCCAAATGCTGACAATTCATGCCAGATAAGCTAGAACGGTGACAAAGGCCCGCAAGTAGTACGACAGAGATTGGGAACTAAACAAGAAAAACACGTCACTTTCTCAACGAGGATGAAGAAGGTAGTATTCCTAATGGCAATTTCACCGAATATCATCTCGCTCGCTCGGCTCTCGGCGATATCAGTAGCCAGGAACAAAGAGACGATGCCAACGGTGGGAGTCGAGCAAGTCCAGAAATTGCTCTCGCATCATCATAACTAAGGACTCGACTGCCTCTTTACACGAACATGCCGAGATGAGTATGTCCTGCCCCCCACGTATCGTGCCGCATGGGTACACTGGCTAGCCGGCACCATCCCATTGCTCGCAAGGACTCTGGAGCTCCGTATTCGCTATGTCCGTGAGAAGAAGAAAAGTAGACATTCAACGCCTCAGTCGCTGCGCGAAGTTTGAGTATCCAACACGAATGTGAAGGAAAGATGTCTACCTAGTTACTACCATAGGCACGTACTTGAAAGAGTAGATATTCGGTTCGCTCAGCAACGTATTTTATACTGTACCGGTTTCTTCTACTATAGATACATTCTTCTAGTATCCGCTACTGTAGCTATACCCCCCTTGTATTTGGCATTATCAATACCATTACGTTTGTCTACACAGAATGCTGGATAGCATAATTGTCGTGTTAAATAAAGGCGTTTCCAAAAGAAAATCGCCCCTTATCCACGTAGACACCTCGTGGATTCGGTAGTAAGTGACATGGTGTACTGGTTCCAGTGCGTGCGAATCAGCTCAAAGAGCATAATTCCGCGTGATGCTCTAGTTATCCAGTGTGGCAACCTCGACCTCCTTTTCGATGGCGAAATCGGCGTCCTCGTCTTCCACTAGGTTCTCGTTGTATGAGTCGTTTGCATTAGTAATTTCAATGGTCTCCCACCCCTGTCGCTCTTTCACACGCTCACTCAAACGCTTGATTTGCTCTCGGTTTAATTCGGTCAATTTGGCCTTGTGGATATGTTTTCCCAGTCTTATTTCCAATGCCACTCGGAGAGCTTGGTCGTCCAGCTTCAGCCACATTTCGCGTCATTCTAGGACTTGGCTGCCAGCGAGGATTCCAAAACAGCGGGCGTGGTGAAGATCGACTCTCCGATGCTCATGATGTTCATATTTGCGACCAAAACCTGGGCGTCTGAACCTAGATCTGAACAGTTCTGTACAGCTTCGATTTCTACCCCTTATCGACAGAACGAACTGTGAGTGTTTTAAACGAAGAGGCCTACTGGACTTTGAGCGATAAAGATGCTGCTATTGCTCTTCTAGAACCAAAAAATAGTAGAAATTCATACCAGCTTGAAGAATAAGCTGGGTTAGGCGATGCACTCTGCATCACATAAAATTGAATATTTGTCATACTCTTGCTACATTGCAATTTTCTTTTGCATAAAATCTTTGCTAAAGGTACCAAACGCAAGCAGCATCGTTAACGCTAGTCCTCCTTCGCCCGAGTACTATTGAAAAAGATGACCTGTCCTCAGTCTTCAGATTCGGTGGTTCTTCAAGCTTAGGTTACATTCCGTCCAAGTCGAGGATCGCTCTACCTTCAACCAGACCAGCCTGCATATCCTTAAACACCTGAGTACGGTCAGTATTACTGTTTGTTCAACCATGGGGATTGCTTTACTTACATTTGTCAATTCGCTCATCTTCCGTATCTGATAATGGCATTTGATAAAGCCTCTTGCTGCAAGATTAAGACATTCTTTGACATCGACTCTGTTCCCGGTTTTGGCAGCTATATATTGTTAGCGTATTATACTGAGAGTGCAAAACAAGGATGATAGGTTCCTGACAGATAATTCTCAGCTCTTGACTAACTATGGCTGAAATGTTCGGGGTAAACGAGACAGGGTTTCGGGGGACTCCAATGCACACTAATGTCCCTCTGAAACATAAAGATGAAAAGGCTTGAGCATACGCTCTGCTGCTCGATGTGCACTGAAGAGAAATACGAACGCCACCGTTGCTGAGCGACTTGACCTTTGCGGCAAGATCTTCGTCCACGCCAAACTGAGTAACGTCAATAAACTCGTCTGCACCTTGACTCAGGCAGAAGTCTTTCTTCGAGCCAACATCTAACGCGATGACTCGGCCACCCATTGCTTTCGCATACTGAATTCCAAGATGTCCCAACCCCCCACCAGCACCAAAAACGGTAACCCAATCACCGGGCCGAAGCCCAGCTTTTCTCAATGCCGTATAAACCGTGACGCCTCCACACATGAGAGGTGCCGCTGCGGCAAGGTCAAGATTCTCAGGAATTGGAGTAACATATCTCGCTGTCGCAACACAGTACTGCTGAAACGTCCCCGGTGTGAAATATCCTGATATTTTTATGTTCAGGCAGGATGCTTCAGCACCTTCGATACAATTATCTTTGTAAATGCGTTAATATCTACCATCTGTTCTGGCGTACAAGAGTAAGAACATACCGCAAGTTAGACAAGCATCAGCTGCATACTTGATGCCAACACGAGAGCCAATTGGCGGCGATGTAATCCCTGGGCCATGAGCAACGACAATTCCAACGCCTTTTCATTTCGAGCGGTTAGTTGACAAGTATCGAAAGGGATTTGGTATCTTAACTACCTTCATGGCCACCAATCTGTCCTGATAGTCTTTGTCTTAATCAATCATTCGCGAGTCATTAGATAGGCCACGAACTTACCTTTGGGAGTTGGAACAGGAAGTCCTGGAAGCGCATTCAAGCAGAACGATACATCAGTATGGCACACACCAGAATAATATCTAATCCGATTAGCCAAGGAACGGAGTAAACACGACTGGACATTAGGCACTGACAGCCGAACAAGAACTTCTCCTTCAGCAGGGTGCGGAACAGGAAGATCAATCACCGCCGTTTCCAACGACTCTCCGGGTTCAGAATAAACCACCGCCCGATTAATCAGGCTTTGCGAAGACTTTTCTAATTCCTCCGGCATTATGTAACCTGGCACTTCGGAATACAAGTCTGAGCCAGTAATCAGTTGTATCCAGTTTCGGATTGACCCTTCGGAGTACAGGTGTGAGACAATAAGCAGTGGTATCCAGTTTTTGGCCGCAACTTTCTTCGACTGAATGGATACCCGTAAGCAGTTTTGATATCTAGCGATCAATATAGGAGAATGCTACTCAGTACTAAATATATGATTATGAAGCAATATCACGGACGAGTAGGCATCCATCCGGACATTGAACTTAACTCCAGTTTGTCTCGCCGAATTCACGCTCCCGAGAACCATACGGGAAGAGCCGGTCGCCCCACATGCCTCTTTCGCTCCAAAGCTCGGCGCCGGACCTCATATTGAACCGTTGGTTTGGTCCGGGTTTACTTTGGTATTTGTAAGAGTAACATTGAGACAAACAAATATCACGAATGCCAAAAGTCATAGGCAAATAGATAGAGGCATAAAAAAGGGAAAGCTAAAGTATATATGAAGAAGGGCCGCAGTACCGTAGATTTAACCATCCTAGCCCAAATCGAATCACGTACGCAATATCAAAATGACACCGTTTAACTTTGAGTCGTTTTACAATGTCATTGATGGCGAGCTAGAAGCTACAGCTGAAGTTCGCCACGGCATCAACCCGGCAACGCTCGAACAACTGCCTCCAGTGCCTATCAGCACGCGCCATGACGTGAATAGAGCAGTTGAAGCGGCCCAACGTGCTGCAGCGGCCTGGGCTGCAACGCCTATTGAGGAGCGCAAGCAGAAAGTCATTCAATATGCTGATGCTGTAGTCGCCCTTGCTAATGAATTCGGTAAAATGATGACTTTAGAGCAGGGCAAACCCGTATGTCTATATATCATCGATTGAAGTATAGCATTCCGCTAACAACATAAAGTTGAGTCACGCTATAGGGGAGGCTCATGGGGCGGCCTTATTCTTAAAGGGGTTTGCACAGATGGATCTCTCGGACCGAGTCGTTGAGGATACCGAACACCGCCGAGTAGTGACACGTTATGTGCCTGTTGGTGTATGCGTCGGTATCGTTCCGTGGAATTGTATGTTCTTTTCTAGAGTATGGGTTTTGTTCATGTTAAGCTAACGTCATCTAGTCCCTATGACTACTTGTAAGAGGTTAAGGCATCATATCGAATTCATGTTGTGCTTACGCGTTGTTTAGTGACTTTTAAGATGGGGCCAGCTTTGGTAGCAGGCTGCACAATTATCCTGAAGCCTTCGTAGGTGCTTCTATGTGTAAATGATGTGTTTTAAAGCTAATATTTGACAAGTCCATTTACTCCGTATTGTGGACTCAAGATGATTGAACTTGCCCAGCAATTCTTCCCGCCTGGCGTCGTGCAAGTCTTGAGCGGAGATGATAGCTTGGGTCCTTTGCTCACTGAGCATCCTGATGTAGCCAAGGTTTCTTTTACTGGCTCAACTGCAACAGGTATCAGAGTGCTGCAGAGCTCTGCGCCATCTTTGAAGAGAGTCACACTTGAACTGTAAGTCCGAGCTCTTCTTTGGGCCTTCCTCCCATGGGATAACTGACAAAATTGTAGTGGCGGTAACGATCCGGCAATTATATGCTCGGATATTGATATCCCGAAAGTTGCAGCGAAGGTTGCCATGAAGTCGTTTGTTAATAGCGGCCAGGTAACAACCACATATTAGTTCATATAACCTGGCTACCAGCTCACTTCTAATTCTTAATAGGTCTGCATCTCTATAAAAAGATTATATGTCCACTCCTCTATATATGAAGAGTTCCTGGCAGAGCTCTCAAAGGCCACCAAGGCTCTTGTAGTGGGAAATGGCTTGAATGAATCAACAGATCTCGGACCGATTCAGAATGCAATGCAATATGAGCGACTCAAGAATTTTGTGGCTTCTATTAAACGCGATAAACTCACGATCGCGGTCGGAGACTTGGAAAATACCTTTTCCACTAGCAAGGGCTATTTCATGAGTCCTCTACTTATTGATAACCCACCCGAAGATTCACGGGCTGTTGTTGAAGAACCTTTTGGTAAGTAAGATCCGTAATCTTATTTATTGGCTTATTTTTGTGACTAAGCCTATTATCAGGACCGATACTTCCTGTGCTCAAATGGGACACCGAGGAAGATGTCATCCATCGGGCGAATCATTCCGCTGATGGGCTGGGAGCCTCAGTTTGGTCGCGCGATGTGGCTCAGGCTGAAAGAATGGCAAGACAATTACAGGCTGGGTTAGTTTGGATCAACACCCATCAGGAGCTCCAAGTGGATGCTGTTTTTGGGGGGCACAAGCATAGTGGAATTGGCAGCGAGCTGGGGATTGAGGGCCTCAAAGCATACTGCCTGACTCAGTCCGTTATACACGACAAAGTCGGCGCATAAAGACATCACTAAAACTCCATTATGTAATTTAGATAGTTATCTAAGAAGTCCTTGGTCTTGAAAATTAACGTTGCCCGTCTTAATTACTTGTCGGGTGTTGGATGATTTTAGTGTTTTATACATAGGTAATAAGGCTACCATATCAAGTGTCTTAAGTTTTTAACGGAAAGTGTGAATCAATAACATTCAGGTATCTTATAGCGCTGAGAAATACTCCATAGTTTGCATCAAATGTTTAGACAATTGTAAAAGAAGACCCAATGGTGATGATAGTAACTCCGAAGCCACAATAGTGAATGGTCGTCCGCCGTCTTGGATCGGACCGGACCGTAAACAAAAGCCGTGCCGAAAGACTTTTGGTGGAGATCTTGGAAAATCTCCTTGCAATGTTAGTACTCCGTACAGCATACGGCATGCCCGTCGAACCGCCAGAAACAGTGTGCGGAAGTAGCCGAATGCACCTCTGTAGTACGACGGAACATCCCGCTACAATACGGAACCTTCCCAGCAAATGGCGGATCGATTTGGATCATTGTAATCCGAAGTGAAAACGATTCAAGGTTGCTTCTGGGGACAGCTGCGGGCCTTCCACCGTCTAATGACCTCATCCCTCTCACACTGAGAGGACTTGTGGAAAGCCTCAATCCCTTGGCGTAGCCTGATCAGAATGATCTCGGCTTTGTACTTGGTGATATGGTGTTTTTGCAGTTCCTTTTCCACTCCTTTGAGCGTATAACCGGGCAGGCCGAAAGCAGCTACGAAACGGTCAGAATCTCTTATTATCAATCCGGATTTGAGAGAGCGCTCTGATGAACGCTTTATCCTCATGTATGACTGCGAACAAGGGGGAAACTTACAAGCGCCCAGATTGGAAAAAAAGCCCTTTGAACCACGCCATACGCCTTTTCCGATCCCTTTGGCACCTTCTTCGTGGACACTTTGATAGGGATAAACAACGATTCCGCTAAACGCCTCCCATAACCCAAGCGTAAACTCCTTGCCGGCCGCCACAAGACCGGTCTCAAGGTCAATAATCTGGTCTCGACGCCGAACTTCAACCCCAGCGTAGCCACACGAGGGATAATTGTGAAATCCATTTGCAATATTGTAAAAGAAGTCCACGGGGACTTTCAGGCCAACTTTGGTGAGCTCAGCGGCATACCGACCAGTCGCCCGTGTGAGATAGAAGAGGTGACCATTGCGGCCTTTTTCTCGGGCGTGCCAGGCAGCTTTTTGCTTATCGTATAGGGACGGCTGTCGGATCAAGGTGTCGATATCAGCGTTATTTGTCTTTAACGACTTTCTCGCTACTTTTTGGGCGTATAGCTCCATCTCTCTTGTGTTGAAAGTGGTGGGATTGATACGACGGTTTGGCGAGGTTCCGTTACTCGCTACCGAACCATTGGCAATCTTGCCACCCCATGGATCTATGAATGAGTGTCTTCTACCCTCCCATTTGGGGTGCTTTGGCCGGTACCTTAGAGCATGAGAATAGTCGAAAGTCGCTGTAGCTGCGTCCATCATGGGGCCGGTGAATGCGGCCGCGAAGCCAACCAAGGGATGCTCGGCGCCTTCATCAACGTACCAGTTCTTGCGGCGTATGAGTTCAAGCTCCGGAGGCTGTATGAGGCCCTTATCAACAAGGCAAGAAACGGCAAAGCTACTCAAGCGAGTGTCCGTCTTCTTATGGCGATGCGTGGCCAACCGACCTGGGCATATCTCACACTCGAATTGGTCTAAGCCAAGATGGTCTTGAAAACTTTTGGCCGTGTCCTCAGCACCATTCTCTTCAGCAATGTCTTCCGCCATCCGTTGCGCGGCTTCTTGAACATCAGGCATCAAAGCAAACGATATGCTCTCGGCCAAGATTTCCGCCGTTAAATCTTTGAATGGCACTGGGTCCGGTCCGGCTCCGGAGCGTGCAATCATCTGCCCCCAAAATGGCTGATCTCCAAAGAAAGGAACAATGACCGTAGGTCTACCAGCTGCGATGCCTGCAGCAGTGGTACCAGCACCTCCGTGATGAACTACTGCCGAGACTCGTTGGAAGAGCCAGTCGTGCGGGCAGTTGTCGATCAGGTATATATCTTCCGGCACCTCACACCTGTCTCCTACACGACTCCATCCTCTGCTGATGATGGCACGAACGCCTGCAATCTTGACGGCTTCGAAGAGCATCTCAGAGAGAGCATCCGGATCTTCAACCACAATGGACCCAAATCCGATGTAGATTGGCTTGGGCCCCTTTTCTAGGAAAGCAGTCAATTCCGGTGGAGGAGTGTATGAGCTGGCCAATTTTAAGAAGGAATATCCAGCAATTTCGATGTGTGAGCCCCAGTCCGGCGGCTTCGGTATCAGAGACTCAGGCCAGAGATAAGTATACGGCACACGGAGCCTGGACAGAAGTTGGAATCCCCACATGAGGCTGATAGGATCGAGTCCGAGTTTCTGGCGGCGGAATTTGTTGATCAAATCCCCAAGACTAAAAATGAAAGGAAACCGCGTCAGTGGAAAACATCGATGCTGGGTACAGACAGGAAGTGTGGACAAACCCTTGCCACATCAGCAGCTCCATCATGATGAAAGAAAGATAGTTGGCCGTTTTTGCATCCGCGCCGCTGTAATTCATTGAAGCTAGAGGGTGAGGGAAAGCAGTAGTGGGAGAAAATGGCATTGTGAAGACCATATGCAATGGAATTCCTAGCTTTTCGGCGCAATGGATGTGTGCGAGGGAGGGTGGATTGGCGATGATGGCGTCTGCAAGAAAGAGATCGTCGACGTTTTCTACGTCTGTCGCTCTGATGGGCTCTCCCATTCCGTCACCAGCCTCGATACAGCTTCGCCAAGCACGATTGATAATCTCCCACATCTCGTCCCTTCTCTTTCCAATGTCACCTGCTCTCACACTTTTGCGGCTGGGAACCAGGCCCGGATTCCTCACCATGTACGACATCAGCGCCTCGGGGTCGCCGCCAATGCTGAAGAACTCGACGCCTTGGGACTCTACGAATTCTTTGAAAGCAGGATGCGTACAGATGCGTACTCGATGTCCATACGGTGGTTTGGAGAGTATTTGGGCAATTGGAATAAATGGCTGAACATCGCCGCGAGAACCGACGATGTGTATTGCGATATTCAGCGGCGGGCAGAAACCGCCAGTCGACTTGCGTCTCCCGCATATAGGAGTAGAACAAGGGCCGGTCTGCACTCGTTTCGACGTCTCTTGGAGGTTCTTACACCATGTTGCCAGGCTCCCGGCATCTTGATGGAAGCAAAGCTCGAATCTCCCATCTTCTCCGATATTTCCTGTCGTCAAGTCTTTCTTCTGCTCATCTTCAATGGTGACATGGCCGGCCGCGTTCGATCGGGTACGACTGAGAAGCATGTTGGATTCACTTGGGCACCCAAAGAGAGAGCACCAGCCTCAATATTCGGTCGTCTTGATGTCTTGTCTTTGAGGAAAGCATTTTAAGGCAACTAGCAAAAATAACAAAAAAGAAACGAAGGGAGGATGTTTTGCCTGCATATAGGTAGGCAATTGTCTAGCAGCTCAGCTGCCGGGCGACTCCGTGAGAGAGAGCTTGTCCATCCGGTAGATCCGCCACTAACAAGCTCCGGAAGTCTTACATGCGGTTAGCAAGGCTCCGTGACGTGGTGTTGCCTCGCATGTGCAATTGGAATTGCCACCTCATAACCAGAGCCGGTTCTGGGCTCAAACGCCACAGGAAGGGCTCTCCGCAAAACTGGGTAACAACCGCGGCACTTGGTTATCGGTGAACCCGCATATATGCATGGTCCCTATATATTGGCATCATGTAAATCTATCAAATCTACTGTTGAATGTTTCAGCCAATTCATTCACTTATTAGGATGGATCTTAGACCAAAGATTGCTGCGCGATCGGGCGTCCCTTCACACGCTGACTGCACATAGATGCAGCAGGCTAGTCCGGAAACTGGCCAGCGCGCGCCTGGAATCCCTGGTACTGATTGCACAGAACAAGATCCCTTCAACTTAGTCGTAGTGAGGTCATGATGTAGTCTTGCGTCAGTTTCATGTGATATTCACAAGAGTACGAGTAATGTCCCGGGCTTTGTCCAGTGATTCCACATGTTAGGCTCATGACTTTATATCATCAGGAGTTCTGGGGTAGTGTGCATACACACGTATGCTAATGGGTCCAGCCAGCCGCGTCTCGGTAGTTGTCACGCGGCTATATGTAGGTACCAGAGAAGATATCATGCGTACTGAACAGGTAATTGTATAACCTTAATGCAAAGAAACAATCCTTGGAAATATTCTTGTACATATTTTAACCGCCATAGGCGTCGCTGGAACTGCATACGCAATCTTCTTGGTAAAGGTTGTGATGAACAACCTCGGCCCGAAGCAGCTCCAGTTCGCAACCCCATCCTCGCTTGATCTACATCTCTGAATACAATCTCGATGCAATTTGCCCCGATTTATCTTGCTTGAAGCCCTTTGACGTCTTTTTATCGAGTCTGATGGTTGATGAAGCCCACAATATCCACTTGTCTTGTCAGTGGGATCAACAAGTATTGAATTGCCACCACGTGGTTCGCTTTGGGGGTTCCGGAGCAACCGGACAATGCGAGTCACACATGATCTCGCATCGTGAATGTTTCTTACATCTTCCATTTCTTAACAAACTTCCCATCCACTCCTATCATAGCCTCCACCCTCACCCATATGACCGAGATTGATGCGGCAAACAGGAGGACACTGGTAAGCACCGTCATGCCTTCATATGACCTCGATGGACTGCCCGTGGAATGGCTGCGGATCAAGACACCGCCGACGGGAGTGCCAACAAGGGAAGCCAAGCCCCTTACCATGTATAGCACGCCGTTGACCGAGGCAAAGTTGTGGACTCCAAATAGCTCCACCAAGCTCGCCGGAAACAGAGCAACGTAGGCACTTGCAAAAATGCCATATAGGATAGTGAATGTAATGAATAGGCCTTGCGAAGTTGTTTTATCGTCGGACAAGGTTGAAGGCAGCCAGAAGCTGACAGTTGCTATGGCACTGATGATTGTAGTAATCACCAAGGCATTCAATCTTCCCATATGGTCGGCAGCATAACCAATAGCTATCTTCCCGAGGGCGTTCATGGCGTTTGAAAGGGCGATGAAATTAGCACCTGCTGTATCGCTATATCCCAAAGTCCTGGCATAGGTGGCAAAGAAGAAGAGTGGGAGATAGTAAACTGCAGATTGGAAGATGGAGGCCAGTGCTTGTGCCGCAAACTTGCGTGTGCGCGCGATGCGCCAATCGACGATGGGCACTTTTAGAATTCCATCCATACGGCCAGTCCTTGCGGCATTCTCCATGTCGATTCGAGCCTTTGCCTCAGGCTCCCATGCCATGGCGGTGCTGGCTAGGATATTGAGTCCAAAGGCGATCCCTCCAGCAAGACGCATAGCGTTTCGATAACCCATGCTATCGACAGCTGCTTTCAGGGCCGGTGCCCATACGAGACCCCCGATACCAGTGCCGGAGGTGATTATCCCAAGTCCAAGGCCTCGGCGAGTAGTGAACCAAGTCGGGGCGATTGTCACGGCTACCATATAACTCATACAAGTTCCGAGGCCTAATAAAACACCTTGAGTGACTTCGAAATGCCACAGTGACTGCCCAAAACTTGCTAGAATAAGCGCGGTGGAGAATATAGTTGAGCCGATGAGCGAGATCAACTTGGGCGAGAAGCGCTTGGCCCACGCAACGACAAAAGGAGCTCCGATGGTCATCAGAGATATGGACAGAGTGCCAATCAGGTCAATGTCGGCAGGCGACGCTCCGGTAAAAGGGGTGTCTGGCTGTTGCGAAAGGGTCTCGAACACTGCCTGGAAGATACCAAAGGCAAAATTGATTCCGCAGCACGTGAAAACAATCGTGAAGGAAGCAATAGTAATGATGATGGTTTGTCTAATGAAGGAGTTAGGGGCACACTTTCAGCACAGAGGGAGGGGCTGTCGTAACCGAAACCGCATAGACAAGTTGACTATCAATAAGCATACCGATTCGAACGTTGGGTCGCGGAGGGTTCTGCGGGCGGTGTTGCTGATTCTTCTTCTGCTTCTGACGTCGCATGCCTGCTACGTTGAGTCAAAGAGATGTCATCTTGAGCGAAATGGCCGTGAGACGAGGCCGAATCAGCCAAAGTCTCTGTCAAGGTCGATGACATATTTTCGAAAGATTAAAGGGGGACTGATGTGTGTGTGCTTGTATACCCAGACTGGGGATAAAACAAATCTGCCTAAGTGCCGGGCGATTTATAAGGTGTCTGGCGGGAGTATTTATAAGATTGAGATGAGAATCGATCCGGAGCTCTACTAATCATGACTCAGATGCTAGTTGCAACTTGACCTTGTACAGCGAAGAAATCTGGATCCCATTTTCGAAGCCTTCTACCCATCTTATCAGATTTCTCTCCGCGGAGATGCTGAGCTTTAAGATTTTACGGCAACTGCTAGTGTTAAAGCCGATTCCGGGGTTTATAGCTCCGTGGGTATACAGAGTACATACAGCCGATTCACGGTCTACCATAAGGGGCATCCACCATTCATTTCCTAAGGTGACTACTCTTGTATGTGGAGTCGTCAGCCCGCTGGTTGTGTCACCACAGGGCGTCAGTGACGCTAGTTTCGGTAGGTGATAGATGTCATAAGAAGGCTCAGCTTGGTCACGTATAGCAACGAGAACGATATAAACGTAGAAGAGGGAGTATGGCATTCCTACGTTCAATAGTAATGGTTTCCTACAAACTAGATTATCCACTATATTCGTCCATTGAACGTCGCTCTAATAACAGCCAAGTTCTCCGGAAATCGCAACCATTCTGTCCACCCCCGTGCATGATGGACCCCGGCATTTTCATTTCAACTCCCATTTCTTCTAGGGTAACAGTCTAGTAGAGGACGATAGCCTCTATCGCCTAGTATCAGCATACCCTCTTTACATGAATCTAATGCTCTCAGAGTGACTAATGGAGCGTTCTTGGGGATGTCAAACTCTATTCGCTGACCGCACCAAGTCTGCCGAGATCAGAGCAATCTACTGATATCATGGGCTTCAATATATAAACGCAGTATAACAATCCTATTGAAGTCGTGGGCGAGCCATCCATGGGTAGCCCGCCGTCAATCGTGGGATAGAAATCATGGGTAGTTGGTTCAGTAATGGTACCGATCATACTAGATGTTGTATAAAGCGGCTTCAAGTATACCATAGCTGAGAATCACAGCGCTCAATTTCCAATTAATACTGTATTTTTTGAACATTTACTGTTTATTAAACATTCGGGTGCCAAGCCGAAACCACGCGGGTTGCAATCGGCATTTTCCACGGGCAATTAACTCGGTTCTAAGCTAAAAATACAGCCCCTCTTTATATTATGTAGGTACCTCTCTGACTCTGTTCTCCAGCCGTATTTAATTCTTATAAGAATATTATATCCTGTCTAACAATTGTTGACTCTCTTTTCCTAAACGATCCTGGTATACACAGCCCATGGAGATATTATGGATAAAGCAGGTTAGATGTGGATAATGTGGCAGAAACCTGCTTTAACCAATATTTCATCACCATAACGCTCATCGCGTCAGGGAAACTTGCCATTCGGCGAACGCATTGACATTGCAAGAACATTGAGTGTGGAACAAAGATGGCAGTGCTCGATGGCAGTGTTACAAGTTATGCGGCATTATTGTCGGTTTACGGTGCTGGCCTACTCACAACCCCTCTTAATCCTGATTTTTGAATCTCGGTGGATTTATCTTCTGTAGACAAGAGTGAATCGCAAAATGCGCGAGAAATTTGATACGTGTAGACCTGGTTACTGCGAAAGTGAGCCCTATTATCACAGCTCAAGCAAGTGGCTTCCTTTTGAAACAAAAGAATGGCACTGCAACTCTTTCGTCATAGATCTCGTTAAACTTCGATAAATGGTACAAGAAATCAGTACCTTTTATGATTATTCATCGCCAATTGCTTAAATTAATGTCCGGAATTAACCAGATCATGGCTCGATGCCAAGATGTGTCTAAGCTGTCACGATCGGTTGGTCTCACAGCTTTCTGCACCAAAGGCAGTTAGAGGATCGTCCGCTAACGCCCTAGGGTTAGATGGCGAATGCTGTTCATGTGGTGGTCTCCATAGAAGCAGTTCACAATGGCGATTGAATACAGTAGCGCGTGCTTGGTTCCTGCATTGTCCAACTATCGACTCCTGTAATCGTCATAGATGAGGGCCCGTGGTTGATTGACATCCAATATCATTCGGGACGCAAGGTTAGTGGCATGATTGACAGTTGTGCTGATGACCATTGTCGACAAATAAGATTGTTGCAGCATGCCCTTTCTGGATGAGATCATATCAGTAACGCGTGTATTCAAAGTTCTGTGCGGTATATTATGCCGTATTCAGACCGATACGTGTAGAAGATTAGCGTATTACCTACATTCGATCACGTCCAACACGCTTCAGCAGGGGCCATCCTGCATCCATTGGCAAGGGGCTCTATTAGCCTTGATTGGCGCGTTAACTCTAGACTCGAGCTTTGGCCTCATGATGTGCTCGCTATCAACTCTCGCGCAACTGCTCGACCCAACAACCCTGTTCTATCTTGGTCGAAAAGAATAGTCAGATCTATACCCTGTATGCTATCGACAAAGGTTGTCCATAATGTCAGCATCGAATTCAGCTAGAGAGTGGGACAAACCGCAGGAAATGTAACCGTTCTTCTGTCAAGGCAGCCTCTTATGGCGATCACGCAATTTGACCGCGGTTGGTGTGCAACCACACCATCTCGGCAGGTCCGTGAGACACTGCATGCACGATAATGCAGGGCGTATCTGGTTATCATAAAACGGGCACGTCAACAGTATTTTTTCTCTGGTCCGAAATCGCCTTCTTCTCCCTTCCGCTGGCGCATCGAGCACGAGAGCAAACATGGCTGCCGTCGATTCACCAACTCATTCGAAGGGCGAAGCGGTATTCGGTGCCACCGACAATGGAACGCACGTTTCCGAAACAGAGTTCAAGGAGGAGGTTGGAGGATTGCAGTTCGATCAATATCTTACTGGAGGACTGGGGCGCCATCTGGGCATCTTCAGCACAACCTCTCTGATGTGAGAATCCTCTATAGCTCTAGACGTCGCGTGAAAGCTAATGATGTGATGATAGTATCGGACGAATCATCGGTACCGGAATATTCTCTACCCCCTCCTCAATCGTCAATGGCGTCGGATCTTTGGGGGCCTCGATGCTCTTATGGGTGCTGGGACTCTTGCTGTCTGTGTCGGGACTCTGCGTCTGGCTCGAGTTTGCCTGTATGATTCCTCGAAGCGGTGGCGAGAAAGTATATCTCGAGGCAGCATATCGTCGGCCGAAAATGTTGATCACGACAATCTTTGCGGTCCAAGCGATTGCCCTTGGCTTCACTGGTAAGCCAAGCCTATAAACACACGATAGAGGAGGAACGAGGACTAACCAGAGATACAGCTTCTGGTTGCATTGTTTTTGCGTCAAACATCTTGGTGGCAGCCAATACGACAGTTACAGAATGGGCAGAACGAGGCATTGCCATTGGAGTTATCATCTCCGTGACTCTGATCCATACATTCGTTCCAAAGCTTGGGGTCCACGGAATGAACTTTTTTACCATTTTGAAACTCGTTGTTCTCATTTTCATCGTTGTTACGGGCTGGGTGGTCCTTGGGGGCGGTATTTCTCATATACCTGATCCTCATGCCAGCTTTCACGATGCCTTCGCTGGATCAGCCAAGTCTGGCAATCCATATGCAACAGCACTGTTCAAGGTGCTGAATTCATACGCGGGATGGTCAAATGCCATGTACGTGATGAATGAAATCAAGAATCCCGTTCGAACTATCAAGATTGCTGGTCCTCTGGGTCTCTCGACTTGTGGGATTCTATACATCCTTGCAAACGTGGCGTACTTTTCCGCAGCAACACCCGCAGAAATTGCAGCAAGCGGAACCACTGTCGCCTCATTCTTCATGAAGAAAGTATTCGGGCGAGCCGCCCAGAGAGCACTTAGGTCAGTTTTTAACCATCTATCCTCCCACGATTCCTCGGCGACTTGCGGTTCCTAACTATTTTCCTAGTGTTCTCGTGGCTCTTTCGGCATACGGAAATGTAATGACAGTAACCTTTGCGCAATCTCGAGTTAACCAAGAGCTCGCAAAGGAAGGCGTTATCCCCTTTCCACGATTCTGGGCTTCATCATGGCCGTTCGGTTCCCCGTCTGCAGGCTTAATCCTGCATTTCATCCCTTCGTTCATCGTCATCGTTGCTATACCCTTTGGAGACGCCTACAGCTTCATTCTCGATGTAGAAGGATACCCAGGAGCAGTTATGAACTTTCTTGTAGTCTCGGGACTCTTTTATCTCCGCTGGACCGAGCCCAAGGCGCCGCGACCATTCAAGGTTTGGTTGCCCGTCGCGGCATTCTTCATGCTTGGACAAGCCTTCCAGCTTATAGCTCCATTTTTGAGACCTCCGGGAGGAAAGGGTGATACCAGCCTCCCATATTGGCTTTATGCCATTGTGGGCATATCGATTTTGGCAGCGTCTGTTGTCTACTGGCTTGTCTGGTGGGTAGCAGCACCCAAGTTGGGAGGATACAAGTTGGTGCCGCACAATGAGCCTCTTAAAGATGGGACAAACGTGATTGTTTACCATCGCGTTTCTAAGAAGTCTCAAGAAGCTTGAGAGTTGATCGGCGTCGTTAATCTATTGCACTAAATGATGCCTGATTTAGATACTAGCCTCACCACTTTACGTTAGGCATTGAAGAATACATAGCGAACTCGAAACATGAATTGAAATCTTATTGAGATCAGCCATCGATCTATCCTCCTACTTTCTCAGATTAATCGTTTACGTGCGCTTGTTTTGTCTGTTACTGGATCAACTTTATAACCTTGGCACGAGTGATCTTGCCTCGAATAAAGAGAGCTCGAAAGCAATCTAGTGATGGGGCGTCAAAACTGGCTTTCGGACAACCATATCTGCATTTCAACTCCACAAGGTGACCGAGTTTGACACAGGCTTGTCTAACGCGTGGCAAAACACACATGCAGATTAGCGCCATCCAGGTACAGGCATGGAGCCCCAAATGTCCGTACATCTAAGCAGTCATTGTACTGTATATAGAGGTAGCTTCATAGCATGAAGTGGCTTAATTACTCGTACACGTTACGTACTCCGTACACAGTAAGCTGACGCCGATTCATTCCACTTCACCGCCCCAGCACGACGCAGCGTGCTGGATAATATGTACTCCGTAACGGGAATTGCTTCATCGAGTCCCAACAATTGAGCCGCTTCCATCAAATGCCCTCCGCCTGCCATCCCAATTAACAGACTTGAGCGAAATGGGTTGCTGGGACTCATTCTGTTGCTTCTGGTAAGACATAACCCCGCATCGTCAAGGCTAGTTCCACTCCTGTTACTAACTGCACGATCAGCTCTGGTCCATTGGATAACGCACGGCGTGACTGGCTTCGGTTTCTAACTGACGGTGTCGCTGGTGATAAATGGCCACCAGGAGACGGAGAGTGGTTCAATGATCCTGGATACCCAGTTCCATCACAACCGCTGGATCAGATTGTGACCCTATCGGATCGTGATGGCGAGTCTTGGGATCTAGGCGTCAGTGTGACGCCAAACTCGCCCGAAACCTTTGTTACTGCACTCTGGTGAGTCTGTTTCACAACCGCTGTGCGCTACCTTTCGCTTACCCATTTCCGCTACAGCACAGTCGGGTCGTATGGCGATGTTACCATTAAAGGTGTCAAAGATAAGCTACATTTGGGCTCTGACTTATTTCTTTTGATTCATCCCACGTGTCTCTCCTTTCTCTGTCGCCATACCGGCATCAGTCCCCGGGAGCTCTGGGAGTCGGTCTACAAAGAGAACTCGTGCTATCGGATGTACGGTGGCGAACTGAATGGGCTTCTATATTGCGTCAACTACTATGACATGCAAGAGAGAAGCGGGCAGACTTTTGAATATGCTATAACGCGCCAATGGCCACCGTTGGACCGACCTGACCTTCCACAAACCAGATGGTACGATCCAGAGAGCATGGAGGATACAAAATGGTTATTGTCAAGGCCGACTCGTCTCCCAACACCACAGGCCTTGCAATCAAGCGCAGTGAAAGCCTCATCACTAAAATGCCGAAAGGTCTTCGACACTACGGAGTTGTTCGACATTATTCTCAATTACATTGTCGAAATCCCCTCAGATGTCATCAAAGAAGAACTGCAACAAAATAAGAGAGTCCAGGGGCAAGGGGCTAACGGGAAAGGCTCCCTGCAACAAGTTTTCGAAGCTCCATCCGCCATCATTGCCGCGCAAAGTCTTCTCTCATTGGCGCAAGTTGACCGTTGGTTTCACGATGAAATCATTCACAAGCGGCAAAGTTTCTTTTTACGTGCCATTCGCAACTTTGGCTGGATGTTGCCATTCACACCAGCAGACTGGAGCGACAACGGCTGGGTCTCAAATGTTCTTACCGACACGTCATCATCAAGGCAAGCCGATATTGACTGGCGGCATTATATGCTGACCTGTGTGAAAAAAGACCTCCCGAATGTCCGGAATCGATGGAGATTCCACAGAATGGCCATTCAGTTTGCGCGTGGGACGAACAGATACAGAAGCAAGGAGCATCCCGATTGGTTCTGGAATGCGGGCAACCTTGGATTCATAACAAAGTTGGATAAACCAGAACCTAAAACGTGGGAGATTTATACGGTGTATGCTAATCCCGAATGAATCTCTACAGACGGGGAGAGGAAAGAGGTTGTAACTGGGTGGAGTTTAGAACCTGTATTTATATCACCGGAGGGTCTTTAATTTGGTGTACCTATGCAACGGAATGTCTTTATCATAGTTGATGCAAATCTCCTCTAAATCATCAATGATGAATACTTACCATCTTTCACTTTCCAAGCTATCACATTCTGGGTTATACTGGAGTCTTTCATACTCCCAGATCTGAGAGGAAAATGATTCGAATAATAGTCAAGAGCAATGATTACAGTATTTGCTGCCTAGAAATCTTCCAGTCTATACACTTCATACGCCGGTTCCTCATACGGGTGAGCCCTGGAAGCAATCATGTTAGACGCACTGAGCTCAACATTGATGGAATAGAGATGTTTTGCACTGTCAGATACACATACTTCTTCAACGCTTCCACGGCCTTCTTTGTGACATCCTGGCCCACGCAAGGCGCTTCAACTCGTACTTCGGGGACAGATTCAAGCTTATCCAGCTGTCCGATATGCGGGTTCGCCCCAGCCACTGGGCGAAACTGACCGGTGCCCAAGGCTGTCCAACAGCACTCTGTGTAAGAGCTGTTTGGGTAGCGACCAGCTCCAGCCGCAAAGATGGCCGCTTTGCAGACTTCGATATGGGTCTCTGGAACGTAAAAAATGAGCTTGAAGATTGTTGCCATTGCGCAGTCAATGAAGAGGTAGATAGAATCTGTTTTATTGTTTAATGGACCCTTTTTAGGGATGCTCAGTTGATTCTCATTATGCTCATACAGCTCGAAAGATGATAATAGAACCTGAATTGGACGTCGAGAAATTCCTCAGCAGAACCCCGCCGATTCAATCACGCTACCCGGAAGATCTGGCTTCATCCTAATTTGTGTGGATGCAACTAATCGGCTCGCTAGGCTGGTTCACTTACATAAGGGTATGGCGGCTCGTAGGGGGGCAAGGCCAACAACAAGAAACCGGTCACGTCGTGATATGAGATTGGGGTTGTGTAGAAGCTTGATTCTTCTATTCCAGGCAGGCTATAGATGGTGAGCCGAAAGGGGCGACGACGGGCGCAGAAGCGCCTGCGAGTTCAGCAAGCGGCAGTGCGATGAGATCGATGTGGAAGTATAGCTGTAGTAGCAGATGCTAGAAGAATAGAACAAGAGTAGCAGATACTAGAAAAATATACTAATAATAGTAAATACTAGAAGGATATTGGCATAGTAGTAAATACTAGAGGAATATATTAGCTGCCCAAATTGGACGAGGCCAATCCCCGGTCTACAAAGGAGAAACTCCGCTTCCAACTTCGTTGATCGTAAACTGGGACTTCCCGCCGGAATGCTGGACGCAGAGGCCATTGCTATTAGGCAAGTACTGAGTGATTCTTTAGAGCAGCAATCGGAACACAGCATTCGTTTTTGTGACTACACAGGGACACCGATGTCTTGGGTAGCTAGTCCTCGCTCCCAATCTCTCGAGGCCATTTATCCGTTTGTCTTGCTAGACAACGGTAATGTTGGGTATCACCCTGCATATAACATCAGCATGATTTCAACAAATTTGGGTTGGTGCAAAGGCAGAAATGCACCTATTCACCTCCCGTTGCTGCCTGTTTGGTTGAATACCCATGATCATTCGAACATCGATTTTAAACAGCACAAAGCCAGATGGGTGTGGGCATTTAATGCTGCAACTAATTGTGCAATTCTCCATCAGCAACTTGGGCTCTTAGGGCATCACAAAACCAAGATTCTCAATGGGGGAACTGGGAACCTACGAAACAAAGGAAATATAATTAAAGCTCTTTGCACTGGTATGAAGAACGTTGTCATTGACGAAGCTTTGGCGTCTGCAAATATATCTGATATATTTGAGTTACCAGAGTGGCCGACTAGTTCGCCCTCATATATTGGGTGGTTGCCCACTTCGGTCGGCACATTATGGACATCAAGCGTAACCTACCAAAAGCAACCCAAGAGGAAGTTCTCTGGTATAACCTTGGTTAATGGGGTCTCCCTTTGGTGCCATGGGCTCATCATGCATTTAATGCATCTTTTTGCAAACTTTAAGACTGTGAGGTCCCACGTCCTCCTACACCTACCTGCGTAGTCACCTAAGTAGATACCCGGTACATAGTACAGACAGGAGCAGGCTTCTTCATACATTATCTCCGGTCTCTGACTTGTTGTGACCTCGTGATGTTATAGCTCCTCCCCAGACCTACGCTGCTCGCGACCGGATAAACACCATAGAATTGCCATGAAGCATAAGTTTCTGCCAATACATAGCGAAGATTTCGACCCCTTGAAGCATATTGACTTCAACCAATGCACGGTAACAATCGATTCGTGGCCTACAAATCTAGGCATGCGAAACTGCGCCACTGAAGACTGGAACTCAACTCGGGAGGACATTCGCAACGTTCCTCTATCGCACTATTTTTGGAGGGTCGACCTCACACTGGGCAACGAAACATGGAAAGGGTCTTGGTACCAGGATATCATACCAATTGTACCATCGCCAAGGTTCAATATACCGCTGCTAAGCCTTGAACGCTGGATTCCACCAAACTACAATGGGTATATCAAGCCGTTTTATGCGGTAAATGAGACAAGATGTTCCAGTCTGCGGGAACGCTGATCCGGCACTACCGTCGACATCATTGTAATACCGACGACGTTTCCGGATATGTAGAAGACGCCCCGCAAAGCGCAACAGAAGCTGATGCCTTCCGGAAGGCACAACGAGCCGCAAGACAAGCAAGACTCGCAGCGACAAAAGCGGACCGAGAGGCAATGGGGTTAAACACGGCACCAGCACCAAGACCAAAAACCCATAAATGCGATGAATGTGGACAAACATTCAGGGGTCTACAACGCCTGGCCGATCACAATAATGTTCGTCTTAGGTCAAAAGCCCTTTGTATGTGATAACTGTAGCAAAGAATTCGTAACATTCGATCCTCTATAGCAGCGCAAGATACCAAAAAGGGCACGTGTTCTGCCTTTACCAAAGCCTTTCCAGTGTGATGGCTGTGGGATTGGCTTCAGCACAAAGAAGACATTGTGGCTGCATCAAAAGGCGAAGTGTAAAGGACGCCAAAGCTAGGGAGACAGGCGGTGTGTTAGTAAGTGAATGCACATGAACTTCTTTACAACTATAGTTAGGCAGCTGAATAATATTCTTCTAGTATTTACTACTGTGGTATTATCCTTCTAGTATATGCTACTATTGCTATATCCTTCTAGTATTTAATACTACAGCTAGGTTGTCCTAGTATCTAATACTATAGCTATATTATTCTGGTATCTACTATTGGTGAATCGCTTTAGTATCTGATACTGCAACTAGGTTGTTCTGGAATTTAACTGAATTATTACCATCTAATATCAACAGGTGAGAAACATTAATATTTCTAAATGTTCTGATAATTTAGGACAGCAATTGGCAAAAGCGGCTCATTGCCGTACGTTGTGATACATTCACATTACGCGAATCTTCCGCTGCTCGTTTCATGTAGCCAGAAATTGTGCATGTAATCAAGTAACACACAACTAAATGGAGACGTGTAATGCAATCCAAAGGGTGGTTAACACATCTCCACGAAAATATTTCACGGTTCTAATCAGATTTAAAGCTAATATGTTGATGTTGCGCATAGTGTATATTGATGCTTGTCGTATTCTTGGCTTCTTATTCTCAGACTCTTATCCCGTGGTGTTCATTACATCAAGTATTCCCATCCAGGCACGAAGGATACATGGTGAGTTCCGAAACAGTTGGCGCTCAAAAACATGGCTCTCCGCCAACATTACTCGTAGAATCCGCATCCGTGGCCTCGCTCCTCAAGAATGTACTTGCCATTGGCCTCACGCTTTAGCAAGCAGGCATCGGTACTAGCCTCAGAACGCTTTCCGTAGTATCCGCAGCCACCACCTCTCTCTTCAACGGTGTATTTGCCATCAGCCCCCCGTCTAAGGAGGCAGGCATCGGTGCTGGTCTCAGATCGTTTCCCGTAATATCCACAGCCGCCGCCTCGGGCCTCAATGCTGTAAGAGCCATCGACGGCACGCTTCAGAAGACAAGCGTCGGTACTGGCTTCAGAACGCTTTCCGTAATAACCGCAGCCACCTCCTCGCTCGACGAGAAAGTTTCCATCAGCACGCTTTAGGAGGCAAGCATCTGTGCTAGCCTCGCTAGGGGCAGGGGCGGCGGCCGCAAGGGCAAGGAGGGAGGAGAAAGCAAAGATGAACTTCATTTTAGAGGTGTGTTTGGTGTGGAAAGGGAGATTGCTCAGGGAGACAAGGGTTGTTGGTTTGTATTGTCGTGTCTGGTAATTGCAATAAGAACAATAGAAGCGGTTGCACTGGTATATATATATACAATCAAACTAAAGTAGCGTCCGCTTTTCGCGAATAGTTCCTCTTCGGTCATGGTTTGAAGGCTGTCAACACATTTAGTTTCTCCAACACGGGCCGTCGCTATCACCATCCCCGCGGATACGAATGTCGGATGTACATTTTGCTGGTCTTCCTGACATTAGTCCAGACTTTAGTGTGGATGGAGATAGAATGAGTCGTTCGTGGTCACCAGTCGACGTACGGACATGGGTTTTGATAATCACCAAAGGATGGTGACAAATAGATTACGTGCGCTCCGTAACGTATCTTCCCCGCACATACGGTCGTTTTAAATGGGTAGAATCGGCAAATAAGTCATATCTTTCGACATTTGGAATACCATATGCACCTTTGTATCGCCGTAATCGGATGCGTATTAGCCTTTCTCATCCAGTGTGGATGTAATATCACAACAGAGAAGCTTAACCGCTACTGTATCGAATGGGGGACGGAATAATCGAGACCGAGAAGATTTTAAACACCGACGCGTGAGAAACGCTCGTTTTCAAGTATCTGCTACTATATCTATATTTCTCTAGTAATTGCTACCATTGTTATATCGTAAATTCGAGTGCTGGCTGAACAGACGTTCCCCCACAAAAGTACTACCTGATGAGCTGGCTGGGTGCCCATAATGCTGAATGTATGTACTTATTTATTTTATGGTCTACTACACTACTTAGTGCTATTTATCTACCTTTTCCTGTTCAGAAGAACGGTGGCAAAACTTGGAAAAGGATTTATCTTGGCACCGGTTGCTTGATGCCGCATAGGTTGTTCTCGTAATCAAGTACAGACAATGCTTATCAAGACGATTTATTATAAGCACTGCTGGAACAACCTCAGTAATAGTGCAACTCTTTGTCTGTAGGTTTATTTCGTTCTTGCAAAACACATTCTGTCCAAGAACGACCTCATGTGGCGGCTTACATCTTCGCCGTTACGGGCTCAACTACCAACAACGTGGCCTATGTGTTGTCACATCGGTCGCATGCAGCAATTATTGAGATATATCACACTTCCCTTTCCAAACCAGAGGTTGCAGAAAGTATGTGTATAGATACAATGCTGCACGTAGCATCCAACCATAGACATCGATTGGAATACTAGGTACCTAGCTTTGTTGATGCCTGCATCTGCTAAGTACCGACAACCCGGCCCACCCTTTCCTAACACGAAACACAAATATGAACCATCTCCTTCTGTAGGCAAACAACCAAACCACCTGCCGGTTTCCAACAAGCTCTCAGGTGAAATGCATAGACACGTTGGACGAAGTGGATGATGGGGCATGTTGGTTGTGCTACTAGTGGTCTCCCGCTACTAAGTGGCTAAAATAAGCTTGAACAGCCAGCCGCCCACTCTGCATGACGAAGATAAGCCTCAATCTTTGTCAAGACAACTTGGGCAACACAGGATTCGCCCTAATGAATCCTACGAGCTTGGCCTAACCTACTTTTGACGACCAAATCCAAAAGAAAACGCGTTAGAGCTCGAGCAAGGGACTTTTTGTCCACACTAGGACAGGGGAACTTGGGAGCTAACAACGCGATACCCTCGTAAACGAGCATCAGTGGCACTGATATCCCCACGTTCAGGTCTTTGTGTCCACTGTAATCCAGGAGTGTCAAAAGCCTTGGTATAAGCCCACCTTGACAACGAAACAACGAAGCTCACGCTGTTAACTACAATAGAAGACTTCAAGGGGATAGAAATCAGTTGAAACTTTGAACGTGTTGTATCAACTGCTATATACGCGGTTTTAGAAATGATATACAGAAAATGCTCTTCTATTATACATAGTAATGCTCTCATATAGGTCACCATTAATAACCTCTTTACATTTTGGCTTTTCGGCACCCCACTGCACCCAAAATTTCCCACACGCGGCGTTGGCCACCAAATGAGACATCCAAAAACATAAGTTCTTGCCTCTAAACTCCTATGGGGGAAACTAGGCGGCTCAATTCCGCGGTATTTCGGACAAAGACCTGATGGCTGTGCAGAGGAATGAGTGGAGTTGCGATCCATCCAAGCTGAAGCATAGTGAACCTTGAACCCTTGCGTTATTTAGCGAATCGGCCAACTTTGTCAGACGATTCAGCGTCTATTCTGGTCAATGCTTGTCTATACTGACCAAGATACGAGTCATCTAATGAGACTTATTTCTATTGGTTTAATATTTCGAAGCATGACTCATTGGGCGAAAAGATAGGCCATAGTGACAACTAACTATATATGTACTTGGTGAAGGCGTCTGTGATGCTCAACGAGAACGACCCACTGCGTATTCCCTCGTTTTCGTGTATGTAGACTTTGATACGGCTCTTTTGTCGGTCTACTGCCGCATTGTGGATCCAACTTCTTGCTTTCACTTTTGAAAAGGCATCTAAATGCGATGGTACATGTAGTGTTCTTGGTCTATATGCCGTCTGTATTGTCCGAGGACAACTGAGTCCCCTTCCTGCATATCTGCTATCCCGCGTGCATCACTTTTCTATTCATCACACCACTCTCCTGCTCCTCTATAGCCAGCAAGAGCAATCGATATGCCGCTGTGGCTAGACAAAACTCGGTACGCGCCTGTATCCAACGGGGACGCTGAATCCTCATCGAGAGACTCTTCATCATTCTTCGATGCCTCTTCATTGAGACAGAATGTTGGAAGCATCCGTTTCTTCTGGATTCACGGGGTCCTCGGAGTGCTCTGGATAATTGCATTCTCTTCACTGCTCTTTCTCAGAAGGAGACCACATGCAGACACCCTAAGCTATCCAGATCTCACAAGTATGTAAAGCAAACTCTTGGGTATTAAAGAACCACAATCTCACATCATTCTCTCAAAGGTCCTCTATACACAGCCCTTTCATACAGCGAAATGCACTTCACATCAGGCTTCACGCCCGACTTGTCAGCATACCAAGGCAAACCCAACGAAGCCAGCAATGCGCACTGGGATAAGCTAACACACCCCGGCATGGTCGCCCTAACGGAGCAAGAGCATGCCAAACTCCCCTCAAAGAGTTCCCTCTTCATCGACGATGATACTCGAGAATCAGATCCTCCACTATATGTCGGCGCAGTCGAAGTGTTTCATCAGCTCCATTGCTTGGATATGCTCCGCATGCAAGCGTACGGCGTCTTGAAGGATTGGTACGATGTGCACAGTCCGGCCAATGAGCACACTATTCCAGCGCACCTCGAACATTGCATCGATTATATTCGTCAGTCAATGATGTGCAGGCCGAGCCTAGACATTTTGCCTTTCAGAACGGACTCGGAGGGCCTCCTGCGACCTGTCTTTAACGGAACCAGAACATGCGCAAACTTTGACAAAGTCCGTGACTGGGCGATCAAAAGAAAAGCGGGCAATTTGTCACCCCAGTGAGCGGTAATTCTTGTCAGATGAAACAACACATGGATGCCCAGGTGGTTGTAAACTCTCATGTCACGTGTAATGAGGGAAGAAATGATTGTCAAAAAAGTTCAAAAGACCACTGCGGCCCCCCTGCTTTATTGTATAAACGCCAGTTTTAATGCCATGCCAGTATACATATGAGTACATCAAAGAGTAAAAAAAATATATATATGATATCAAAAGAATCAAGGGGGCAGAAATGGAAAAAGAAAAAGGTGAAAACATATGCCCGTTTAGTTGGCATAGGGACCATAACGCCATCGCTTCCCATTCTCCTCGACCCACCACCGGGCCATGAATGCAGCTTCTTCAGCCCATTTTGCGGCATCGACGCCGTGAGATGTCTCAACGCTGTACAAGAAATTAACAAAGTCAAACCCGAGCAGGGTCTGTGCCCCCGTCGGGTCATTCATTAGATTCGTAAATTGCCACTCGACGTTGTCGATGATGGGCACGATGAGGTGCCAATCCGGCTGACGAGTGTCGCGGATGCTCAGCATCGCGCGGCCTGGATTGACAACGGTAAATTGCCAGTTACCCTGGCCGGTTTCGTTGGAAGATGTGTGAACAGGCCGGATGAGCGATTGGCCTTCGTAGTTTTGGACCAAGTCAGTAGCGGCCTGTGTGTGCGATTTGGAAAGCGATCCAGTTTCGCGGAGGAGGTCAAGAATAGTAGGGAGAATTTGTGAGGAGATGACGGCATCGTCGACATCGATTGCCGGTAGTTTTGGATGTGAGAAGACCAGGGGAACACGCAGAGTGCCAATGTTGGGGTTATAATAAGGCGCCAAGATGTTGTTTTCGGGCATGGACACTCCGTGGTCACCAACAAACACAACAAGGGTCTCGTCCGCAACGCCCTCCTCATCCAGAATGTTCATAATCTTGCCCAACCACCGGTCGTCGTAGCCGATGGCATTGAGATAGTGGGAAATGTCGTCCAAACCATTTCCTAACGATGTGTACTTCTCCTTGGCTGGGATGGCAAACGGATGATGACTCGTGCTGGTCAGATGTGTGACAAAGGCTCGCTCGTTATTCTTCTTGGCTTGGACAAAGGCGTCTCGGATGTAGTCCTCAACAACGGCATCCTCCATACCGAAATAGTTGACATCCGGCAGATCCACGGGACCAAACTTGGCAAAGCGGCTCTTGAGATATTCCTTGGAGACGAGATTTTCGGGAGCAATGCCCATCTTGGATAGAAGAGGCACATATCTGTCATAATTCTTGGTGACGGATTGCATAAAGGTGGATTGCCATTTGAAAGACGTAAAGTCATTACTCCTCTCGCCGCCAAGATCCTGCTCGTCTATTTTATTGAAGGCGTCAAAGACCTGGGGTAGGCACGGCTGATAAAAGTGGTGGAGGTACTCCAGATTGAAATCTGCCATGAGCGGCGTGAGGCCACACATTGTGCCAACAATGCTCTTGATGGTATAGGTAGCGGTGGTGAAGACGTTGTTGAAATTGATGCCGCCGCGCCTCTTCTTAGTATCGTGCTCAAATCCATCATCGTAGTCGCCGGTAATGAAGTTGGCGTTGGATGTGAGACTGGCCAGCACGGCCTGCGCCTCGTCAGGTAGGGTCCTGTTGCTAAAAGAGTTGGCCAGGCGCTCCCAGATAAGCCCATCCTTCTTGATGGGAAAAACGTCCTTTCGCGTGCTTTCGAGGAGGATGAGCATGACATGGCGAATCGGCACATGGGCAAGCTTGTCCTGAAGCGCCGGAAGAAGATGGTCGTTGAAGTTGGAAATCTTGAGAGGGTCTGCGGCGGCGTTGTAGTGCTTATTGTTTTTGTACCAGTCTCCAAATCCGGGGACATGTCGCTGAGGCAGCCAAGGCAAGGCAACAGGGTCGGTCAAAGCAGTCATGTTGTCCCAGGAGTGGCCAATGCTGGATCCATAGACGGGCTTCAGATGATCAAGGCTGGGAGAGGAGAATGTGAAGTCGATGAAAGGGAGGAGGGCAGGTGTCCACGACAGGAAATTCATGGCGCTCTCATTCGGGCGAATCAAAACCATGACAAGGTGTGTAAGGAGTGCGCAGCCAATGAATAGGTATAGCAACCGCTTCAGAACGACTGCCGATGTCTTGCTCTTCATGCCGCAGAATTCGTCGTCGTCCAGATCGTCGGATGCGCTGGCAAGCTCAAGGTCAAGCTGAGGAACCTGAGAGTAGGCGGCTGGCGGTGACGATCGACGCGAGATGAAGGAAACGGGCCACTTGAGAATATCGGTAGCCACGCCCGCGGTTACGTAGCAGATGTCTTGCAAGATGCAGGCGACAAAGAGAACGGTGAAGAGGACTAGGATTAACGATGCAAGGCCGGAGAGAAACATGGCAAAGGAGGAGGCATCACCAGCCAAGCCGATGTTGCGCCAATGGATCTCGGAGCCGCAGACGGCAAAGAAGGTCACCGTCACAACCCCTACGGCGATGAGATATGTGATGACTACAGACGCCAGAGCCATTGTCGCGGTGGGCAACCATCCAGGACCTTCCGTCAACCACGGGTCCAGCAGCAGCCGGACGAGGATGAGCAGCATGACATCCTGCGCAAAGAACGAATACCCCCACCGCACCAAGTGCACCAGCGGCAGCGAAGACAGATGTGTGTAGATGTGAACGCCCTTGGCACTGAAGATGGATACGGTTGCGACAGCAAAGGCGAAGCGGCGGTTGGCGAAGCGGGAGGCGAGATTGGCTATGAACCGTCGACGGGTCAAGCGCGAGGCCACGGCGTGTGCGAAACGGCGCGTCATGCCGAGGTGGTGCATGGGAGAGGGGGAGGGGGAGGCGTCGAGCCGTCTGCCAGCGGGCGACTCCATGGCGCTGTCGTGAGGATTGTCGTGAGGATCGATGAAGGAGGCGAAAGCGACGAGGCGAGGACAGAGATGGTGCTTCGTGGTAGGCGATGATGAGCGAGGGGGGATTTGATAATCAGCGAGTCGCACAGCAGCTGGTCTTGGCGGACCGGCGCTGGTGTTTGAGAAAGCGACTCGAACAGGGCTGCTCGCAAGCTCCCATCAGGATGTCGAGAAAGGACGGAAGAGGGGAGTAACAAGAGAGGCGGAGAGAGCGAAGACGGGACTTGACGATGCTCAGGTGACGGTCGATGGGCGAGATTGCAAGCGAAAGCGGACAGGCGGCAAAAAGCAAAAGCAACGAAGACTCCAGGAAAGCGCAGAAGAAGCCCAAAGGAGTGTAGGGCAGCTAATGCGGGTTGGATAAAAGGAGAGGCGAGGCGAGGCGAGGCGAGTGAATGATGGAGGAGACGAGAGGCGGTTGGATCGTGAGGCGGCTCTGAGCAGCAGCTGAAGAGAGCACGAGTAGAGACTGGATGGATCAATGGAGCTAGGGGGAAACGGGGGCGCTCAGGGTTGGGCTTGGCCGGCGGCTGTCGCCTCCAGTGGGGAGAGGGCACCTAAAGGCCGCCAAGGATGGGCCGCCGTTTAGTGGGATGCGCCCACTGGGCCGGGAAAATACTGGACAGCACAGGGTGTGGCGGGTGCTGTAGCCGCTGTAACGCGGCGAACTCGTCCACTACTCTCAAGTTGAGATTTCGGGTGGGCGGATGGACGGGACACTGTGATTTGATACGGATGATTGCATCTATGGCCGTGCTTGATAGTATCAGGCCGTCATGTCTCACTTGATGCGGGGGGTTCCAGGCCAGACCTCCAGCTTTTCAGCAATTCCGGCGCTGCACCGCCTGTGCTGAACTGAGTCTCTCCCCTCCCCCACCGCTCAGCCTTCCACTAACCGTCCGTGGCTTCGAGAATCCCGACAGTTGTGATGGAGGCTGTCAGGGGGCGAGGCCTCAAGGAGGCGGCGCAATTTGGTGTGCCGAGTGGGCTCTCAGATCGACGGACTTTGGACGGGCTGATTGGGCAGAGACAGGACCGAGTCGCGTGCTTTTCTGGATGGGCGGCCGAGGCGTTTGCTTTGGAGGGTTTGTGCCTTGCTTGCTGCAGTGCACCTGGTTTATTTTTATATTCATCTTGTCAATAAACCACTAATCCTGTGTCCGTCTGTCTTTGTGGCTTCAGGCTTGTTTTACCACAATGGATCATCATGGCCTGACGCCAATTGATTTGTAGTACGTCAATACTAACATCCACGACTAATGTGCGCTGGGCGGAATAAGCAGACGCGCAGCATCAAGTGCCGTGAGCTCCTGGCTACTCGTACATCCTCACGCGATCGTCAAGATTACCTACTTCAGCATCTGCGATGCCGGTGAGAGCTCAATGTCTGTCAGACACCAATCCGGTGGGATGAGCTTCCTTTTTTGGCTGCTGTGAGCACGAGTGTTGCCCCCATGTCCAGTTCTAGAACCACCAGTTCCATAGTATGGCCCAGGTATGATGGACGGTGGATAGTAATCAATATCAATTCTCACGCATCTTTCGGAGAGTATGTAGATCTGGATGCCCGTCGATTATGATTGAAGCATCTCCAACGCAAACAGTACCCAGGTGGCACAAGTTACCCAACTCAAGGTGCCTTTCCTGGTGTTGGAACTACAACCAGTACACACATGTATCCTGATGCACAAGCAAGGCAAATCAGTTGTACGGAGTGCAGCGACTAGTGTCTCATCAAATGCTAGTCTGTGTAGTACCTGGTCTTGACACTCGCATGCGCATCTGAAATTCAGACACGGCGACGGAATCACCAACATCAACCGCCAGCTACAAGACGGACTGTCGATGCCCACACAAATAGTGGTCAATATGGGCATGTCTACGTGTAGTCTTTTCTGATACGTTTCATTCCATTTCATCTATTTCTACTACTTACTATTCGTTTTCAATCATCCTCTCGCTTAATACAACCGATACTGCTGCTTCTCCATCCCCCCTGTCGCCCATCTCCGGCTTTTGCTGCGGGTCGGTGGAGTCCGAGTTGGGGTGCGAGATGACTTGACCAATTTGCTTGTCCTAGGTATACTCGTACTTGTACCATCTATCACTCTGCTCGTAATATTGTGATATTGTCTCGCTAAAAGAAAGAGCGGTGGCGGCTGTCTAACTGAAGAGTTCGATGAAAAGGGGGTTGGCTACAAGAGTCTCCAGCTATTGTATGAATACGGCTAGATGTGAATCTGACTACAGCATCTAGAGAGTGACACGGGACAGAGACAGACAAGTACGGGTACCTCTGCGGCAGAAGAAAAAGGGGGGGGACCATACACGGCTTCACATGTCCACATACAAGCACACGGGATCAATCAATGCCTGTCCCTTTGGCCTCAGCTACCAGGCATCATTTTAGCGCCCGTCTTGGCTGAATCCCTTGACCAGCCGCTGTCTGAGGTTATTGCAGATTGGGTTGGAAGCCAAGCCCGATATTTTTGGAACTCGGCGCGCGTGGGCTTCTTCCCAGCTGCTTTTATCCGCGTATCGAGAAAGAAAAAAAAAGCCTTGCGGTTGCAGCATGCAATCTGCTTCTGACGTGGAAGCGACCAGGTTCATATATGTACCAAGTGTGTTCTACTGAGTGAGGTGTTTTTACGACTCCATCGCCACACGCACCCGTGGCTGATCAGTGCATTTTCGCCAGTGGTGTCTGGTTGCACGCACCAACGCCATCAAGACCGCAAACGCCTGTACTCTCAAGCTCGTATTTGTCCACAAGTCCCCAACTGACTCGACAATTCGAGGCCTCAAATTTGGACGGACTGTTTGATTGTGCAGTACTCGTACATCGCTCGTAAGCCCCAGAGGCCAGACGTCGTTTCTCAGCATTTAGTCTCTCTCGTCCCCACGTATTCCGTCATTGTTTCCCACTCCAATGGATGATCCCCCGACGATCGCAACGCGCCCTTTTAAAGTGGCGAGAGTGGCACCAAGGTTCAAGTCGGCCCAGCCTGCAGTGTTGCAAATATTGTCCAGTAGGGCCGACAAAGATTTCAATCAAACCGCAGCCAGCATGCAGGGTGCGGTCAGCCGCATCAACTGCATCCGAATAAAAAGGACGGGAGGATTCTTGTTTGTGTCACTCGTGCTGTTCTAGATTTGTCCTGCTAAGCCTCGCGCCCAGGCACTAACTAACACTGCCCATGGCATGCAGCTCTGCGCCTCTGCTGAGTCTCGAATCCCACGGCTGTGAGGGACGTAGTCATGTGGGACAGGGCAGTTGCTGCTCTGTACGGAGTACAACAAGGCCCAGCAAGCGGCTGAGGTTTCGTGGCGTCGCAGCTGAGAAGTGCTGAATTAAGATGAGCAGCCGTAGGTAGCCGCTACATTGTGAACACACCCGACATCAAACATGTGCTTCGTAGTGCTGCCCAATAATTGTTTCCAGCTCCCCAGTAACAATGTCTAAGATGGGTACTACACGCTGCCTATACCTACTATTAGATAGATCCTGGATAATAGAGGTGTCAACCATTGAACATTGATACATCAATGTATGCATGGTGGTACATGTTGTAAAACGGACTATACACCGATTATTTGGGTACCTGGGCAGCGATTGAGGCCCAGTCTCGAGAGGCTGGCAGACTGGTAGTCATATCACAGCCATATATGTCGTACACTTCATTTCCGATAGGCCCAAATGATATGACCAATAGATCTTCACAAGGCAATGTCGCGTTTATCATCGCAATGGACAGCTATGAGACGGCCAGCGTACCGTTGCGGAGACATCAACTATCATTCACAAGAACTATCATTGATCAGGTAGTAGAGAGGTCAGAATCTGCGGGTGATAGTTCTTCGGCCTCGCCAAAACCAGTATTGCTAATAAAACTGGTACGAATATTGACAATGAGGGGTCTTCCCGAGCTCGATATTGCCTTGGAGTCAAATACTTATCTTGGTGTAGGCGCAATCTCTGAAGTGATATGGGAACGAGTGCAGTAGAGCGTCGCAGACCAAAGGTTATCTTGTTTGACCTGGATGTGCCGTCACGTCCCAATATTCGGAGGCACCGCAGTATGGTGACCTTGATGGTATTCTCCTGGAATGAGATGGCCTATGGATATGCGCCATCTCTACTTATAGAACTTGCAACAATGGGAACCGCTCGCGAATACACCCCAGCAAGGCCAATACTTTCTAGTTCGAAGAGACTTGCACTCTGTCGTATTGTTGCTAGCGCTTACGCTTTCTTCGCTCCATGTGCATAATCCACGGCCATGTGAAGCAAGCTAATATCCTCATCTTCGCTGACACGAGCGTTGCTGAAGGCTTTGTTGCCAAACTGTCGGATCTAGAGCGGTGTCCAGCGAATCATGACGCTTTAAAGTACATACATAGGTAGGAACGACGCTCTAAAATGCACCGTAAGTTCGGATACCAGGCTCTACAGAACAGGAGTTATCGTGGCTTTGCAATGCGTTTTTCTTCGGCTTTTGTCTTTTGAAGTCCTTTCTGGATTGGCATGGAAACATGTGCTCGGAGATATGGATGGCACATCCATGGGTCAGAGAGGTTATGTACTTATTCGACATCACGTTTGTAGATAACAGGTCACACAAGAAAACGCTTTAGCAGGAAATAAGTGGCTTAAATTGACCAGCTGTTTGATCAAAAAATTCATGGGAAGGATCCAACACGCTTCGTTCCATTTGTTAGGATATCACGAGGGCTACGCTGACTAACGACCCTTTGAAACGACTTCCCCTTGAGTGGGATATGATCCCAAGCTCATTCCAACACAATAAGAAAGCCTTTCACTATTCTCCTCGATTTGGATAAGTCGCTAAATGGGCCAACTGATATGGAAATGGAAGCAGCGTGTATTGAAGAACCCACGCAGCTTGCACGCTGCATAGTCGCTATTCAGAACGCTGTAATGAAGTAAACAAGACTCTTCAGCAGGAGGAAAGAATGATGATTCATTTGTCTGTTCACTTCGTATTTTGCGTATATTTGAAGCTGAGTTAGAAGTGCGGCCCTGGCCAAGGTCCATAGTAGCAACGTGGAAGTGTTTTGATACAATCCTTAAAGCATCTATTTCAACTTGGAAGGCCAGAGCATTTGAATAGACGAAGAATAATACAGACGATTCGAAAGATTCTCTACTTGATACGAAGATGAGAACCATCAACACAAATCTGACGGACATTGTCGCGCAGGCCGTTTACTTCCAACATTAGGCTTACAATGTATCATTGGTGCTCAGAAACAATGAAGAGCGGGCAATCAACTCTTCTAATTGGGAAACAAGTATTATGCTCTTCATATCGAATATGCACACAATCACATCAACCATGTGATTAATGCAGGTTCCTGTAAGAGTAAAATTTCCCCCTCTACAGGCATACTGCGACCTCATCTATTGGGACGAGGCTGAGCTGCTCAGCCTTAGGAGTTCTACTCCGCATCGCGCTATTTATTCCCAGGCATCCATCGCTGAAGAAAGCTACGGGTGGCCACCTGTGGTATATCTTGAACCATTCATCATGTAGTGACTGTTTCTATCCTATATACTCTAAATACTATCATTTGAAAGCTTTAGAGGGATGTTTTACAAGTATAGCCCCTTATCTGCTACATCTCGCGGTACTTTCTCCATCCGACTGCTGCATCTTATGCCAACATGTGATTCGCCGGCCGACGGTTCCTTAAGCTGTCGCCTAGTGGAAACAAAGATTGTCGATCGCAGCCTCGACACATTCGTACACAATAAAAAAGAACAGGCGCATGTAAAATACCAGGCCTTATCATACACTTGGGGGCTACCCATATTTACACACTCGCTAAAAGTCCTGAACAACAATGAGGATCATGATACTCTCATCCCTCCAAGCCCCCCCAGCAGCGAAATTCACATTACTGAAAACTTGCACGCTGCGCTGCACAGCTTGAGAAAACAAACCGAGACGCTCGTCCTGTGGGTAGATGCTGTCTGCATCGATCAGAGCAACATAGTAGAACGCAACAGCCAAGTTGCCAACTTCCCAAAAACTTATGCTGGAGCCACAAGTGTCCTTGTTTGGCTAGGGCCTGACGACGTTCTGAATCATGGAAGACTATGTCTCAATTTCTTTATCAACCTTGCTGCTCTCATCCTCGAAGACCCGAATAGTGAGAGCGAGAATGACCAGCGATCTTGGAGGAAGAGGTTCAAAATTAATCAGGCAGTATCCTCTTTTCTAGGTGATGATGAATTCGAACATCGGGCTATTACCTCGTTGCTCCAGAGACCCTGGTTTAAACGGCGATGGATTATCCAAGAGGTGGTATTGGCCAACGACGTCTGGGTGCATTACGGTGCAACAAGTATACATTGGAATACCTTCGAGTTGGCCTTGGTGGAACTATTTGTGAACGACAAGGGCGGGTTTAGCGACGATCAGCGTACAATTCTGCGGACAATGTCGCGAATTAGAAACGCTGATGCGATACTAAAACGGCAGACACCACTCGATACTCTCGTGGAGTTTGACAGCTTTGAATGCTCCAATCCCAGGGATCGATTATACGCGTTATACGGGGTGATGCAACACTGGTTCCCAAACTCAGCAGGCATGCAAGTCCTCGTTGAAAATATTGATTACGGGCTACCTATTCGCGACATTTTCACTGACTTTGCTATCCTCATGATGAGGCTGAGTGACGACTCTCCTCTTGCTAGCAAATACAATTCCACCACTCACGTACTGCAACTTGCTGCAGCTATGCGCCCAACACCGCAGAGAGAGATAACTGGTCAAAATGCAGGAATCCCATCGTGGGTGCCGGATTGGACTGGAACAATGCGCCACAAACCGCTCCACCACTCTCCAGAAAGCAGTGATGCTTCGCGAGCGATACCTAAACACCATTTCCAGATAATGAACCTCAAAAACAACAGCCGTGCTCTCGTCGCTGTTGGTCTAGTGTATGACGTTATTAAAGCTGTCATCCCACTGGATATTCTACCCCTGACTGGAGCTGTTCACAAGGCTAAACATGCACTGAATAACTTCCTTTGTTCGATTGCAACAAGTTTCGATCAAATAGGCTTCTTTTCTTCTGACTATACCGACATCTACGGTCCCACCGGCCAGCATATTATCAGCGCCATCGCTGTCAGTTTGGTGGCCAATTGGGAGCATACTCCCGCCAACTCTTATTTTGCGCAAGACGCTCGCTTTCCGGCCCAGTTCTTGGAGCAACTACGTTCCTCGAGGCATCATCTACCCGAGATTTTGCACAAGTGGCCCGCATATGTTGAGCTCATCACTGTTACTATGCGAGGACGTAGCTTGATGCTCACGGAGTCGGGATATGTTGGCATATGTGATACAAATGCTCGAGCAGGCGATGTAGTGTGTGTTCTAAGCGACACACGCATTCCGTTTATTCTCAGGCCGAATAGCCTCGTTTCAAAGGCAACAGCGAAGAGTTCTTCATCTCTGACTGATGGAGGAATACCTAAAGAGGATGCGTTTGAGCTACTAGGAGATGCGTATGTTCACGCGCTAATGAACGGGGAAGCGGCAGCAGGTTTGGGAAAGGATCTCAAGAGCTCACTTCGGAGACTATATATAGTATGAAATGTCAAACCATCAAATAAACTTACAAAGCTCAGTCAATGACCGCCCGGTAAATATTCTCCAACGCTAAATAGCATGTAGACTAATAGTGCCATTCTTTACTACCTATATCCTGTCGAACTTTGTAATGGTTCTCTGCGACTTCTAGAGCTTCCAAGTCTATTTCACTAATGAGACAGCCTTCTTTCTCAGCTCCTAGTTTACCAAGTGATCCTAGCACTGGCAATGCAACTTGGCTATGACCCCAAGCGTTGCAAAACGCAACGGCGCATGTGTTCTCGTAAGCCCTAGCAACGGTAACGCTATCCAAGAACACTGCTTCAGAGTCCGCGTTTAGAGCTAGAAGTCTTGGATTGGCTTTTTTGATGTGCCAGTAGGCAGGAATAATGACAATCTTTGCGCCATCCGCAGCTAATTGTCTCAAAGCTTCTGGAAAGGCGAGATCCCAACAAATAAGCAGACCGACTCGCACTATATGGCCACCGGGAAGCGGCACATCAAACGCTTTGTGTGGCGTTTGCCTATCAGCAGTCAAAACGCCGCGTTCAACATGCCACAGGTTCTTCTTTTGGTATGTTCCTAGAATATCTCCAGAAGTCGCAGCGATGAAGTATGTCTTGTTGTGTAGCTCCACTATGGGATCACCCGCATGTACGTCTTGTTCTAGATGAGAAGTAGCAACGGCATCCGATGGTTGGATAGTAACAGGCTCAACGATGGTCCCTGGAACGATGTGAATATGTAACTCTCTAGCTAGGTTTTGATACTGCGAAAGATATTGCGCGGAAAATGCACAAGCTGTAGCGAACGAAGGGTCCTCCGGAACCCATGATGTGAGGTGATATTCTGGCAATACAACGAGATGGCTTCCTTGTGAGGCAGCGAATCGTATTTCTGAAACCGCTTCGTCAAAGTTTTCTTGCACACAAAGGGGCTGTTTGGATATATCAAAACGTCAGTTCGGATGTTTGGGGAGAACAGGGCGACTCACCTTGGCCTGAAACTGAACAAGGGCAACTTTTAACATCGGGGCCATCTTGGGAAGCTTTGTGGGATGACTGCAATTGTCTTACAAAAGTAAAAAACAGTGCTTGAAAAGAACCTCGAAATTGAAGGGTTTCTTCTTGTTCTTATTGAACATGGAGAGACTTGAAGAAGCATGGTCAAACCTGCCTTCGCCACCATCACGCCTGGGCTGCGCCTCGCACCGCTGTGGAGTCTGTATGCGGTATCCAGTCAAGCGGAGGACAGAAAACAGAGACCGAGAAGATTTCGAACACCGACGCGTTGAATTACTATCTATATTTCCTGAATAACTGCTACTATATCTATAATTCTCTACTAATTGCTGATATAATCTCCAATACCTAGCATTTCCATGCGACACGAGATACTGAATACATGTATATAGTAAAATCAGGGTGCCAACTGAATAGGCGCTCTGCTTTTTCCGACCTCCACTTGCCAGTATCACTGTTTCGGAAAAAGCATTGAAGAGGTGGCAGCAGCCTAGTGGTGGGCACATTTTAGGCACGCGGTATGGCTACACGTGTATGTCCATTTGGTTAACTGATTCCATTCATGATATAGCTGGAATCAGCTGACAACCTTCTTTGAACACCTAGCGACGGCAAGAGAAATAAGGCATGAACTTGAGTATTGGTGTTTATCTTTTGGCAGTTACCTATTTATTGCCGCCTATTGCAGATATACAACTAGAATAAGCCCTACCAACACAATTATCCCCTCATCCACACATAGGCTTGTGATGGAGGGGATTTTGGACCAAGGACAGCCTTCAGGAACGCCTTGCGAGCCTTTGCCAGGCAACCACCCGTTAGATACCACAAGACTTATCTCTCCCACTCATATGGCGTGTCTCTGCCATGCTTGCTCAGCACGTTATTTATGTTGGCGAAGCATTGTGTAAAAAGCACCTGATCCTGGTCCGAAATATGGCTGCAGCTTGTCGAGCTCATTGGAGAAGGCCTCCGTCTGGGTCCCATCTTCGTGCAGCTGGATTAAGTCAGCAACTACCAGAATTTGGTAAACATTCGCCCAGATTTTGCTACCTCAATGCTATCCCATCCGAGATAATAAACACCAAGCCTTCGGTGAGGCTTGGTAATTGTTTCTGGAACAGGGCTGCTGCAAGGCACACCCGCGGTTTCGTTGGAGTTACTAGCGTATGCCCAATAGCCACCTGTGAATCCTAGGATTTGGTAAGCATCGGAATACGTTTTATGCATCGATTTCTGTAGAGCCTCGTCCTCTAATGGGGCGTCATCTCTCAGTCGGATGAAGGCCTAATACGAGTTTCATTAACAAAATGCTCCAGAGCGCTGCATAAAATACAACGATACGAATAAGAATGAAGCTGGAAAAAAAAAATACGAAACCATGTGAAATGACAAGGCAAGGCAAAACAATAGCCACATACAAACTCGCAAACAGGAGCGCCGAGCGCCTTGGTCAAATGTTCCAACTGAGCTTCGGTGAATTCGAAGTCCAAAGATGTCGCGTCTGTCACCCCAGTGTGAACTAAACCCTCGGCCACGGCGCTTCGGTCTTGTCGCTCGTCAGGCCAATCTGGTTACCCCCAATGGTCAGAGTCAAGAGTATAGGTAAAGAATTACATTGCATGATGACAGTCCTTACGAATGACCCAACAAATCTCATGGCGCTTTCTGGGTAGACTCAAGACTCTGGTTGGCGTAGTGTAGCCGTAGTATTGGGATGCCGCGCCCGCTGCAGCAATTTGCTGGCGAAGCTTCAGGAATGCTGCCGATGATACGGTGGACCCGGCCGGGAAAGTAAAGCGTAGTACTTGGGACAGCATTTTGCAAAGGTCTGGTGATGTATTGGAAGCTTGAGTTGACCCCCAGATCCAGTGGATGAGATCGCTACTTATAAGAGACAGATGGCAGGGTTCATGGAGCTTCTCTTGGCAGAAGCCTCCATGTTATTAGTGTGGTGAGGCTGGCGATTTGGTGTCGGCAGCTCCAGCATGCGCATTATCCACACCGAAATGAAGTAGAGATTTCACGAAGTCATGTACGCGTGTATTATGCAACCGTCTTAAAGCCACCCAACGAGACTTGGCTTTCGTTCCGAGAGTGAACATGATACAAAGCTCTCATTATCAATTTTGATCGGCAGTCACCACAACTAAGCCAAAACGGCGCATCAGCTTGGCTGACCAGCGAGTGAATCTGCCGGTGGTCTGTAAGCAGGATGCCATCAAGTCTGCACCTTGCGGATTTCCGCCTGTTGTACGCAAAAAGGGCGGGAAGTTTTGGGAGTAATAAGCCGCAAAGTGTTAACCTCGTGATGTCTTTCAAAGAGGAGCAAGGTATCCTGTACTAGAGGCTTATTAAAGGCCATGGAAATAAGCTTATGCTTTTTGTCGAGATCTTTTCTAGTGAGCGCGCGCTTTCCTAATATGGATGGATGAGACTCTGCACTTTCTACTAAAAGGCATGAGAGTCCCTGAGTGCAGTACAGAAATCCATGGCAGCCATATTTCTTCATCTTCAAGTCCTGTACGACCTTTGTCTATTCCTTCAACTCCCCGACATTCTCCTTTGCGAAGAAATCCGCAATAGAAGCTCGAGCTATATCAAGATCAAGTACGCTCTGAACCTCGTCATCAATAACCTTAAAAAAGTCGGGAGCATTCCACTTTGGTTCCCATCCAATGGCGTATTTTTTGTCTGCAATACCCTGTGGACTGCTACCATGTTAGATCGAGCGACTTCTTCAGTTGGAGAATTCTACTGACCTTGAACTAAAAGCGACCTGCACGTATGGCGACGGAAACCCGAGAGCCTTTTCGGCAAGTTCTACGCTTGGCCAAACAGCTGGTATCGGCTCTTTCACCAAACTGCGGGCATGAAGAGACTTGGCCAGGCCTTCTGATATTTCCCACCAGCTTAAGTAATGAGTTGCCACGAAATAATATCCTTTTTCACCACTCTGGGGAGGCTTTCCTTGGATAATGAGCCCGATAAGCAGAAGGTAGTAGTCTACTACATCAGATATATGCGCTGCCGGCCACCGCTACGAGATTGTCAGTATGAACTAGTTTGATGGCTGTTGTTTCGTTCCTTACACCTTCGTAGTCGAATTTGTATACCATCTTCTGTGCAATGAATGCACGAATGAGGCCAGGCACCTGAACGGACAGCTTCTTGTACGGGCCGGTACCTCGACCATCTGCCAACTCCGGTATGAACTGTCACCACTAGTCTTTCAAAACGAACTGAGAGGCTCATTGGACTCACAAACAAGTGGCGGGAATACAATGAAGGACATTACGTTTAACTTCTGGGCGAATTCGGTTATCGCGACGCTCACCTAATACGTTGGTTAAAATAATGTGAATATGACGCCGAGATAGATATATCTCCTTACCCTCGTCACGGGAAATGCATCCTGCTCTGGTACTTTCTTTTCAAGCTCGAAAACAGGATCAGTGTCCTTTACTGGACCGTGAGGCCAGCCTGTTTCTTTGCTAAAAGCACCCATTCCAGCCGTCTGAGCTCATTGAGAATTTGTTATCTTCATAATGATTTCAACACTCAAGGTAGGGGGATTCTCTCACATGAATAAAATATGTGTCTTTCCCGGTTGCCTGACGTCTCTTCTGTAAAGCCGAGATCAAAGGATATGCCAGATTTGGATCCAGTGAACTTGCACAATGAATAATGATATCGACTAGGGGCATAGTGTTAAACAAAGACCACCAGTTGGATGCGTCAGTGTACTTTACCATTTTGCTCAAGTACAATCCCGGTTATCTTATCTTCATCTAGCAAAGAACACTGTACGGCATTTACGCCCAGTGAAGTGAAGTGTCCCACCTGTTCCTCAGAACGAACGAGAACGTGGATCCTTTCTGGTGAGAGCTTGACACTCTCGCTAGAAAGGAGCCCAACAACAAGAGACCCTCCACTAAGATATATTATTAGCCAATTACATAAAGCAGGATGTTGTGGATTGAGAAACATGCATGTATCCGGCAGCGCCAGTAATCAAAATATTCCACGCCATGGCAACTTGCGAGTACAAGACATGGGTTTCCAGAGGTGTTGTATAATTGAGTAGCTAATTTACTTAAAACTAAATCCAATGCAAAGAGTTCATGATATTTATAAGTAAGTACGTATGCCTTCGATCAAGAAAACCATCAGAAAACATCTTATTGCTATCCGTTGATTAATAACACAAACTCTCTTGAGCATGATGAACCCATCAGGCCTTCACTTTCGTAGGGAATCGTGATTGGCCGGCAAGGCTAATAGAATGGAGCCGGAAACCCGCGCATCTCCGGACCAGACTTGACCTTTGTTTCTCTCCTTTCCCAAATCTCAAGTCGCGACAACCACATCCGTTGCTTACCGCAAAATTATCGAGCAAAACAAGAGTCTTTATAATCTCAGGTATGGAAACCCGCGGGAGTGCGTCAGCGCGGTCACGAAAACAGCCCGCAATTCCTCGGCGATCCGTAAGTACCTACATTCCAATCAAGGTGAACAAAGCGCTTCACTGAAAGGTGCTGACTTGGATAACAAATCAGTGCGACCAGTGCCGGGCTCGAAAGGTATACAAATTAAATACAACCTAACGGAAGAACGATCGTTGGTACTGATTCACTTCATGCCAGATTGCATGCGACAGAGGATCCCCATGCTCCAGCTGCGACAATGCGAAAATTCGCTGCACACACACGACCGTTGTATCGAGAGCAAAAGAAACGGGCCAGAGGGTTATCATATCAGCCAAATAGTGAGTCTTCAGCCATCCGGTCCAACAGATGTTCAGAATAGTTCTAAGACGACCTCAAATGTTTCCCCACCGTCAAGTGAGAGAAAATTCGATGAAATTTTTGAGGGTATTGACGAGATCAAAAAGCTGCTGCAAGAACGTAGCTCTGGTCTGCAGGAGTATCAGTCTCATCACAGGGCAGATTCAGATAGCCCCCTGACTCAAGATACAATAGAGAGCGGACGACAGTCTCCTTGCCCATTTACAGGAGGATCATCATTTACGGCTCAATCCCTTGAAGCCAAACGGTTCGTGGAAAGCATAGCGGCGCAGACTACACTTGAAGATTCTGATCTCGAGAGAGATGACCTTCTAGCTTGCCTGCGGGATCTATTGCGCCACAAAAACGATGAAATTGTGGTTCACCAAATCTCATTCTCAGATGAGCCGCATCCAATGTCTACTACTAGCAAGACGAAGAACTTGCCACCACTGGACGCTGCCGTGTTCGTTCTGAAATGGGCAAAAGGTATGGCGACTCACATTTGCTCTCGACTTGTTTTCCCCCAAAACTCATTGGTTGGCAGAAAATCATTCGAACTACATTGTAACATGGCTGTCGCACATTTTACCTCTTGAAAGACTCATTGAAATCTGCCAAAAGGTGTACTTTTCCGTCCATGGATATACTGAAATCGAATTCATTCTGGCCAACGGTAGTTTTTATTGGCTTTATGCGGAATACGCCATCATATCCAAGCAAACCCAGTTTCACGAGTACGGCAGACAATGCTGCGAAAACTTTCAAGATGCGTTCTCTCGCCTTCCGTTTCTATTGCCTGCCTCGATGGAAGTCATTGCAGCGATGGCTATGGGTGTAAGTGCCTGTATATGGGATAAATCTCACATCTACATGTCGATGAGAGACTCGAGATGGACTACAGGAGCTAATCTGTTTAACAGTCGTTGCATGCGATTGAACTCTGTAAAGACCTTCTTGCTTGGACGTTCTCGTCGTCAGCTTCGCACCTATGCCAAACGCTGGGTTTTCACCAGAATTCATTTCTTGAAAATGACAGAGAAGACATTAAAAAGGCTAAGCAACGGCTCTTCTTTACCATATATCGAATAGACAAAAGCTTGTCGCTACGGCTCGGACGATCATCTAATATTCAGGAATATAATGTGCCGTTACCATGCGACTCTATGGACATGAGGTGGAATAAATCTGCCAATATTCAAGGCAGGGTTTACGACGAGCTATACAGTTCATTTGGTCTGTCACGATCATATTCAGACCGTCTGCAAAGCGTCAAATCTCTGTCTGGCGAAATTCAGATGCTGCTTGATGTAAGAAACTCTGAGCTCGACCGTGCTAGCTATGAACAATCTGATAACAGCTTCAAGGGTTTTGCTCATACTATCAGCTCCATTAATACAGATATATTGCTCAAAGCACATCTCGCCGCCGAGCAGGTTGAGCTTCTCTCAGTGCTCACACTTATCCATAGAGCCGTTCTTACGCCTGACTCTGGTATTCCTCCAGACTGCTTCGAGGCCGCAAGCAAAGCAATGGATGCCCATCAACATGCTATAGCAACACTACAGGCCTGCACCGATGAACCTACCCCTGCGGCTAGGTACATCAATCGGTAAGCCATTCCCTTCTAGACTCATAATGACGTGCCGCTCATAGTTGAAGTATCATTTTGAACATGCCATTCGTGCCCTTCATTGTCCTCTTTCGCCAATGCATCGAGGCTTCTAATCCTGTTGATCTCGCTCGTCTTTGTGACTTCGTCACATCGCTGCAGCCTCTGGAGTTCTCTTCGAAACCAGCCAGAAGTCGCCAACGACTATTTCAACTACTTCATAAGGTCGCGCAGCTATATGTTGAATCCGGTTCCAGCCCAAAAATATGGAACCAAGGTCTTACGGATGACGAATTCAACCATTACTTGAACATCCTGGGATTCACAACGACCGTATCCTCGTCCAACCAAGAGCTTGTGCCTACAATTACGAATGAATTCACCAATGAAATGATACCTTAGTCAAACACTACGTGTGTAGCATATTTCTATTTAACAAAGTATGTGAGGTACGACTATACTAGGCTTACCTTTCTGCTACAATTATTGACTTCTTCTAGCGACCGCTACTAACACTATATTTCTATAGTATATACTACTATGGTTCAGTATTATCTTCCTCTAATGTCTGGTATTATCGCCAGCTCAAATGCTATTCATACTTGTTGGATATCCAGCCCAGGTTGCTGAATTGGTGGTCACTCCCAAGATACATGGCACATCGGTATCAGCCAGTGGTAATTACGTCACAGAAATGTTTGAGAACAATATTGCAAGAACTATGTATTGTCAAGATCTTGGCGGCCATGAATATGCATGCTGAAATCATAAACATAATGAGACTTAGATACAACGTCTAATCCAAATATATATACCGGAATGAAGAAAATATATACAAAGCTGAAGCGAAGAGGCTTACTCAGAGGCCAAAAAGAAGTAATGCAAGCGTCGTACGCTCTCTATTTCCAGACTTCAAGAGAAAAAGTGGTATAGATCCCCATGGATGATCCGGATGGCCCTTTACTGGCACGAAGACCACCACTCCGACTCAACGACACACTTGAAGGGAGCCTGGCACTGGGTAGGACCAGTGTATCCATCACCACCGCACTGGCTCCACTGGGGAACAGAGCCGCCGTTACCACCGGAGGGAGCAGAGGAGGTAGGTCCGCTGGCGGCAGTGGAAGTTCGGGTGACAGTTGCCAGAGTGGTAGAAGGGGGAGGGGGAGGAGGAGTAGAAGCCGAGCCGCCCAGGTCAGCAACGATCTTGGCCAGGTATCCAGTGTTGGCGAAGAGCTGGGCCATATCCCACAGCATCACACCACCGAAGCTGGAAGTGTCCTTGGCAAGGCTGATAGCTCCAGAAAGCTGAGAGTCGGTAGGGAAAGATCCAGGGTTGGCGCCACCAGTGTTGGCAGGAGTGCCGATGAGAACCTTGGCGTTCTTGTTGGCGCTGACAGTCTTGGCCCAGTTGTCCCAAGTAGCCCAGTTGAAGTCGGCAGGGTAGTGAGAGACACCACATCCGTTGTTGTAGAACTGGACATTAACCCAGTCGAAAGCCACTTGTCCGTCGAGGAAACTCTCGTCTGAAATATCGGGGTAGGGGCACTGGGGGGCAGCTGAGAGCCAGAACTTCTTGGAGGTGTTGGCATCCATCAAGCTCTTCAGCTCGGCCGCAAAGGGCTCCATGTTGTTCTCGATGGGATCCTCAAGATCAAAGTCGAAACCGTCAACGACGGAGTTACCGAAAGGTCGGGGAGTGCTGTTGCCGCTCTGGACAGGGCCGTACATGGCCCAGATCTCCTGAGCAGCCGACACGGCAGCGGACGAGGAGCTGAAGCCACTCTCGGTGTAAGTGGCGCCAAACAGACTCATCATGATGGTCTTTCCATAAGTCTGCTGGCACTCGACGATGTCGGCTGCAACCTGGGGGCAGTTAAGCAGGTTGGGAGCCCCAGGGAATGCGGTACAGTTGTTGCCAACGTTGGCGAGGTTGAGGTTGAGGTTGGTTATGCCAACCATGAAGGAAATGTTGATGACGTCGACATCGGGGGCGTTCTGGCAGTAGTATGAGAGCCTGTTCTGGCCAATACTGCCGGAATTCTGACCCCAGTACACAACGACGTTGTTGTTGCTGTTTTGATTCCAGCCAGCCTGCGCAGCAGGGAGGAGAGACAAAAGCCCGAGGGCAGCAGTGAAGGAAAAGGAAGGCATGTTGACTCGCTTGTCGAAATGTTAATGAATGTAAAAGTAAGGAATGACTAGGAAGGACCGGAGACAGCTCTGGATTGGCTTATCGTGATGATGAATTTGGGAACATGAGAGCAGATCGAAGTCTTTATATCAGTTCGATAGGCAGCCGCTGACATGTTTCAAGTCAACGCCATAGTCTTTGCAACACGACCAATGGGGCAGCTAAGATCAAGCTTACACAGGTAGCATCGTGCCAGAAAATAATGGTAGGTGCTATGCTGATTGAGATAACCCACCCAGGCGGCTCCAATTCGCAGTCTGACATGGTTACATGAATGGGCAGTTGGTTGGACGACTGAAACATTCCGCACCGTCTTTGTGCTGTACAATCACGGCAGCGGCAGCGATAGGGACTAGTTCGACAAATCCACCGTTAGTCCTGATGATGTGGACTGTAAATGGGATATCTGACTACGATTAGGATGATATTGATGCAACGTTATGCTCTAATACTGCCAGGGTCAAGGTGATTTAATGTCCAATGCGGAAGGTTGAGAGTAGCAAAAGCGGTTAGAGAACGTCACCCATCACACGCATGTAAGTCAATATGCAGGAACCAGTTCTAATAGATGCATCTGCAAATTGACCTCATGGTGCATTTAGACGAGATGCCTGCTGAAGGTTGTTTACTTTCGAGGGAGGGAATATTCTTTTTCACCAATTTCTTTTCCCCATCTTTTGTATGAGAGTCAAATGATCCCATTGTGCTCTAGGCCCTTCAAGACCCTCTTCCCAAATAAACCTCCAATTTACGGAGTATGAAAGCAATGCTTCCCGCCAACACTCGGCTGTAATACTCGCTGGTTTCTCTCAGAGTGTTTAGAGTCTAGCCAATTTTGTCAGCTCCTTCAGCTGGAGCTTCCGCTTTCGTGATAGGGCTTGTCTAATATCGGAGCAGGGCAGGCTCTGAGTTCCTGCACGTGGCGGTGCCATTACTCCGTAATTTCGGATAAGACGGCAACTTCATGTTATTGGGTGCGACCAATCCAAGCTGGACGCGGCACAGATGGAGACTCGGAGATGCTACAATGAATCAAACCGCTTAGGTGGGGTCGTCGATAGCTACGATGAGTTGCGCGGCGTGATACCAGTTGTGTTACAATCTACCCATAACTTCAATAGAGTATAGATTGCAGAGCTCCTATTGGAAGGATATCATCTGGAGAGGTTTAGGCAGCTCAATTGATTTTCGGTAGAGCCCTAGATATTATGGGAAACTCGTAGAATTAAACGGCCGCTATGGAATCCACCTGCATCATTGTTGAGGAAGTGAAAGAACGACGTTACAATTGAAGATGAAAGCCAGGCCGGCATCAAATATGGTATCGCATGGTAGATACAACGTACATGACTGTATAATCGGTAAAACAATACATCTTTGAGTTTTTTAGAGATGAACTATGTATGTACTTCTATCAATTGCATTTATTGGGTTAGAAATTAACCAACGGTACTTTTTGTAGAAAGGCTCGTGTTGTGAGACTCCAATATCTGGTCAATCAACATCAGTGCCAGTTAGATCTACATTTATATCATCAATAATAGTACTAATCACTTGCTCTCAAGATATTGGATATTGACAATTTGGAACTAGAGTTAGACTACAAAAAGACAACAACGGCCGAATCAAATGAAATGAGCGATACAGGGTAGTTACGTTGAAGAATCACAGTCGAGCACTCAATAAACCATGGTGACAGTCCGTGAACAAATCGTACATCAAATGAGAGAGTGGGAGCAATATTCTTTAGAGACGATACTGCAGTGCCAGTTCACCAGGAGCATGGTATGTTGGAACCTTCATCTCCAATGCCTCTCCAGAATAGCCGAGATCTTCAGCTACCAGCATCGCGGCTTTTTCTCCAATCAGGAGAGCCGTCGAGTATCTATATCACATTTAGCTCCGAGACGGGACAATGGCACCCAGCCAGAGAGGGAAGCTCACGTGTTGCAGCCCACATTGTCGGGGCAGATACTCAGATCGGCAACCTTGAGTCCTTTCACGCCGTGGACATTCAGACGCTCGTCCAAGACGCCGTGTTTTACGATGCTATTACCTTCTTTGGGAGCCATAGAGCATGTTCCCAAGCTGTGCCAAGTACTCTCCACGTGACGCTTGACCCATTCCTCAATCGCTTTGATATCATTGGAGTTATACTTGAGCTCTTGGCGCGTATTGACTTTGTTGGAAGACAGGATATTGACGGCAGCTTTGGTGTCAGCTTCAGGGAGATAGGAAGACCAGCTGCCATGGGTAATTCCAGCAGATAGGTTACCCGGAAGGGCGTAGGCCTTGGTCGTGGCCAGATCCATATCATGAGCTCTTGCTGGAGAGTCATACTCAAAGAAGGGGTGCTACACAGGCGAGATAAGTCATCAAAGCCACACATTATTAGTACAAGGAAGATGCAACGAACCATGGTCTCCACTTCACCCGCAAATGCATCCATTCTCCGTGCCGTTTCCCTGGATTTAATGTAACCCCACACCATTGGTACCATGTCGCGCTCGTCGTTCATAAAGCCACAATCGAAGTCTGGGCTGTCGTATGGGTCAGCGCTCTTGATATGGGTGCTACCTCTCGAAAACGGATATTCCAAGAAGTGGAACATGGTGAAGAACTTCCCGGGAGGCCTTGTAAATTTGTCAGAATTGAAGCCAAACACTTGGGCGTTGAGATCCTCACATCAGCATGTGGTCACCAAACCAGCCGGATATGACACTGTAGTGCATCACTGGCTTATCTGGCTTGTCTTTAAAATAACTCTTCCAGCCGTCTTTGAAGTGAGGAGTTGGCCAGCTCTCAAACTCTTTTAATTCTTGCTCTGTAGGGCGAATCTTAACCCCTGCATCAATGCCATTGGTTGCAAGAGGGCCAGTTCCCTTGAGATGCCATTCATCGAAGACGCCTACATCAGAGTGAAATCAGTACGCGTAATGATAATTGGGCAAGGTTTCCGTGTAGTTCATCGACTCACGCTTCTGCACTTCGGGTTCGCCACGAACAAAGTCGTCAAACGTCTCGACATCTGGCTTGGCTCTGAACACTGAAAAGGTCAAGTAATGGTCTTGGAAGTTGAGTCCAACTCCGGGAAGATTGACCAAACAGTTGACACCGGCCTTTTTCAGTTTTGCTGGGTCACCGATGCCTGATCTCTGAAGAATGAGTGGAGATGAGAGTGTCCCGCCCGATACGACGATCTGCTTGCGGGCTCGGAAAACGCGGGTTGGAGGCTGGCCCGAGCCTAGAGGTTTGGTGGGAACTGTTTGCACGCCGACGGCCCGCCCATTCTCAATTATGACCTTGTCGACCTTTGTATTGCAAGCTAGATAGAGGTTGGAGTGCGCCGCTCGAGTAGCATGGATGTAAGCATGTGCACTGTCGCTTCGCCGTCCTGTGTCTCGATTTATCCACTTCAACCAGTGCTCAGCCCCATGGCCTGTAACCAAATCCTGGAGATCGTCAACTACAGGGATTCCCTGTGACTCTGCGGCTCGAAGGAAGTCGTCTTTAATCGGATATGTATAGTTGCCAAAGGACACTTTGATGGGGCCTTCGAATCCGTGTATGTCGCGATTCTGGCTGGCTCTTTGATACGTCTCATGCTTCCTCATGAGCGGCAGTAACTCTTGGGTTGTCCAGCCTTTGGCTTGGAAATCATCATAGTCTGATGCTGAAGCACGTGTGTACATCATAAAGTTGATTGACGAACCGCCACCGAGGACGTGGGCGCAAGGTACAACCGCCTTTCGGCCAGCCAGCCATTTGGACGGACGGGACTCGTAAAATGAGGCAGTCTTGGAGTCCAATTTCATATTCCGTGGGTAGATACCGGGTCGGAAGACCCAAGGATTGTTTAGATTGCTCTCGCCAGCCTCAATCAGCAAAACTTTGAGATTGTGGTCCAGGTTTGCCAATCTAATCTTGTTAGTCCATATGACTTGAGTTATGTTCAATGAGCGGAAGACTCACCGGCCCGCAACTACACATCCACAACTTCCACCTCCTGCCACGATGATATCGAACTCATCGGGCAGCGAACTCCCATACCCCGAATACTGTGTTGACATCTTCACAAGTACTTTGTTGGAAGGCTTAATTCATGAGACTCGAGAGAATGTAACACTGTTGTGTATACCGTCAGAACAGAATGGAACGGGCTGTGCCCTTAAATATACGTCAGACGGACACACGCCAGTGATTTTGATAGCCAATTATTCGTAAATCCGAAAAATCTCCCTTAGACTCTACTATATGGCACGAGACGAACGATATGTCGTATTCAACCCCTCACAACCAGAGCAGGATCACCAATTGCAATTCTGGTCTTGGGATGCATAAGCGTAATCAAGTTGCAGTGACTAGCATTCCATTTATCCGTGAATTCTCGCCACCATTTCCAATAGGTGCGCATAGGAGAGATGGGAATGTAACTTTCTGGCTTGCATGGCCAAGACTGCGGGGTGATGTGCAATGAGCGGTGTTGAGACGTTCACGTTTTTCACCATGGATAGGAGTTATCTACTTGATGTATTTTTTTTGGAGGCATTCCAGATGGCAAAGCTCCGTAACCTTCCAATTGTGAAAAGTTCACTCTTATCAAGTTTTCAGACATTCGTTTCGTCGAAAAGGCCACAGACGTTATCGTAGCTCGGGTATGTTTGAGAACCAGGCAACGATACAAGCTGAGATGGCCGAGTTCCATATCCGACAAGTGTGCCACCTACTGAATCAAGGATTCTGCTTATCCCCTATCATTGGACGATTCCGAATGGCTACAGCAGACTGCAGGCGGAATATCCAATTGTTCGAAAACTTCTCCCCGCTTATTTGGTTTTTGCACCAACATTTGAACTAATCAGAGCCACAGTTCATGCACCCCGGATTCTTGCACCGCACAGACTGTGGGGAGAAACACAGCCCCCCTCATGATATCAGATCTCCAATGTTGTGTTCTGCCTGTAGCAAGTGCGGGGATAGTAGCCATTCATCATCAAGATGTAAGCACATTATCACATCTGTGTGACGTGTTCTTCTTCAATCTGAAAAATGATGGTAACTGCCGGTGAGGGGCTTCGAGGTCGTATGTAGGAAACTTGGGTTTCATTTGGAGATAGGCCTTTGGCATGGTGTCCGAGTTTTACCGCATTGCTATTAGCTGAATCCAATGCAGGTTAAATGGCCTGTCAACTTGGGAGCCTTTGGACCTAACCCCCGCATCAACTATGCCAAATGGAACGCCCGGCATCGATCCTTTCGGGTATTCTTTCACCCTCCATAACGATCTCGAACTTGAATTCTTGTCATGTGCCTTGCCAATTCGTCAGCTAATGCATCTAATGGACTAAAATAGGACAAAAATGAAGTTGATCGAGCATCGTCGGGTGAAGTCTCAGCCGTGGTCGTTGCTCTCAGTCCAAGTCGTCTTCGCGTTCCGAGCATGGAGTCGCGGCAGCTAAATATTAGCCAAAGGTTAAGAGGAGGGTCTTATTTCCGGTGCTATCCCCTCGACTGCAAGGTCGGCACGTCGGTCTCTACGATTCCCCGCAACATGCTGATAATCGGGCAGTTCCGATTCGGTAACAGGCGATGAATGACATAAGCCATTGTGCAGGCCATGCACATACATACGGAAAGAGGGATAACATATGTTGAGCTTGCGTTGGCCAGTTACAGCAGCTGTATCAATACCTGGTAGAGTAAAACAACGTGCTAGTTAACCAGTCATAAACAGCGTAGCGGTCAAAATGGCCTGCTGAGTACAGCATGCAGTACAGCATTCCGGCCGCGGTTGGATTTAAGTGTACGCCTTCCACATGCCTCTTTTAGCCTGATTCTATTGCCTGTTATTAAACTCTATGAACCATCTATCGAAAGTCCAACTCCCATCATGTCGTTTACATTCCTTTGGCTCTCATGCCGGCCCATAGTGCCTCCCATCACATTTGAGTGTTTCTTTCCAGTGGTAACGATATAAACAGTTTTACTCAACTTGGCCGAAAAAAGAATGATCATTACCATTATGAACAATGTGTTGTTCCCCAGCATTTTGGACACTTGCATTATTAACATAGCTTAGCCAATCAGAGAGATAAGAACGTAAAACATGAAGCATAGTGCTATAATTATCCAATTGATCATATTCCTACCGCAAAGCATAATTTGTGATAGGTATTCTTCATCCGAGGAACACGTGGATTACCAATGATGCTGATGTAATTAAAATAATCTTTGTGGACCGAGCAATAGGAGAAATATTCTAGCCTCAATCCGCAAACTATTCTTTATTAGGCCCAGCCTAGCTTTCCAATGTATACTGGAAGAACTCATCATCTTGGGTACTCCATAGCGGGATACAATACTCTCTAGCCGGGAACCCTTAGTGACGATGCATTCAAGCTTAATTCTAGGCTAGAAAATAAAGTCTAACGAGCGATATTGACATGGTATTATATGATGGAATTTGCAAAGCTCTCCATTAGATATTGGCTACAACGCCTCGTTGATAGAATTAGGTACATAAGGGTCATGATCATCTATCGTGATTCAAAATCTCCGAAAAATCGAAGTGCCATCAAGTGTCATCACTTTGATGCTCAGACTTAATCTTACTCTAGGGGGCCGGCATAATTTATTCTTCCGTCTTGGTCACTCTGCGGGGGATAATCGATCACCTACTGTATGGTTGAATGCATACTGCATGGATCCCATCGACTGAGAGGGTCCTTCAATTTAATGGGAGGAAGGAGAATATATACACCTTTCAAGGAATGTCAAGGAGTATCCTTGTCTCAAAAAGCAAAGTCAATCAACGGATCCAGTTACCTTCAATGGGGGCCAGTTACAGGGGTATGCGTAGCCGAGCTGGGTCCAGTATGTCATGGGGCTTTCCTCAACGGCAGTCGCTGAGACTCAGGTTTAGCTATGAAGCTTGATCTTACACGGAACAGAGCGTATGTGACCTATCTTATTTGACGAAAGCAACGCCGGCTGTTTCCGCTTACTTATCTGCTGATTACATGGAGAATACTAAACTATAGAGCATCGATGCAAAAGGCTCTCAGTGACACAAAATCACCCCTGAGCTGAGCGCTATTATTAGTAGTTGAGATGCCTAACCTCGACGTCTAACGGAAAGGAGAAAAGAGTAGCCCAGCGGCAGATTTAGCTACTGGGCAATGCAGCCCTTTGATCGATGGTACCCACACGGCCAATGCCTGCTAGTGGCACCAATTTGGCCTGCTCTCAAAATCAGCAGGACTGATTCCAAAGAGAAATGCACGGATTGGGTTAAAGGTAACATTTTTCTTGTTTAAGCAGTACTGTCTGACTGAGACTGAACAATAAGCATGATGACCAATCTAATTGTCATGCAGTATTGCGACTGTTGCTCTTATTGTGTTGAGCATACGCTGTATCATGACAACTAATGCCAAGTATAGCAGTGAGCTCATTCCTATAGTATAGAGATTCATTCTGGCTAGCGGAAGTGAGTTTCATACCGTTGGCTTCATGTATATCGTTGGCCCTTCAGCGGTTTCGGTTTGATCTAAGCCAGTCGTTGAGTCGATAGACGGAGAAGAGTTTCCCAACATCAACCAATTTTCCATGGAGGTGTGCATGCACGACGGGGCAGAGCGTTGCCCACTTTTGGAAATAGTGTTAGTAACCGCAGATTGGGCCGCTCAATCAGGAGAATTTGCGGACCTCGGGGAGTTGTTTCTTTCAATGCTCCACACATTCAACGGCTCTCGCTCACAAGGGTGGCAGATTCAGGCTTTGCATCTCGATGCTGGGGGTCAGTTATACCGCAACAGGTGTCACGGATCAGGGTGCGTTGTTAATCACGGTGCGAAATTTGAGCCGATGCCCGGAACGCCATGCCGAACAGGAACTAACTACCCACGCGGCGTTTGACACTTCAGGAGAGGCGTCTTAGTGCCGCTCTGTATAGAATAAGCAGCCCTTCGGAGGCCATAAAGTCTGGCTGGCTCGGGACCGATGCCGAACGGAACTCTTCAAAACCGGCAGTTGCACATATCTTCTTCCATCTACAAGCGCTCGTTAGCCATAGCAAAGCTCCCCACATGCAGTGATTGCGCACAACATGGAGCAAAGAGGCTCTAAAAGCAAAGAGAAGCAGCCAAGCATACGATTTCTCAATTTGACAAACCCCAGCGACGCCACCAAATCGGAGGCACTCACTGTTATACGCTCCCACGTGGCCAAAAACACTCATGGCCGCAAGCAAGAGAGTCGACGTGCTCGCCTAGAAATTCGGCAATATCGGCCGGAGACTGGATCGAACAAGACTAACGATCGATGGTCGCAAGTGGATGTTAGCACCCAGTCGGTGCCAAGAACGAGAGAACCTCAGCCATCGGTGGTACGTGGAACCAAGCACGGCGAGGAGGTTCGACCAGCTGAGATAGAAATATGGATGCCCCATCCGCAAACCTCTGTAACATCCAACCGGAGAAACCCCTTTCAAAGCACTGCCATAGCGGTTTCTGATTACGAGAATGCCTTGATTGATCATTGTAAGTGTTCCTTCCCGTGGCTTGTTGGCATCTATACATGTATGTATGCATCTAAACTATAGCGCTAACTCTTGCAGACATTACCTACGTCGTAGAACACGGCTATACAGACTGCATCCACACCGAGACCGAACAACTCCTTCTCCAAAATGTCCGATCCAAGTTTGTGCCATGGTCCCTCACGGAGCGAGGCCTCCAAGCTGGCCTGTTTATGGCAGCCTGTCGAAGTTTACTGGTTTTACATCCCGAAGACGATTCATACAGAGTGTCGCTATTAAAGTATAAAAGTGAATGCATCAAAATCCTTCGCGCGGCTCTTTCGGCCTCTGATGGAAGAGAAATCAGCGACTATACCATCGCTCTGGCTTTGGTATTGACGACGGAAGAGGCAAGTATTTTCCGTCCCTACTGCGTCTATGCATCTAACAGTTATCTGCTTGGCAGTTTCTATCAGGAAACATAAAAGAGTACAGATTGCATGGCGAAGGGATTCTTAGGATGGTTCATCTGAGGGGTGGTTTTAAAGATCTTGGCCCTGGTGGTCTGCTAGGATATCTCTTAGCGAGATCTGTCTATAACCCCGTCTTTCAATTTGTAGACGGTCCAGATGCTACTGGTCTAGCAGAGTAGAATTTGTGCGAAGTACGTTAATGGGAATATTGGTTAGGATCAGTACATGATGACGGCAGAGTTAACAGGTAAATGAGTTTCAACATGGAACGCATAAGCGCCTGCGGTGATGGGTAAATGCTGCTAGAATAATATATAGCAATTGAGTCAGGAGAAATACGCAAGAAATGAGTTGGTGTACCTATCAATATACTCCTTTAGTGCCTGGAATCAATCCTCTTGTCGCCTCGCAGTGGCCTTACAATTGATGCGAGCCCACTCATTCCCACACCCGATGAAGCTCAAGTTATTCTTACAATCAAAGGCGTCTCATAAGGAACTATTAGATGTTCTGTTTCTAAAAAAAAAACAAAAAAAAAACAGCAGTACTAAATAAAATAAGTTTTGCTATGTGAACAGTGACCCAAGAGAGTGGAATATATTTTTTAATGTGCTGCCGAGGCGCAGCAGGCACCGACGATCTCATCATCGCCACAGCACAAACTTCAACCCCGCTCACCATCAGTCTCTTAAATACCGCGCATAACCACGTCCAGGAAAATGTCGGCAGTTCCCGAAGGTATGTGATAATTATAAATTGTATGCATAATAACGCATAGTGGTATTACGATATTGAAGCCCCAGTGAATACATCTGTAACACTTTATTACAGGATATGCGAGCAGCGATGCGTACGAGATTGTTCGCAAAATTGGTAAATCACGTCCATCTCCTCATTCAACATCTGAACTAATCAGAAGTCCTTTTTCCTTTCTTAAAAAAAAAGCCCCTGGCAGACATGCAGATATCTTTGAAGGTGTTCGGGTGAGGGATCTCAAGAGATGCATCGTCAAGCCAGCGAAGGAAGTAGGGAGACGCAGGATAGAGCAAGAGATCAAAATGCTTCGTTTTTTACAAGGAGGAACAAACATCGCAAAGCTCTATGACGTGGTACAAGACAATCAGGTATGACTATTTGGACTCTGATAACGGCACACGAAATCGAACTAGCTGGATAGACGCTCTGTTTACAAGTTAGCAGACTGAACCACTGTCATTGGTCTTCGAATACATCGAGAACACCGATTTTAGAACGTTATATCCTCGTCTCAGCCCCGAAGATGTGCGATATTATATGAGAGAACTTCTCAGAGCAATCGAATTTTGCCATAGCAAGGGAGTCATGCATAGAGACATTCGACCACACAACATTATGATTGACCACAGTCAACGAAAGGTGGAGATTTCTTTGTGGTCGTCAACCACTCCCTCTCTCTTTCTGGAATACCAACTGATGACATGCTGGGTACTAGCTGCGTTTATTCAATTGGGATTATGCCGATATCTACGTTCCCAACCGTAAATATAGTGTCCGTGTTAGTTATGGATTCATCAAAGCCCCCGAATTGCTTTTGCACTACGAGGAATATGACTGCAGCATAGATATGTGGAACTTTGGAGCGGTGTTTGCTTCTTTAATCTTCCGGAAAGAACCATTCTTTCATGGAGTGAGCAACTTCCACCACCTGCAGACCATTGCACGGGTGTTGGGTACTAAGGGCTTGCTCAACTATGTGGAGAAGTATGATATAGAAACTGACCCAGACGGCGTTGATGCCATTGCGCATTTCGAGAAGAGGGATTGGCAAAGTTTCTTCAACGAGTCAAATGAACGATATAAAAGCGACGAGGCTGTAGATCTCTTAGATAAGCTCTTACAGTGGGATCATGAAGTAAGAGGATACCCAATGGCTTTGGGAGATATGTTGCTTACAATGTATTCATAGCATCGACTTACAGCGGCGGAGGCTCTAAAACACGCCTACTTCAATTGATCATTACTGCAGCGGCTACCAAGCGCCAATATACTTTAGCTTGGGCTAATATAACATTTTGACCTAGGTGCAGATGTTCGTTCATACATATGACCTTGCAACAGCTACCATTGGCACTGTCCTGGTAAAAAGAAAACCACAAGGAGGATATCCATATGGATATCATGAACCACATCCTTCTTGGTATAGATTTGATGTAAGATCGTTCAAACGCCAAGAGGATTGTTCAAAATTTCCATTTAATGGTGCCTCCTGAGGTTCTGTGGTGGACATGTAATCGTTCCATAGAATGTCAAATCCAAAATCATCGGTATTCTGTAATGACAGAGCGATAGCGCTCGGCTCGTGCATTAGCATACCATCGAGCAAGTCGATAGATGGTCTGCCCCCCTCCTCAGTCGGCGAAAACCCCATGTGACTGATCATTGGTGAAGGGAGTCCTGTTGTATTGTTGCCACTCTCATTAGTAGGCGTAGGCTTCAGTATTCGTTCCAAAAGGATATTGCTCGAAGAAGAACTTTTTTGTAGCTGTCGGTGGTATGCTTCGATGGCTCTCGAGAAGTCGGATAGGATTTCAGCGTACCGTTGTGCCTGAGCACTCAACTTGGCAATCCGCTTCAAGACGTTCTGCGATGAAGAAAAGTAAAAGTTCGATTCCGAACTCGTTATATCGGGTGGCCGTAGGAGGGAGAGCCCAAGAATGAGTCCTGCAGCAAAAACCCACGCCCTGCCCAAGTAAGTATTTGATCAGTGTTGCGCATCTCTAGGCCCCTGATATTAAGCATCCAAACTCACTGTAGTATACACATATTACCCAGCAGGAAGTCGGACGTGCCAGCGTCATGACACATTTGTACAAGATAAGTAGCAGAGTCGGTACACACTCTTGCTAGCTCTTGAGCCTTTGCATCTGATGGTGAGGGGGCAAAGGATTGTTCCGGGTCACTTCGGTTTGCTTGTTTTTGCTGCAGCCAAGTGATAACCTCGCTGATGAGAAATTGCCGTGTAGTCAACATGACACCAAAATAATAGTTACAGGCTACATGAATGTTGCCAATAGCGACTTGTTGATGATTGTCTTCCACGCAACCGTCATTATCTCGTGTCAAAAGTTGACGCAAGGTTGGCGGTAGGCCTTGTGCCCAACCACGTAGTTTCTGCAAGAACTCTTCAGCAGTAGAAATGTCAAGAATTCCGTCCCGATTTATCTTCTGTGCTATTAGCTCGACGACAGAGCATGATTCAAACATGGCATCTAATGTCATCGAGGTATGAGCGAGTAATTCAGTTTTCCCTCTGGCCTCTTGGGCCTCGGGTTGGATATCTTGCGTTCCGCTCGGTCTACCAAGAATAGAGTTGCAAATGAGATCGAGAACTCGCAGGCTCTTCCATATTTGAACTCTTCAACGGCAAATTAGTTCATGGCAAATAGGCACCAAGGCAAGAGAGAAGCTTACCTCACTGTCCGTATATCGGCCGGTAAAGTCGCATTCAACTCCGGTAAGTGTAAACCGAGGATAGTGGCTGCTCGCGATGCAACTCCCAGGTACAACAGGCCCGTATTTCTACGACAAGCACAGAACATGTAAAACGCCATAAGTATAAAGTTTCTCACCATACAAAGACTCGGATTTAGCAGCATATCCTGGAAGCCGAGGCGTTGTGCCTCCGCAAAATAGTTCGAAGACGTCTTGACATCTTTGTCACCGTTGCCTCTGCAGTGGGCTCCAATGGCAATTACCAAGTACGCTGCCGTTATATCGTCCTTCGACGATGTATCCTCAAGTTCAAGTGTAGCGATGGTTTCGGAATTTAGCTGGCTCAATATGCCATCCGTAAGTAGATTGAGAAATCCATTCGACTTCGTTGATGGTTAGCAAAGTGTAACCACCTGTGTCGGAAGACGGGTACCGCAAACACGAACCGCAACTTTGTAATAGTGGATAAACTCGGTTCGTTCCGATAGGTCCAAGTTATCCACAAACTCAGTAGGCCTGTGAGATGTGGACCTGAGAGTGGCCTCCAACATCGAATTGCTCCGTCGACTTTCAGTGAAAGTTGAAGGCCCTGCAAACCGCCGAAGGACATTCCGGAGAAACTGGAGCATCGATATGGCAGCAGTCTTGCCCACGTAAACTGTCTCAAGAGGGTTAGCCAACATAATACTCGCTCTTCTGTTGATCCCCTTCCTCACCCTTTTCTCCCTTGGCAGTCAATAACATTCTAGCATTCTGGGCGAGCAGCGGCTGTGGGGCATCTTCGCTTCTAGCCTCATGATGAATCGGTACCCCCTCACGATCGCGAGAAGAGCCGATGCGATTTGCTGGGGATAGCTTCGCTCTGTCGCCATAAACACAACTGGCGCCAAGTCCTTTTCGGGAACAAGAGGAGCACGGAAGTCGGGAATCGCATCGCTTCCTTGACAATCGGCATGCCTCGCAGGCTCGTACGGAACGCTTCCTATCCTCAAGCCTAACTCTATGTCGGGGCATGGCTTTGTCGGTTCGGATGCAGGCATCCGCAATCAACCAATAGACAACTTGCGGCCGCGGTGGAAGGAAGATAGATATGAACGGCGAGAATGTTATAATGATCGAACCGATTGATTGTTCCCAAAAATTGCGGATGTCGTACGCTCTTGTTCTTTGCTACGCGCAATGCACACGCGTTCACGCCTGGTTGTCGCTCTTCATATGTGCGGATGCCGGAAGGCCAAGAGTCGGACACTGTGAAAATCCATGGCGGATAGAGGTCCCGACGCTACTTTACAATGTCCGCTGCGCTGATGAATCAGCGATCGTGAACCCCAAACAACCTTGAAACTCCCCCAGGTTGCCAAGGATCGGGGCTGACAGAAGTCGGGGTAGATCCGAACTAGACAAATTGAAATATGCTAAATGTTTAAAGATTAATCAACTAGATCCTCTTAGAAAAGCGTTGATGGTCCTTTTGTCCCTGTCAATTCAATTGAACCTATCTCATAACAAAGACTGATTTGATACGTTTGTCTCAATATGTCAGCTGAACAAGCTTCCACAATAGCAAAGCCTCAATATGAAGAAGTGGAACACGAGAAGTTACATGATGCTGCTGAACGTGGACAAGCAGCAACAGACGAGTAATTCTCGCTTTCCTCTTCTAAGATGACAAGGTATTAACCATTTGTGCGTGCTAGGCATGGACAGTCTCTTGTACAGCTAGATCCGAAAGCCGAAGCCAGGCTCCGTTGGAAGCTCGACCTCTACTTACTTCCATCAGTTGCCCTACTATATCTCTTCTGCTTTATTGACAGAGCAAATATTGGTATGTTGCTTTTCCTCCAATGCCGCAGCCGTGGATGTTTTAATTCGTTGACTTTTGGTCAAGGAAATGCTCGCCTTGCAGGGTTCGAGAAAGATTTAGGCCTGACTGGCTACGACTACAATACTGTTTTATCTATTTTTTACATCTCCTACATTATCCTCGAGATACCTAGCAATATTCTGTGCAAGTGGATGGGTCCAGGATGGTTTATCCCAGCCTCGTCTCTCGGGTTTGGCCTCTGCTCCATATTTACTGCTCTTGTTCACAACAAGGCTCAAGCTTGCGCAGTACGTTTCTTTCTTGGGGCGTTTGAGACTGGTTTACTGCCAGGTATAGCTTATTACCTAAGCCGTTGGTATCGTCGATCTGAGTTGGCGTTTCGGCTGGCCATGTATCTGGTCATGGCCCCCTTGGCTGGAGCCTTCGGTGGGCTTCTCGCATCTGCCATTCTCAAGCTACCCCATTTTGGTGGCTTTACCACTTGGCGCATGATCTTTGCCATCGAGGGTGTTATCACGGTTGGACTATCGATAATCTCTTTCTTCACCATTACTGATCGCCCATCAACGGCCCGTTGGTTGACCCAAGACGAAAGAGATCTTTGCATTGCTCGGATCAAGTCCGAACGTGTAGGAACAACAACTCTTCTTGACAAAATGGACAAAAAGAAGATGATTCGGGGAATTAAAAATCCAATGACAATTTCCACCGCCATCATCTTTCTTTTTGTTAACATCACAGTACAGGGACTTGCTTTCTTCACCCCAACGGTGGTACAGACGATCTACCCTCACAATAGTGTCATCTCTCAACAACTCTATACGGTACCTCCATACATTGTTGGTGCATTCTTTACTGTCGTGTTTCCTCTGCTCAGTTGGCGAATAGACCGTCGTCAAATCATCATCGCTGCTAGTGCACCGCTAGGGATGACCGGATACACCATGTTTTTGGCGAGCACCAATCCGAGGGTCAGATATGGCGCAACGTTCTTGATCACGAGTTCAGTCTTTGCTCTTGGCCCAATGGTTAACTCACAAGTGAGCGCCAACGTCGTTACTGATTCGGCAAGAAGCAGCGCAATTGGGTTTACAGGTATTTCACACTCTTACTTCACTTAGTCACTACAACGATGCCGGTACCAACCTCCGCCGTACTAACAACGCTCTTTTTAGTCATGCTTGGCAACATCGGGGGTCTCATCTCAACATGGAGCTTCTTGCCTTTTGATGCACCCAACTTTCATATCGGCAATGGTCTCAATCTTGCTACCACCACGATGGTGCTCATTGTGAGCAGCATCATGTTGGTGTGGATGGTTAGAGACAACCGCAAACGAGATGGCCGCAATGTCGAAGAACAGCTGAATGGTGTGTCTCCAGAGGAAATTGAAGACCTTGATTGGAAGCATCCGGGATTTCGCTGGAGGCCATAAGTTGGGAAAGCGTCTATCATGATCAGCACTATATGTTGCAATCATTAGCATTAGTTAATCCTGACACCTTCAAACCAGTTGCATGATGGTTTCATACATGGGCTTAGGAAGTTGCATTAATCCAATTACATTTCATGATATTGCGCACAGATTGCATCCACCCGAGCTACACGAGGATGGTTTAACAGTGTTGATTGATAACAGGGGTAATAATTATCTACAAAGAGCATATTCTCCAGGAGCGCCGTAGTGGAAATTGATGGGGTCTTCCGAGGATTTGCGATATTATGTATGTTTCTTCAGTTGTATTTCTATGCGAATTGGAAGGAACGGTGGTATTTCCACACAAGAAAAGACAAAACCTTCCAAGAGTAACCAAATCAACGTCTATCCCGGTCCGTCGTTACTCTGAATCGTCGACATTGCCACCAAAATGTATCGTGTGGGTTCAACACATCACAAGAACATTCGAGACTCGGGGGGTATAGCGTCGCGAAGAGATGCAATTCCAGTGATGGATGGGTATTCTGACAAGAGATCCATGAACTCAAGACGCAGAGTTTCAGGTACGCATAGAGAGACAGATCCAATAACAAGGCTCCAGAGCAAGAAATGGTTGTCGCTACCCCATGAGACCAACACATCGCGACTCTTCAATGCCAGTAATAATTTATATGCGTACGATGTGGCTCCGGTATTGTCCATTCCAAATTTTGCCCGAACTTCACTAATGTAGAGGATACCGGCCAGCCTGAAGCATTCTCTTCGTTTTGAGAATTGGGTAGCTACACTGTCCGCCTCCCTAGGCAATGATAAAAGGTCATAAAGAATTGGGGCAAAGTGAAAGCCCGGGAACAGAACGGTGCGCCAGAAGGCGTCGCCTCGTGTGTTTGCTTCGGAAGTTAAAATAGAGTTGACTTGCTGTATCGCATCAAAGATATGGACAACTGCTGGATCCTGGCTTAGTGTGCTATTGCTATCGGAGGGTTTCGCCGCGGGCATTACGGCAATTCGGAGTTTGCTCTCATTTGATAAGATACCATATGGCTGAGGATAACGTGGCTTTATATCTTGAAGATAGCTACCGCGTATATCAATCCTAAGGGCAATAAGTTACATTTGTGACAGCCCGGAGGATGAAGCGCTGGGGCCATACCAATACATCATCATCCAGATAATAGGCAGCTGCTGTAGCGCTGTTAGACCACCAACACCGCTGATGGCGTGTGAGAGTCCATCAAGATGCACATTAATGAGATGCGGGTTGCTTGTCAGATTCTACAATCGATCAGTCCAACAAAATCCCGTGATTTATAAAGGTTCAATCAACACTTACTGCGAATGCTGCAAATGTGAGAATTGCTATGATGGTTTCGAGATTGGCTCGTTGGGTGGGATCATCCAACCGTCGTCGCAAAGCTCTTGTGGCCATGAGAGAGTATCTCGCATAATCTATACTACTCTCATGGTCCCCAGTTCCCACTTGCTTCCTGTGCCAAGCGGAAGACGACAACATCTGTGTAAGTGATGCGGATCCCTGTAGAATATCGAGAAACCCAATCTCAATCATGGATTTGAAGATGACACAGCCTCCGCCGTACACTAAACCACAGTGGTGAGCAAACTAAACAACCAGAGGGGGGAAACGCATTATACGAACAATGATTCCATAACTCGCGGGCGCGTGGCCGTTGATCCGAGGGCACCAGCAAAAAAATGCCAGCACCCTCTCTTCCGCCTATGAGGTCTTGTCCTGCCGGGTTAAGCCGCATCACTTCATTGGCCTGTGATGATGCAGACTGTAAATCTAATGGTACTGGTTCACCGTGCTGTGGTCTTAGAGTTGCATCGCGCGATAAAGCCTGAAGCCATGACCCAACATCAAGGTCAACGGTCAAAGCATTCCGCGGTGGAGGTGGGTTGCGCCGACGATAATCAGCTTGCGCTCGGCTTCTCACACGCCTCCGAGTTTCAGTATCGCCACGTATGTTTGTTCCAGAGACAGTTATGAACTCAAACTGTGGGCGGTTACTATCACGGCTGCGTTCCGCTTGCCCTAGGGACTCGCTCGTTAGCGCTACATGGATTGTCTCAGCATAGCGTGAGGCACATCGACTTACTTCTTCTCTCGTCCATCAGGAGGAATGTATCAGGAGTCAATTATCAGAGAAAGGTAAGTTTTGAGCGTGAAATGTAACAGAAAATGAAGAGAGAATAGATGGCTGCAAATGTTGTGTCTTTATTACGAAAATGTATAGAAGAGTTTCTTGTCTGTCCCATCGAATCGAGTGAGACTAGAAGTAGGCTAAAATCGATGGCGCAACGCGCTCCACTCCTCGGCCATTGCTTAGGTTCTTTGGCTAAGCTATCCCAAGTTCTAACAGTCTCGCCACAACCAAGAATTTAAGTTTACTTTGCCATCCTTATAAGATATCTTGTTAATGTATTACCCTCTTGTCGGCATAAAATAACACTGTGCACCTCTATCGGCATGACCGGCAATTTACAGCTATTCACCCACATGCTGGGTACGGAGTGCTTACAGCTAAAAGGTCATCCCGCAACTTACGCTGATGCAGTTCAAATAAAGGCGTGTCACAGAGCCACATACAACTCACAACAGAGGATGGTGTAATAAAATTGCATTTAGCGCCTAATTGTCCATAAGCTATCCTAGGAATTCTGCCACCTCCTTCGCAATCAACGGCCCATCACTCTCAACCGCAAAATGACCAGCGTCAATTAGTTTAACTGTTGCGTTAGGCAAATCTCTCTTATATGCTTCAGCCCCGGGAGGGATGAAAAACACATCGTTTCTGCCCCAAATTGCCAATAGAGGGACTTGAGAGGACCGGAAGTACTCGTGAAATTTCTCATACAACGGGACGTTATTTTGATAGTCCATAAAGAGATCGAGTTGGGCGTCCTTCCTGCCTGGGCGTTGCAGCAAAGCGTAATCCAGTGTATAGGATTCGGGCGCAATTGTCTGAAGGTCTGGAGTACCATTCTCGTATTGGAACTTTGTAATGTCAAAGTTCAACATGGCATCCGCCAGCTTGGATCGGTCATCCGAAGTATTCTTGCTGGCCCAGAAATCTTTGATAGGTCCCCAAACGTCGCCGAAACCCTCCACATAGGCATTTCCATTTTGTGTAATAATTCCCTCAACTGCCTCTGGGCGACGCAGTGCTAGGCGCAAACCCACTGGGGCGCCATAGTCGAAGACATAAACAGAGAATTTGGTAATGGAGAGTAAGTCTAGAAACTCGGCAAGGACATCTGTGAGCGAGTCAAACGTGAATTTGAAGCCTTCAGGTGTCTCGGTAAATCCGAATCCAGGAAAGTCTGGAGCAATGACTCGATACTTGGTAGCGAGTAAGGGAATTATGTTCCGATACTGATGCGACGATGACGGGAAGCCATGAAGAAGGAGAATAGTCTTCGAAGGATAGGTGGGACCCTGCTCTCGATAAAACACGTTGACGCCACTCTTAGGCAGCGCTACGCGAATGTTCTGAGTTGCGGCCATTTTATTTTCCTTAAATACTCGATAAATATGTCTGATGTGTTGTTGGCGATGGTAACTACCTTGTAGTATCTCGAAGCTCGTTGGTGTGAATTGCTAGTGTTGGTGTGCTGGACTATTGACGAATTCCTTCAAAGACACTCAATGCGGGAATTTATACCATTTAACATGTAAGAAAGACGAGTTGCTCCCCTATCTTCTTCTCAAACTCAACTAGGAGTATGTTGATTCCACGTTGGTTGTCAAGTCACGTCAGAGCTCGAGATGGAATTACTCACCCAAACCTATTCTCATAGCTCGAGTTTCAAGTCTAAATTCGCTGCAACGTCATTCACTAAACCCCATGGGGGAAATGCTGGTTTCGTGCCACACATTGTCGTGCGCTAATTGCCCGATAGAAGCAGTCGCTGAATCCTAGCCTCAACAGACGGGAAGAACGAAAAGTTTAAACAATTAAAAAGAATAAATTGAAACTGAGTCCATCCAAATGGAGGTAATGCTCATTTCCGTTTTACCTTGACTAGTCAATTAATGTCGCACCAATGCTGCCATTTAACATGTGAGCTATATGTTCTTTTAGTATTCAGAACTCTGGGTTTTCCACCAGCCTATGTTGAAACCTCGCAATATTTCACGGATAAGCAACATGACCCCTCCCTGAGAAGACATGACACGCGACAAGTAGAAGCAGTTATGTGCTTCAATGCTCGAAGTACGTGCTTTGTTGGGCGCATTTAAACAGAGAACTCTGTTCCGCCTGCTTTGAAGCAAAATATCGCTTGACTCTTTTCTAGGCATAAACGCAACATTTTTATGACGTTATTAGGACTAGACTTGGGCAAGCTTTCTCCGGAGCGGAGATACAGCAAGCACGATACCATCCGGCAATTGGCGGAAACAACAGGCTACACATTTCCCAGCTTAACAAGGCCTTACTCTCTAGAATACGGCATGCGCTAGACCAGAAACAGAGATTGCTGCTCCCTGACCTTGCATATGAGCCAGTCCATTAGCTTGGATTAAAGAGCTCATACGGAGGACCCCGTATTATTAAGATACGTAAAGGGTAGATATCGCCAGACAAACTCATATATGCCTACAGTTACATCATCAGAGATGCAGATGTAAATTTTCTAATGCGCCCTTGACAAATCAGGACAATGCCGCCGTTTACTATCTACCTAAAGACACGCGTAGTCATGGAGCGTAGGAGAGTTGCGGCGAGAACGGCGACTAGATTTGTCACGTTAAGAATCTATCGGTGGCGCCAGGACCATCTACGCATTACCTTATATAAATGGAGAACGCGCCACCTCAACTCTGAACGTTTATATTTCATCCTCTGAACTCATTGTATTACACTGTTAATATAGATTCACAGCTGAAACTTGAGTCTCGACAATACTTTACATTCAAACAACATCTACTTGACCTCTCAGATAAGATGGCCAATACTACTATGGACGCCATTGTTATATCAAAGTTTGGAGGACCTGAAGTTCTCCAGATTCAACAAGTGCCAAAACCAGAGCCCGTTAACGGAGAGGTGCTTGTGCAAGTTTTCGCCTTTGGCGTAAATCATGCCGAAATGCACATGCGCAAGGGCGAATGGGATGAATGGAACCCAATTTCCGGATTAGAATGCGTTGGAGTTGCCGCAGCTTGCCCAGGTGGCGAGATCGCAGTCGGTACCAAAGTTGTCGGTGTCATGGGAGGCATGGGTAGGAATCGTCCCGGAGGATATGGTTCATTCGTAAATGTTCCAATTGCGAATGTCGTACCAATCAAAACAGAGCTTCCTTGGGAACAACTCGCCGTTGTCCCAGAAGTTTACTCCACAGCATATTCTTGTTTGTTCACAGTTCTCGACCTGAAGCCTGGCGAGTCACTGCTTATTCGCGGATCAACATCAACTATCGGGCAAGCAGCTCTTCACTTGGCCGTTGACGCCGGTGCTCGAGTTACAGCGACAACGAGAAGGAAAGAGAGGTTCGACTTTGTAAAGGCGAAGGGCGCCGTTGATGCCAAACTCGAGCACGAGGGTCTCCAGTCAGAATTCCCCAGTGGCTTCAAATTCGACAAGGTCCTAAACTTGATCGGCAATCGAGTTTTGGTGGAATCTATTTCTTTGGCGCGACCTGGTGGCCGCATGCTTCAAGCCGGTTGGCTCGGTGGTTTGGATCCCGTTGTTGACTTCAATCCCATGATCCAGATGGACGCGGGAGTGCACTTCAGCCTATTCCACAGCAAAGTGTTGGGCTCGCCAGACTTTCCCATGTCTGGCATTCCCCTTCAGGAGATCGTTGGCAAGATTGAGAAGGGGGCATGGGATGCAAAACCCGCGTTTGTTTTCGAGTATAAGGACATTCGAAAGGCGCATGAGATGCTAGATTCTCATGATGCTGGTGGAAAGATTGTTGTCAAACATTAGAAGGCAATTTTACCTAACCTGAAGGCTATCAAATAGAAAGAACGAAAAAATATTATAGAAAGCTACATCACGTTAATGTTTTAAGCTCGTGTTGTGCAATACTAGATGATTCTATTCATGTTACTATCAAGCAGGTTTTATTTTATTGTCCATAATGCAGTGAGCCTCAGAAGCTTAAGAATTGTACGTTCAATTATCTTTGCAACTGTAACCTCAATTACATACATAGCCAAAGTCTCGGAAATATTTTCAGCTTCGTTGCTGTCCATTCCAATCTTTTTCCATTCTCCATCTTCTCTTCGACAAGAATTCTTTTCTTCTCTCATCTGGTCAATTGGTAACTGAGCCGCGTATCTCGACAGGATTACTAATGATCGCGGTTCGCGTTTCCTCCTACCGCGATTTATTTCGACCGGTGAAACTCAAATTTCTGTGAAAACAAGGTTCTCCATACGTAGAAATCACCCACAGGCCCGTAGATCAATGAAATCTCGGCTGTGGCATTATATTACCCGAACGTGTTGAATTGGGCCCGTCGTTTAAGCTTAAACAGTGCCTTGTTACATTGTAAAGCTTCTTGTCGTCTATAACACGGTGTTTATGTGGCAAACCTCGGCAGATCTTACATGCAGGCAAACAAGTATACATCTCTCGAAAAGAGATACACCGGCTCTTCAGAAACAACTGATGTCTGGATCTGACGCTACTCGTGTTTACTTGGAGCAATTGTTATGAGGCCTGCGTATGGGCGATACGATTAAGCCATTCGAGGCCGCATCTAACCGCTCTAGAGCTGAGCAATTGGCCAACTTTTTAGCCGCGCCCTGTGAAAGACGATTGCTGGTTGGGGGTTTATGATTATTCTTTGAGCATTTGGGTCTCTTATATATCTGGGAAGTTATCCCATGATAGAGAGGGGAGCCGCTGGCCGACGGAATAGTTGCATGAAGTAGAACTTCCCACCATACAATATGAGCGTTGGATTCTTAGGCCTAGGCGTGATGGGAACGCCCATGGCTCTCAATTTGTGTCGCAGATTCCCCACTACTGTTTGGAATAGAACGGCCTCTAAATGCGGAGCGTTGGTACAAGCCGGAGCTGGGCTTGGCCAGACACCAGCCAAAGTGGTCGAACAATCCGATGTCATCTTCACTATGATGTTTGATGGCCCTGCCATACGGTCGGTAATCGATGACGACTTCAGGAAGGCCCTTCGTGGAAAGACGCTTGTCAACACAAGTTCAGTTTCTGTGGAATTCAGTCAGAGCCTGGCAAAAGAGGTCCAGGAAGCAGGCGGCAAGTTTATCGAGATGCCCGTCAGCGGGAGCAAAGTGCCGGCCGAAACAGGGAATCTGGTGGGAATGATGGCTGGCGACCAGGCCGAGTGCGAGCGCATCCGACCTTTTGTTGAGCCAATTACCAGTGCTGCTGTTTATTGCGGGCCTATCGGGGCCGGCCTGAAGACAAAGTACGCGGTCAACATTTTTCTCATCACTGTTACCGCTGGGCTCGCGGAATCGATGAATCTAGCCCGAGCGCAGGGTCTCAATCTTGAAGCATTTAGTAGTGTGCTGGATGCTGGCCCCTTGGCCTCTGCTTATTCGAAGATAAAGCTAGCCAAAATGGCCAAACAGGACTGGTCTGCCCAAGCGGCTGTGAAGGACTGCTATAACAGCACCGAGCTCATTCGGACAGCGGCGAAGGCCGCAGAAGCAAAGACTCCTCTTACCCAAGTATGCAACTCTTTGTACAAGCAAGCGATAGATTCTGGACTGGAAGATGAGGATATGATTGCCGTTTATAGGGTCTTGTCGGAGCAATAAGAAATGCAATTCATACATTTTATATGATCACAGATCTTGTAAGAGGTCAATAGAGCTGGGGGTTTCATCGATCTGCTTTGCCACGTGGACGACACATAGGCCGAGGTGCGTAGTGCTTGATGTTCTGGATTAGACAATCTACATAGATAGGTGAACCGGAATAGTATTCCGAGTACTCGTATTGCGATATGGAGACATGTGTGCAGGCATCATGTGTCTTGCTTAGGAATTGCTGCGTTTTCATTTGTTCATGTGCATAGGCCGCTTTCATCAGCTCTTTCAAGACTCACCTCACACAAGGCCAACTGGTTTAGCTACTGTATTTAGGCTGCTTTAGAGTATTTTTGTAGAGGGCCGAATCAAAGCTTCGCGTTGCTCCATGTTTCAGCTGGATAAAAGGCATTGCTTGGCATTGTTCATGATGACGAAGGCATTCATGTTGTGCTGGTAGATGAATGGGTTGCATTTCACTTGCTTGTAATGTTCTATCCACGTGGTGTATATCCAATCATGCTATATGAGGGAAGCAGGACGCCACACACACTCTTAAATGAAGGATTACGAAGCTGGCAAGCTGGTACCTGACGGCTATAGGCAGCTAACCCTGTTCTTGGACCGACGACAAGCCAAGGCTAATTTTGGCGTGAGGGATGTCTAGCGCGGAGATTTGCAGATGCGTAGAGGCGCGTGAAAACTTCCCGAGTCTGGGAGTGATGCTGCATCGTTGCTCTGAGGAGCACATTGGCTCTGATATACAGTAGGAGGATTGCTAACTATGCTTGTTATAGAGAAATAAAATGCTGATTTGTTTTCGATCGATCCCTTATTGTGGTAAATTAGGTAGGCGTAACATCTCTGGGCTGTGCTATGCGGAGAGAAAAAAACTTGACAGCTCGTGTGAGAGGACTGATTCTGCTGCTTGTCAACGCATCTCGGCTTACCATTTGGGACCTTTTCAATGGTGCCCAGAAAAATACTCGAGCCGATTAACCGATTCATTTACAAAAAGACCCTGGACCAAAGCTAGGGTCTGTTGTCGGTGCTAGCAACGGATCCACATCCGCTGGCTGTTTTGTTCGTGCTGAGTCCGTCAAGGCGTTGCCATTATCTACACGTGTAATCTGCGACTCCATTGGATTGGAGGAGGTTTGCCCAAATCGGGCATACGAAAAGCGTTGTTAGTGCTGGTACGGGTCGGGATCGCATCCGAACTACACCGAGTTTGAATGGAGTTGTGATAACACCTTGATCCAAATGGAAGGTGAAAATAGACCAGATAGCTAGCCGTGTCGATGCATGCCTGGGTACATGTAGGCAAGCAGCGGAATCGATTGTATTAAATGCCCCTAGCTCTCGGTCGCGTTTTGTTTTCGTCTGCTTTGGTTTCGTGAGCGGTTGTGCGTCAAGAATCACCTTCAGTCGCGGCTGCTTGGTCTCTCGTTATTGCCATTCGTTAACCCGAATCTCAGACCGGTAGAAAGGATAAATTCGTTATCCACCATGAAGTCCGCTCCTCTCTTGGGAGCCATTCTCGCCGTGGTGGTTGATGCTGCGCCAACCGTCGACGAGCTTTATCCCTATGCTGGGCCCAAGGTTCCCGTGGGCGACTGGCTTGACCCGACTGTCAATGGCAATGGCAAGGGATTTGCGCGACTGGTAGAGCCGCCTGCTGTGAAGCCAGCTTCTTCAAGCCCGACCAACAACGTCAACGTCATTTCCCTTGCATACGTACCAAATGGCATCAACATCCACTATCAGACGCCCTTTGGTTTGGGAGAGGCTCCCTCTGTCGTCTGGGGTACCAGTGCATCTGACCTCAGCAATACCGCTACCGGCAAATCTGTGACGTATAACTATCGTCCATTGATCCCATGTTAAATCCAGCTAATGAATACGCGCAGATATGGCCGTACTCCTTCGTGCTCTTCCGTTGTGGTCACACAGTGCAGCGAGTTCTTCCACGATGTCCAGATTGGCAACCTGAAGCCCGGAAAGACCTACTATTACCAGATTCCGGCAGCCAACGGTACCACTGCATCCGATGTTCTGTCTTTTACGACTGCAAAGGAGGCAGGTGATGCCTCTGAATTCACAATTGCTATCATCAATGACATGGGCTACACTAACGCTGGTGGAACTTACAAATATCTGAACAAGGCCATCGACAATGGCGCCGCATTCATTTGGCACGGAGGCGACATTAGCTATGCCGATGATTGGTATTCTGGAATTCTTCCTTGCGAAAGTGACTGGCCTGTCTGCTATAATGGCACCTCTACTCAGCTGCCTGGAGGTGGCCCCATTCCGGAGGAGTACGACACTCCTCTCCCGGCCGGAGAAGTTGCCAACCAAGGTGGTCCTCAGGGTGGAGATATGAGTGTCCTATATGAGTCGAATTGGGATCTCTGGCAGCAATGGATGAACTCCGTCACTCTCAAGGCCCCGCATATGGTCCTGCCCGGTAATCACGAAGCCAGCTGCGCCGAATTTGATGGCCCCGGCAACCCTCTCACGGCTTACTTGAACAAGAACCAGCCCAATGGCAGTGCTGCCAAGTCTTCCCTTACATATTATAGCTGCCCGCCTTCTCAGAGGTATGTTGCCAATACGTTGCAATGTGAAAATATAGCATCTAACGACAAGCAGGAACTTTACGGCCTTCCAAAACCGATTCCGCATGCCCGGAGCCGAGACTGGCGGTGTTGGTAACTTTTGGTATTCATTCGATTATGGCCTGGCCCATTTCGTTTCCCTTGACGGAGAGACGGATTACCCCAGCAGCCCCGAGTGGCCATTTGCCAAGGATGTGAAGGGGAACCAAACGCACCCTTTTGCCAACCAGACATATGTTACCGACAGTGGTCCATTCGGCGCGGTTGATGGTGACTACAACGACCGAAATGCCTATGCTCAGTACCAGTGGTTGAAGAAGGATTTGGAGAGTGTCGATCGCTGCAAGACCCCTTGGGTTATTGCCATGAGCCATCGCCCATTCTATAGTTCCCAGGTCTCAGCATACCAAAAGACCATTCGCGCGGCTTTTGAAGATCTTATGCTGCAAAATGGAGTCGATCTATATATCTCTGCGTATGCCCCACGACCTATTTGCCCAACCTGGATTACGAGTACTAACTTTGTATAGACACATTCACTGGTATGAGCGTCTTCTTCCTCTTGGAAGTAACGGCACAATCGACCAGGCCTCTGTGATCAACAACAACACCTACTGGACAAACCCAGGATTTTCCATGGCCCACATCATCAACGGAGCTGCAGGAAACATTGAGAGCCACAGCACTCTTGGCTCAGATCCTCTCTTGAACATTACTACGTACCTTGACCAGACCAACTTTGGACTTGGTGAACTGACTGTTTACAACGCCACTGCGCTTTCATGGAGCTACATTCACGGCGCGGATGGCTCCACGGGCGATGAGCTTACTCTTTTGAAGCGAGATGTAAAGGGAACCTGTGGCTCCTCTGGCAGCTCTTCCGCAGCCACCAGCGTCGTCGCTGCGACATCTACCTCTCAGGCAGCCGGTGCAACGACGATCACCGAAGTCGTCACCAGCTACACAACTTACTGCCCAGGTAGCACTGTTTTCACAGCCGGCTCCAGCACTTACACTGTTACCCAGGCAAGCAGACTTGAACCTTTTGAGCAATCCTGATCAAGTTTCACTAACTAGCTGTTTAGGCTACTACCCTCACCATCACTGATTGCCCCTGCACACTTACCCACACCGTCTCGAATGGAGCCACAATGTCAGTTTTACTCCTTCTTGAAATGTAAATTCTAGGTACTGACAGGTCCGATTTAGAACTTCCCAGAGCACACCCGCCGGTGCGACCGAGCCAGCAACAAGCTCTCCCGTGGCATGGAACACCACATTGCCTACTGGAGGAGTGACCACCACCACCACTGGTGGCGTTACTGCTCCCACTGTGCCCGTTGGCAGCAGCGCGAGCCGCACATTGGTTGTTCCAGGCTTCGCCTGCGTCTTTTTGGCTTTGCTGTCACTTCTATAGAGTTCACCATTGCGTATAGAAAAAACCGTAGGATGATGGTGCGCGAATGAACACTGAATGCCCTAGCAAAGGAAATAATATAGTATTAATTGAAGCCATGAGAAATGAAAACCCTCGTCCTGTTTAACAAATTCCAATGTCTAGGTGAGGAAACGGTTTACGACTTTTTTATTTGAGTATAGGTAGCTTCACGTGTGACCTGTTTATTCGCGTTCTGGCTTCTGCATCCTTGTAGATCGCTATGAGTACAAATTGCCATGTCCATGACTTCGAGCCCCGCTGAGGCTTACACGTCGAAGGCCATAGAGAACATCCGTTAAAATAGTACGGAGGCGTCACTTTTGCGCCTTTTTTTTCTTTTCTTTTTTTTGGTGTGTGAAAGCCTTTGCGTAGAGTCACGGCAAACACAAGCTGGCTAGCAGTCTCTGTGCCTCCCGTGTTTTTAGCAAATGACTCCCTCGATGAAATTTGCAGTAGTGCAAAGAAAAAGTTATAATGATGCAGATACCTGTACTCCGTACAGTTCAAGTTTGTCATCCCTTATCGCGCTGACTCTGAGACACTTTGTTTCATGTGTAAAATTGCCACAGCCTGCCCCGCGGGAAGTGACTCTTCGTCAATATTTTGTCGCGCTTGGCAGCACGTAGTGACTCATCGCAAGGCTGAGTGCCCCTCAATCCAATTTCGAGAAACAAACTTGCAAATGGGCCCATCAAATACCCGATTTGCAAGTCACTCCTAATGCTAACCACGGGAATATAAGTCGAGGAGAAACTCCCTGCAGGAGTCAATCTCTCTAGCAACTAACTTCTGCTTCACTGTTCATGAGCCATCTCACCACTCCTCTCAATACTACCCAGTTACAGCTACCCCGCATAATGGACTCGACCCTGTCATATCCCATGCCAGACGGCGTCTACGCCATCCCACATGATGAATTAGACCTCCGATCAGACGACGAAGTGGACCATGATCTCTTCAATCCTAAACCCGTCTCGGATGAGAAGAATATCTGGTTCTTCTGGCACAGTGGCATCGGCAAAATGCACGGCTATACTCGGCGCACAGTTCGGAATTGGCACAGAAGATTTTCCAAGAAGGGATGGGTAGTCCGCGTCCTGGATTTTGAAGCCGGCTCTCCCTTGAATGTGGCACACTACCTCGACATTCACGACACAGATGTGTTTCCTAAAGCGTTTACGGATAGCGCGGTTGGCGGCCATCACTCATATCAGCATATCTCGGATCTTGTGAGATTTCCCCTCTTATTGAAATATGGAGGCGTCTATGCGGACGTAGGCATGGTTCAAATAGGAGATTTGGACCGTGTCTGGAACGCTACAATCGGCGACCCTAGCTCACCATACGATGTTTTCACATATAACATGGGCGGACCCAAAGAGCGCGGCATGGCAAACTATTTCCTCGCCTCAGGACGAAACAATCCTTTCTTTCTACGGTGTCATAAGCTGTTGCTTGCACTGTGGGCGGAAGATGGGGGAAAGACAAGCACCGAGGGAATGCATGCTAGCCCATTGTTGAAAGGAATTGCCTTACTGGATACTGGTCACTCGATGGAAGAGAATGGCAGAACATATGGACGAGAGGAGACTGCCAAAATGTTGACCGATTATATCATCCAGGGACAGGTTATTACCATGGTCATGGGCTTGATCGACCCAGAAGATGATTGGAACGGACCGAAATATGTGACAGAGCACATCTATGCATACGACTACATGGTTGGATCACAGCTCATTAATGAGATCACCGCATGGAACGGCCCTAAACAGTTTGAGCTCATGTCTCTGCCTGTTGCTAAGGCCGGTGAAGAGGAAAGCGACGACCAAAGACTCGCACGCAAGATTGTAGAAGACTGCCTATCCAAAAGTTTTGGCATGAAGCTCGCTACAGGTATAATTGTCAGAATTATGGGCGAGACTTTGAGCTCACTATGGAGGAACAATGAGGGCAGCGATAATGTCCCAGGAACATATGCACATTGGTTGAGATATGGTACTCTGTATTGGTGCCCAAAAGATCATCCCGCCAAGCTGGGTTTTACAGAGATGCCGGCTTTCAAAGTTGGCCCTCTATTGGGCGAAGGAGAAATTGGACCCGGTGCCAAAACAAATGATTTTCGTGTACCGAATTAAGGATAACAGATGTCGCAGCTTGACGAATTGGTCTTCTTCGACACCTATCACGTAGTCTGTGTATAGCATCATTAAGCGTTCTTGTCGTTTTTATAGAAACAAATTTAGACAAACTATTTATTATTATTAAATTTGAATCATCTCATCACTATGATTTCAAGGTATTTTCCCATGGGGTTGACGTTGAACTCACATAGTGCGATTCCCGAGTTCGGGAATCACAGCTACACGGTGTTGCCTCAACCACACGACGTCTGGATGTTTATTACCCGAGTTCGGGCAGTGTATTCATCTTTAATTTTGAACTAATGTAATGGTACGAGAGGATTGGTTTCTCAGAGCCCGACTTCGGATAGCCAGAAATGATGATGGCCTCACGGGTTTATAAATAGACCTATGATGGGACACCCAAAGAAAATTCTCAAATCATAGATGAACCTCGACATGAATATTAATCCCTTTTAGAATATTCCACGTGTTGTTTTCATTGTTTAGAGATACGTGATGAGTTTCACGAGTATGTTAAAAGGATGCGCTCCTGTCCACATGAAGACCGTGTATTTACTTACACAATATCTGACACGATATCTAGTTCAACTCCTCATTGGGGCGTTTGTTGCGCTACCAGTTGCTACGTTACTATATTCGGTGTTCTACTACCTTACCGATGTCCACCGTCTACGCCGATTTCCTTCACCGTCTTTGACGGCTGCATTGTCGCCTTTGTGGATGATGTGGCACAATGCTCGGGGCAAAAAGTATGAAGCTCTCGACGTGGCACACCAAAAGCTCGGCCCTGTTCTTCGAGTCGGTCCTAAAACACTCTCCTTCTCGGCTCCAGAGGCATACAAAGATATATATGGTCATGGTTCTCCAATTCTCAAGGATATCTTTTACGATAATTTAGCAAACGGCAATCCATCCATGGGGGATGCGACAGATCGCCAGCTGCATTCAATCAAGCGGAAGAATCTGTCAAGTATTTTTTCAGCAAAAAACATTCTGAGCATGGAACCTAAAGTGACAAGCTCGGTGGAGGAGCTACTTGCAGCGATTCGTATCAAGCTGAACGGAGGAGCTTTATCCAACGACGACAAGCACGTGGTTTTAGAAGGCGTATTTGATATACAGCCCTGGTTGAACATGTTTTCCTACGATGTCATCTCCAAGATGCTATGGTCTTCATCCTATGGGTTTCTAAATTGCGGGAGCGATGACTGTAACTCCATGGCCGTCGATGGGCGCGTCATGAAAGTGTCAGCGATCCGATGCTTCCAAACTGGGGTGCAATTCAATGCACTTTGTGCACATCTCCCCCCGCCATTGTATCAAATTTCAAGGTTTGTTACGAAGCCATTGTATCAGACGGCAGCTGCAGATCATTTTTCAGGAATGGCAAGATATGGCATTTTCAAGCGTATGGAACGGGGTGATTCCGATGACGTTGACTTCTTCTCTTTCTTCCCGACACAAAAGACCAAGATCTGCCCTGTTCCTATGGAGTTGCCAGAGCTTATTGCAGAGTGCGGTACATTTTTAAATGCAGGTATGCCAAATACATGTTAACAGTGTTGCATGCTCTCGTCTATCTTTGCTAACATTTTCAGGAAATGATACCATCCAGATCTCACTTACCAATACTATTTATGAGCTTGCATCCCACCCAGAATGCCAACAAAAGCTGTATAAGCTCCTTACCGAGTCGTTGCCAAAACAATCGCAGCCGATTGCTTCATACATGGAGCTGAGTAAGATACCTTTTTTGACAGCAGTTCTGGACGAAACATTCAGGCTATTGCCTCCAGTACGGTTCAATCTCCCACGAATAATTGTTCAAAACGGAGCTGTAATTGCAGGCCATCATGTTCCAGCCGGAGTGACCGTTTCCTCCTCTGTGTATATGATGCACCGAGACAAAAGCCTCTTTCGAGAGCCGCTGAAATGGCTTCCAGAACGATGGCTTCCCGAAAACCCAGACTTTTCGGATGCAGAAAGAAGAAACTTGAAGGATTTTGTTCTACCGTTTACATCAGGAGGAAGGGCTTGTATTGGGCGCAATCTGGCTTACATGGAATTGAGCGTTTGCATAGCTGCCCTGGTGATGGCTTTTGAATGGGGTATTTCCGAGGATGACAAGAAGAAGTTTAGCCATTGGGAGAGCATAAATTGTACTCCTAGAGGTCTCAAGGTCACTGCCCGGCCCAGATCAACGCCTTGATCTGCCAGAGGATATCAGTCTATGAAATGATTATAACAATTTGCTGCATCTTTCCATCGCATTTTGCCTTTAACACAAATCTTTGAGATTTAAGTTTGCCAAGAAAAGCGTAACTTTGTGAACACCTCTTTTCACAGGATTAAGAAATAAAAAGCATGTTGATTACTGGTTATGCGTGTGGCTCTCTAGTAGCGATCACGAAATTAATGAAGCAACAACTATGGGAAGACAAGTACTGTTTCGGAGGACCCTTCAACTAAAGATATCTCCATTTACAGTTGCCCCTGAGCAAGGAAAAATAGCGGTCATCCGAGTGGGGCGAGCAAGGGACAATATGGTACCACGGTGAGGTCGGCTGTAGGCAACGGCAACGGCAATGGCGGTATGGCGACATGAGGGCTCTCGCCGTAAATAGAACGTGAATGAGAGATGTTGCATGGTAGGATGAATACTGCGATGGCTTCCATGCTGGCCAATGAAAAGCAATTTGAGACGTACATTTGCGTTACCCAAAGGGAATCTTCATGTCCGGAGAAGAAATATTGTAGTTCGACTCGCTCATTAACTGGATATCTATACTACTACTTGTGTAGAGCAAAGACCACAACGTAATTGTGGAAATCCCGCCTAGTGCTGACCGCTGTGACCCTTGCCGCGCTGCCTAGAGTCCGGACAGCCGGTTCAACCCACTAAACACAAGTTCAACTATTCAATCCTCTTCCGTAAACAATTAAAAATTCCCTGAGATGCTTCATGAAAGTACTTATGAAGGCAAGTTTCCATCACATTCATTTCGTTCGAAAACGCGAATTGAAATCTGACAACTGCATCTAAAAGGTTATGTACTCTCCAGTGAATTAAGTAAAACAAGAACCTCGCTTGAGTGTCTACGGTATACAGGCGGGAATGCACCTATATCCCCACTAATTATGCCATAGTAGTTGCGAATATTTACTTGTAGAGCATGCTGATTGAGGGTTAGATCATAACAACATTCGAGTGCCATGACTCCATGCCGTACTACTTATCTTGGTGTTGGTCTATTTACTATGAAACTAAATTGACTTTTTTATACGCGATAGCTATGTAATGCTGGTGTTGATGACGACATGGCGGCTGATGCTATCTCTACTGAGGACGGTCTCGGTACGATATCGTCACTTGTACTGTGGAGTAGCTCACAACGTTGGCCCCTTATTGAGATCAGTGATGCAGCTGACAGCTCATAATATCCAGATTGCAGATATCGATAACCTGATCTGATGACTTGACCTGCGCTCACTGAAGTGGGCCTAAAGGTTTTATGTCATGGTGAATCCTATCCTCCCTCCCTGAGAACCACGCAACAAGATCGCCACTTCCTGTCCAAAACTAGTAATAGGTATACCGCTTATGATCAAATCTGCTTCTTCCACTGGCTTTAAGGGGTTTGATGTAATGCGAGTGGAGAGGCTCCAGCAGCTTAGTGCTGACCGGTCGATTTGAGTTCGATTGGTGAGACAAGGTTCTCCTGATGGCTGTGATTGTTTGTGTATATAAGAATCCTTCAACTTTTCCTTTTCGACCTACCCATTCCAATAAAAGCATTTCTACTTCAGATCTCTCTCCCAAACGAAGTCTCCTATAAGCGGATAACAAGTCCAATTATCAACAATATGAGTTCCATTGCGTCGACTGCTGTTGGGCTTCCATTGGCAATCCCAACAACAAGCCTAGGCATTGTTGTTGCTCGTTATAAAGAAGACTTGACACCATGGCTTCCAGGAGCCGATTATTCCTACGTCTATGACAAGGGTGGAATTCCACAAGCAAACGACACAGTCGACCACGACGCTTTCCGCTCCTACGTTGAACTGCCCAACATCGGCCGCGAAGGGCATACGCATTTGTACCACATCGTCAATAACTGGGATACACTAGAGGATTACATGATATTCTCTCAAGCAAACCCGTATGATCTCATTGGCACTGTCGTCAACTCGACCAACCAAATGATTGATGTGGCACTTCAAGTCAACCCGAATGAAGTTAATCCCTTTGATCCATCCCTATTCCACGACGTTGATGACTGGGCGAAGATCAATTGGACAGATCCAAAGGAAAGCATGTGGATTACGGCGAGCCAGCTAAGTTCTTTGGTGTTTGCTCCGTACACACCTGAGGAGTTCTGGAACTATGTGCTACAGGAGGATCACCCGCCAGCTATTCGGGCTGCACACGGCGGTACCTTTGCTGTCCGACGAGAGACAATCTACAGCCAGCCGCGAGAAGCATACGAAAGGGCCCTGCAAAGATTTGTTGAAGCCAACTCTACGAATCCCGAAGTAGGCTTCATGTGGGAACGATTTTGGACTGCAACTTTCTCAAAGCAGTATTGGCTTCAGGCAGTCGAGAACCCTTAGAATTGGAATAGTGAAAAGATCGAGGTTTTATAGAGTGAGTAATGTTACTTAGACTTTTTAGAGATAATACAGGCAAGTAGATTTTGATGGAATACCTCATATACGCTGTTCTTTGCTTTTACCATATGTTCCAATGGGGCGCCATTGGTATAATCTTGCATCAAATATGATGATCCTCTTGTAATATTTACTGGTTACTTATCTGACCACCCTGGATTGGCTCAGCAGCCTCAAATCATTGTGTGACTGTTGCAACTTGTTATTTCTTCTTTAGTGATTGCAGTTGTAATGTATTCTTCACAACCATTTCCTCCATATAATTCGTGAATTCACGTACTCTCATGTTACCGCATAACCTCGCAAATTCGTCGGTGGATCTCTATGATTTTTTCGCTTAATTATACATATACAGTTAGCATATTACTATCTCTGCCCCCATGGCGTAGTAGCATACGCCTGGAGGTCTTACAGTATTTCCCCGGGTATTCATAAGGCAGTCGGTTCAAATCCGGCTGGGGGACCCCGCGCTAGCAGACTAACCATCCTGCTTATCAAATAGTCAAAACGCCGCGACACTTAGGTCCTTAGGCCGGACCCAACAGCTGCTGCCCAAAGTCAACATATAACCGGGCTGTACCCTGCACGACAGCAGAGACCTAGCCTAACGGTATTAAACTAAGGCCGTTGTCTAGTACAAGAGCTAGCGCCGCCCGGGGCGTATCTGGGAAGTTAGGCTAGCAGGCCTCCCCCGCGGCAAGGGGCTACTACAAAGATATAAAGCATTAGATACAGCCTACAGTAGCTACAGACTGACCAACGTTACTTATTTAACTAGTAGGCAACCTTCCTTAAAGGGCTAAGAATAGGGCGGATTTGGGCTACTATAGCCGCGAACTATAGCAGGGTATAGACTGCTTTAGCAGTAGAAAGGGAGCATAGAGGTTTTTATCCCGGTAGCAGGTATAGGTTTTCTACAGAGGGTTTTTCCTACTATAAGGAAATACGCAGAGGGATTAAAAATAGCTACTGTTAGTTAACTAGCTATCTAGAGTAATATTATTATTATTATTATTACTATCTCTAGTAAATGGTGTCCTAAACGCTGCAGATACCCACAAACGAATGTCGCGAGGTTACGCCGTATTACCTCGCAAAATTCGCCTATGGGTCTCTCCAGCTTTTGGGCCACTATTTTCCAAGGGTAGTAATCAGCTAACTGTGTTTATATAATTAAGCGAAAAAAACGTAGAGACCCATAGGCGAATTTTGCGAGGTAATACGACAGTGTACATAGCAGAGTAATTAAATCACGGAGCATAAAGTCAGTATTATGTCATCATTCACTGCTGCGAAGCTCACCTTCATTCTCTAGCTAAAGCATTGTGCGCAATATACTCCGTACATGTAATTGTGAACCTTTGATCTACGAGGTCATATAGGCATTTCATTTCGTGAGTCACGACTTCAATATGCCGGCATCGAAACCTCCAAAACGAACACCAGATTGGAAAGAAATTGCCTATGAAGCTCAAGCCCTTCGTGACCAAACCTTGGCTGATGTTGGAACAACTGTTCGACTGCCACTGCAGCTTCCAACAAACGTCATCAATATTCCGGAAAAGGCTTTGTCGGAGGCAAACATTCGGATAACATCTCTGTCTCCACAACAGCTTATAGATCTAATATCCAATGGGCAGCTATCAGCTCAGGAAGTTGTTCAAGCCTTCCTGGAAAGAGCTGTAGCTGCCCAGAAGCTCGTAAGTCTTCTAAAAACGTGTCCCGTATCCATGGATCTAGCATTGTGTACTGATTTCTATTCATAGACGAACTGTCTAACCGAACTTCTTCCTCAACGAGCTATTTCTCGAGCTGTAGAGCTTGATAACCACTTTTCTCAAGGCTCCGTCCCCGTTGGGCCTCTTCACGGTCTACCCATCAGCGTCAAATCCCATATTGGTATTGCCCATAGACCACTTGCCTCTGGTTATTGTGCCTTATTCCACTCACACACCCGCCCTGTCTCTGATGCATTAGTGGTGCAAATTCTCACGCGAGCCGGTGCCATTGTCCATGCTCGGACAACAGAGCCTCAGAGCATGATGCAGCTTGAATGTGCTTCAAACATATTCGGAGTCACCACAAATCCGTATTCTCACATTGCTCTGTCTTCAGGTGGATCGTCTGGTGGCGAAGGGGCGCTGATAGCATTGCGCGGCTCCGTCCTGGGTATAGGAAGTGACGTGGGTGGGTCAATTCGTGTCCCGGCTGCTGCATGTGGGATTTACGGGTTAAAACCAACGTCTTTTCGAGTGCCAACGACTGGCTGGAGCAGTACTCCACCGGGAGCAGACCCAATAGTAACGGTGTTGGGGCCGATGGGCGTCAACTTGGAAGTATTGGAGCTGTTTATGAGGGTAGTTGTCGCCGCAGAATCGTGGAAAGTCGAGCCAGCACTCATACCCTTGCCATGGAGCGCGGTATCGATAAATCCAATCGCAGAGAAGCCATTGCGCTTGGGGATAATATGGCAAGATGAGATCGTCCAGCCACATCCACCGGTGCAGAGGGTGCTGAGAGAGTTCGCAGATAAAGTGAGTGGATTGTCGCATGTGGAAGTGGTTAATTTTCCGGTATATAAGCATGACGAGGCGTGGGCAATTGTTTCAAGCTTATATTTCACTGATGGTGGCGACGCTGATATCGCAGTCATGGCCCAGTCGGGAGAGCCATGGCTGCCCTTAACTGATTGGATCATGAAAAAGAATCCAGGAGTGAAGAAATTAAGCCGCAGTGAGCTTGAATACTGGCTGGAAGAGCGAGAGGAATTCCGACTGGAGTATTTACAGCACTGGAATAAGACGGGACGCTGGGATGAAGCTTCAGGATCTTGGGAGAATACTGTGGATGCCATTATATGTCCCGTTGCACCTGGGGTGGCCACTGAACACAATACTGCCAAGTACTGGACATACACTGCAGTGTGGAATCTACTAGACTATCCTGCGCTGACTTTCCCTGCTGGAAGAGTTGATAAGAATATTGACGTTAGAGACAAGCGGAAACGATTTCTAAGTGGCTTAGACAAAGAGAATTGGCAATTATGTGAGTGATTCGCTTAACACAGGTACGCTAATTAATCACCGAGTGTGAACTAACAATATATAACTATAGTTTGTTTATTTATTTGTTTATTTGTTTTATTATTAACGTTTACTAAGTAAGCTAGTTACATAAATCCTTATTTAGGCACTAAGACAGTAGAAGCCGCTAAGTTTAAATTAGGTATTTACTATATTTTAGTATAATAAAGGAAATAGGGAAGTATTAATTTTATTTTATATATTTATTTCTATAGGGGGGGGGCTGTATAAGCTTATCTCCTTTACTAATTTCTAAAAATCTTTATATTTCCTATTATTAAAAAGGTATTAAATATAAGTAGTTTTAAAGTATACTTCCCTTTTTAGTATATTAAGGAGGAAGGGGGCTATTATATAATACTTTATAAAATACCTTTATATCTTAGGCTTACTATACTTATAAACAGGCTTAGTATTATATTTAAATCTCTTATAGTATTTTATAAAATCCCTATATTTAAATTTTTTAGTTAATAGCCTATATAGGGTTAGGTATAGGAGATATAGTTCCAGGGGTATAAAAGGGGCTTTATAAAAACCCTATTTACTTACTTTATAAAACTCTAAGTAGTTATTATTTTAGTTATTATTTTATATTTTTTTATATTTTTTTTTTACTTACTTTTTAATAAAGGTAATAGTAAAGTAATTTCTTAAGTAGTAGGGGAGTTTTAAACCCTTTTTTACTAATTAGTTAGCTTTTTTATTTTTTAATATATCCTTATAGCCTAGGACCTAGGCTACTTTTATAATTACCTATAGGAATAATCTCTAGGTAATTTAATATAATCTTATATAAGCTCCTTAGGATAAAGCAGAAGTTAGCCTTAGTATTTTATTTACTATTATTAAGTTATTTAAAAAAAGTAGAATTTCTTAAATATTTAGGTTTATAAAAGCGTATACTTTAGCTAGCTTTATAACTTTAAAGGTACTTATTACCTTAGTGTTATAAACCTCCGCGTTAGTAAAAGAACTATATATAATAGTTCTTTTAAAGTTATAATATATAACTACTCCTTAGCCTATATTACCTTATTTATCCTATAAGTTATTTAAGTAAGTAAAAAAAGTAGATTTAAGAAGGCTATTTAATAATCCTAGGTATTTTTCTACTACTTTTAACTTTAGTAAGCTTTTAAAATTTAAGCCTACTTAGACTACTTTATTATTTTTAATAAAAAAAAAAGTTAAATTATTTTCTTTACTAAGGCTATAGTATATTATAAATAAGTAAAGGGAACTCTAAGGGGGAGTTTTTTATTAATATATTTACTAATTAAGTAGTTTCTATTTAAACCTATATAGTAAACTACTATATAAAGTTTAGTCTATATTATTTATACTAACACTAGGGGGACTTTTAATTTTCTATATATAATAAAAAGGTTAGTAATTTTTTATATAGGGATAACTACTTTAGCTACTATTTTAAAAAGGGGTTTTAGAATTATAGTTAATCTTGCTAAGCCTATTTTTACTTATTTATTTAAGTTTATTACGCTTTATTTATTTTTACTAAGTTAAAAAGCCTCTGTCTTATATAAAATTATAGAAGTAATATAAGCCTTAGTTACTATAACTACTATATTTAGTAGAAATCCTTTTTATATTTTATTTAAAAATTTTAAAAAGTTAGTTACTTTAAGGGCTTTTTTTTTTATAATCCTAAAATACTTTTTAAAAAAAAGTTATAAGTTTAAGTATATTTTTAGCTAGTAGACTAAGTCCTAGGGGGCTATAGTTTTTCCTTTAAAGTTTACTTTTTTATTATATACTTAAGATCTAATTTTATAAAAGTATATAAGTTTAGCTTTATTTAGGTTAAAGAAAACCGCGTTCCTATTACCTTAGTTTAGGATATTTTCTAATTCCTACTAAAGCTTTTAAGCAGTTTCTTTAGTATTAGCCCCTACTACTATAATATTAATATTATTTATATACCTAAAGTAGGTATTAAGATTATTAAGCCTTAGGCTAAGGGAGAAATAAAATATAAAAATAATAAAAAAGATAAAGGATCTTTATAAGGCTTTATATTTTAGCTTTATTTTTAAAAAGGTAATCCTATAGTTATTTTAAATAAAAGCCTTATAATTACTTATAAAAAAGTTAACTTATTTTATAAAAAAAAGGGGCTATTTTTATTTTCTAAGTTTATATATTAGGTAGTTATATATAATAATATTAAAAACGCTAGAAATATTAAATATAAAAAGAAAAATAATAAAGCCTTAGGCTAGGGTAACTTTAGTATTATAAAGTAGGTAGGTAACTAAATTTATTATAAACCTTTTTAAAAAAGCCCTAAAGTATTATTTTAGTAATATTTTATATTTTATTATTAAAAAGGAGACTTTTTTAACTAAAAGTTTTTTAAGGCTTTTACTTATGTAAAAGAGTAGGAAGATAGGTTTATAGCCTTTATATATAATATATACTTTCTTTAGCTTCTTAAGCTTAAGGATAATAATAATCTTTATGTTTTAAAAAGGGAGTAAGTAATATTTTATTATTAAGTATTTATAAAAAAGATTAATTATATACTTATTAATAATAGGCTAAGTAAGTTATAAAAAGGTAATAAAAATATTATTTACGCTAGGTATAGTATTTCTTAACCCTATTATAGCTTTCTTAGCCTTTAATTTTAATACTATTTAGTCTTAGTAAATACTTTTATTAATAAAAAAATCCTTTTCTTATAAGTTTAAAATATTCTCCTTTATTATTTTATACTTAAGGAGTCTATTTTTAAAGAAAATTACTCTCTCTATAGGGTTTAAAATACTTTTATCCCTATTTATTAAAAAAGGTAGTTAAAAATAGTCTATTACTTTATACTACTTAGTTACTAACTAAATATTTTTAATAACACTAGCTTCTACTATAATTTTATCTTAGTAAGCTTACTTATTATAGTATATAATATTTTTAAGGGTTTTATAAGCTTCTTCTTAGGCAGGGGAGCTATTTACTACTTCTTTATAGGCTTTATAAGCTATTTTATATTTTTTTAATTACTATAGTATACTATAACTATTCTAATATTTAATCTTACTAGCCCCTTTTATAACTTATTTAAAAAAGTCCTATAGGGCCTTAGTATATTTATTAAAGTTAGTTTTTAATAGTATAATTAAATTAACTATAGGGAGGGTTTAAGTAAAGGAGTATATAAGTTAGCTAAAGTTTTCTTAGTATTTTAATAAAATATATTTTTTCCCTACCCCTAGGGTTATCTTAAGAAACTTAGGTAAATTTATAATTATTATATAATAGTCTAACCTTATATTAAAGAAGTATTTAACCCTAGTTAATATAAGGTAGTTTATAAAAACTAAGTTAATATATTTTCCTAAGTATTAGGTAGGTGTATTTATTAAGGCTAGGAGGAGATTATATTTTTTTACTTATTTTATAATTTTATTACCTACTAGGTCTATACCCCTGCCTAATTTTTAAAGTTAGTATAAAATATTAAAATTACTTATAATAATTAAGTAGGGGGAAGGAAGACCTTATTTAATAAGGGTTTTTATAGCTAAGTTTACTAAAGCCCTTTAGTAAATATTAATAATAATATAACTATATACCTTTATTTAATATATATATTTATTTTTTAAGCTTAGGGAAAAGAGTTATTTACTAAAAAAGTTTAGGGAAATTCTAATAAATATAAGAACTAAAGGTCTAGTATCCCTTTAACTATTTAGGGAGTTATATATTTAATATCTAGGATAATTCTTAATTTACCTTTTATTTAATACTTTATTTTATTAAATATAGGGTTCCTAAATTAATATAATATTATAGCTACTTTTTTATATTAGTAATAGGGTAATATTTTAATAAAAACTAGACTTTTTAATATTAACTTAGAAAATTTTAAGGCTAGTATTTCTTTAGTAGTTATAATAAAGCTTATTATTTATAAGCTTATATTAAGGGGTTTATTAATTCTAGGGGGGGCGTTAAATATATTTTTATTCTCTTTAATACTTTTATTTTTCTTTTTACTATTTAAGCTAGCTATATAAACTATTAACCTAGCGGGGGAGATTCCTTTATAAAGGTTTTCCTTATTTAAGTTAACTTTAATAATAATTTTTTAAGCTAAAGCTTAGGGGGGGAAAAGTAATACTAAACTAAAGATTAATAATTATAGGCAGGGACTTATTTAAGTCCCTGGGTTAAATACTTTTTTAGTATTAAGGGCTAGGCTAGGGGGTAATTTAGGTTTAGGTAAATTAACTTTATTATATTTCTACTAGCCTAGTTTTTAAATTACTTAAAGTTAGGCTTTAGTAACTTAGACTTTTTTTTTATTTTTAATAACTAATTTAGTAAAGTATTTTAAAAAGTCTAAAGTATAAAAATTATTATAGTTAGTATATTAAGGGGGTAATAAGTAGTTTATTATATTATTAATATACTTATAAAATAGTTTACTATATTTATAATATTTCTTAGTTTTAGTATAATTCTAGGGGTTATAAAACCTAAGGTATTTTTAGTATTAAGTAACCTAGGGTAATTAAATTTAAGTTTCTGCTAAATAAAAAATATTAAAGAGTTTAAAGTTAAGTTTAATATTTTCCTTAAATAATATAAAGTATTTATATATATTAAGGAATTCTTTAAAAAAGGCCTTATAATAGGCTATTAATAAGTTTTTAGCTCTAGCCCTAATATATACCTTTTTAAGGATTAATATATTTATAATATAAATCCTACTTATATTTATATAAGACTTTAGTATACTATATATAAAAAAAACCTTTTATATATATACCTTTTTAATTTTTAAATTATTATTTTTTATAACTAGCTTAAGGGTAATAATTTTATTTTTAATATTTTAATCTCTTACTTAAAAAGTAAAGCTTAATTATACTTTTTAAAAGTAAGTAATATCCTTAACTCTAAGTTTTATAAAGTTAATTAGTTCTTATTTAATATTAATAGCT